AATGACGTTTCTAGGTCAGTGCTCTCTGGAGTTTCTGATGTGGAACATCGAAGGGAGGGGTATTATGGGGTAGCCTGGCATGAATTGGAAGGACCGGTCGATCCTCTCGAAAGAGAACCAAGGCCGGGTCCTTCCCCACCCTAAGGAGGTACTTGGAGGTACATTCGTACTTCGCAAGCACCCTTTGTCCAAAGGTACGAGGGCCTCAATCACTGACCCCAGTGACAAGTCAAGGCTCCTTCGAAGTACTTTTTTCCAAGGACTGCAAGCCGCATGGTTCACGTGGAACCAACGATGAAATCACAAATCAATCAATTCCATTATCATTACTGCCCATACCCTCCCTCCGTTTGTTAGGTGGGAAGCTGTGATATCGAGGTTAGTCGGAGACCATCATGACGGCTTTGAGCAGCTCTTTAGACAGATTTAAGACATGCAGGAGCTTGACATCCGGACATCGCCCCAAACAAATGCCAGATTTGATATAATAGTGTAGGGATAGAGAGATCTTCCTGTCGCCTAATTTTGGTACCATGCAGACAGTCGTCCAGCCCATCATTTAGACGGGATTCTCAACCCGAACCTTCCCGTTCAAGTTGGTGATCAATAATATATCAGTTCCTCTGGGATACAGCCGGGCATTGATGTTTGCAATGCAATTGATACCTACGAGAAGCTACTGACTTGAAAAACTTGGAAAGACGGAAGCCGGTCTGCGAGCCTCCCTTCAATTCCATTTGGGTTGACACGAGTAATGCTGTTGATCAATCGGACCTTCTTCAATGATACGGACAATTACAATCTGGCAGAACTTCGAAGGATCATTGGCACTAACCATGTGTGAGGGTTGATAAATGAACGAGAGACATCCTGTCTCTGGCCGTGAAAGCCTCGACAGGAGGTCCCTCGCAAGTGTTTGTCTCTTGAACACTTCTCTTGAATCATCAGTCACCACCCGTGACACGAATCTACTTGGTCGACGTCTCCAGCCTTCGAGGAGGACAATATAATACCTGGACCCTGGCTGGTGTTTCGAAACAGCCACGATTCAATTACACGTCTTTCCAGGAATTAAAATTCGAAACGGTCGGTCCAGGCTGTTTCGCCAATATGACCAGTCCGTCATCGATAAATGATGTTTGGGGACTTAGCCAGTCGGAAATGTCAACAGTCGATGAGGGAACAGTAGATATTTCAAACGGCGGCTCTCGGCTTTAAGTCCGGATAGGCACGATCTTTTTTAATCATTCTCTTTCACCACCCGAACCTCCGGAGAACTCCAACAGCAAGATCAAGAGCTCAGTTCCGCCAGTGCGGTTTTGGATATGGTAATCTACAAGTGGTGTACCTGTACGCTAGTGAGAACTTCATGCTCACTACCACCCCCTGTCCCTGAAGTCCCTCCAAAGCCGAAGGGGCCGGCTCCCGTGAACTGGCGATCGATTTCCCTCCGTCAAAGTACGTACTTAAGATCAGTGTGTGCAAACGGAAATATGACAACTACGAAGTAATTTAGTGTATTACTTCGTACTTGTCCGAGATCCTCTCCACACGAATGGTACCACAAATATGAGGAAGCCGGCATGTCAAGGATACCCTGGGAAAGTGCGTCCTTGGTGTCAAATGTTACGTTTCCTAAATATTTACGGCCCGCTCCATCGAAACGGTATTGCTTTCACAGGCGATACTAGAATGGGTATCATTGATTCGTGGCTTGGGTGAATGCCGACTAACTTCAACTTGTACTTCGTACACTCTAATGGGAAGGGAGAACCAGGCGAGTTGACAAAGAGGCTCACTATTTTTCACCTTCGTCGTTCGTCCCCATGAACGAAGAACACTGTTTCGACGATCCTCTGAATGCGCTGCGAGCCCCGGCCCCTTCTCGGGGACAGTTTGGTGACACTTGTTCATGCACAGACCGCCCACAGACAACGTTTTGTCCTGGCAGTCCTGGCAGTCCTGCAGGCCAAGAGATGGGGGAGCCAAAGAACGCGAGCACACGCGCTGTCCATTTCTTCGATGATGAAAGCTAGGCCCAAAAGGTTTCCGCTCCGCCTGAATCTTCCGTGGAACCGGATCAAGTCGCATGAAGGAGAAAAAAAGAACCTCGTGTGTTCCTATTACCGGAAGGCATGGAGAAGATAATAGCGCGCCGATCTTTTAGGCATTGCTAGCGCCTGAGATTTCAACTTCACTTCCATGTCCCCGATGACCGTACAGCCTGTTGGGGTATTACGGGATGAATCAATATCCGCGGCCTACTTCGTATGATAGTACCTTCGTACGAAGTAAACTATGATGGGGGATGGATGTCCTGAGCTGGCACCGTGAAGAGCATCAGATCTAGATTCTTGGTCACCTCTGTACTCTCTGTCTTGGCAATTGCACTGTGACTTGAGGTGGTGTACGGACCGACTGGAAGCTAGGGAAGAGGCTCTTTTCCCAGGCAGGAACCTGCAGGTCCTTATGCACCCGCAGATGATAAATGATTCGTACCCCTTGCATCAAATAGAGGAAATTGTCCGGCTGGTATGATCGTACAGCAGTCCGCGGGTGAAGGAATCGATCCTTCCATGCCCATCACCACATCACCACATGGCCTTTCCGAAGCCACAAGCTTTTTAACCCCAAAGGCTAAAGCGCCATATTCAGGCCATCCTGTGGGGAGAGAGAGCTCTTACACTCCCCCACCATCCTTATCATAAGAGCGGAAGAATATATTTTTCTTCCATTTCTTTTTCTTCTTCCCTTCTTTTCCCTTAATCCTCCATCATATTATTACCCCATGCAAGGCATGAATTGATTTTCGATTTTCGGTCAAACACATCCCACCAGGCACGGGTTCGGGAAACATCCCACTTCCAAGTGTTTCTGATCGATTCCTTAGGCCGGCCAACGACAGCTTGAGTACGTCAATTAAGATGGGCGAGTCTTAGACTCTCCCCGGTAGTGGCGAATCAGAAGCTGCCCTCTTGGTCTGTCGTGTTTTAGCTCCGCCACAGTGGATTGAGTAGATTAGAAAAAGCTAGTGTAGTGTTGTAAAGGGCGCAACAGCCGGAACCTAGAACCAATGTTCCTCGGCTACGGTGGGGATTTTTTGGGCTGGCGAGACCAAGCTCCCAACTGTACGACTTTGGAGTACCTGACACTGACTTGAGGTTCCTTGATGTTGTCTGCTAACAGACCACCGGTATTTGGTACGGAACGCAGGTACAGTGCATTCCCCCAGACTGTTGGTGGGACTGATGATGAAGGGCAGAAAACACCGTTGCCTCGCTCTCACCTGCCCTGTGCGTGCCTACCTAGCGAGCTATCGTACCAGCCTCAATGCAGCACCCGTTTTCTATTTGCCGTTGGGTGGGAAAGTGCAAATCTGGGGGACCTGCGTTACCCGTGACTGCGTCGGGGGAGAAATCACATGGCGGGGTGATGGCATTGGAGGGGCGAAGCAAGCTCAGGGTGGTGCTGTCAATGTCGTCTTCGAGAACATGAAACGACTTCTAGGACTTCGAGGTGGAAACTACTCGCAGCTGTCAAATCGAACCGAGTTTGAGTTATGGCGGATTTACTCTTGCAATCAGAACACAACAATGAAATAGGATTACCTTGATACACAAGCTGCGGAGCCGCTGGTTTAGAACACCCAAGGAAGGAACAATGCCAAGTTTCAACAGCATGAATCTGATTTCAAGCCCTCTCCTTCCACAGGCTGGATCTAATTCCAATCGTTCACATATTTCTAGTTTGGTTCCCCTGCTTCATTGTTCGTGAATGGAAGGGGCCGACGACCACGAGGATCGCGTTGCTCCGCTTGTAAACGACAATGGTGACGAACAACACTGCCACACCAGCAACCTGACGCCTGTGAAATGGAGGAATGGCAGGGAAAGAACCAAGGGCATCAAGTGGATTAACAATATCAGCAGTGTCTTTACAAGTTAAAAGGGAACACAATTCTCCACAGTCATAGACGGAGTTGGATGTTCTCATTCCTAACTTTAACTTTGATAAGGATATTGAGTACAATTGTATCAGATTGTTCTCGACGAGGTGATTAGATATGTATGTTATTAGACGAGTGCCTGAGTAATGACTGAACGAGCGACTGGAGCTGCCTAGATATCTAGCTAAAGGAGAAAACGAAAGAAATTATACGACTCGAATAGTATATACCATATATTACTCTTCTCCCGATATCGTCTTATAAAAGATTGAGCTCACAAGAGGGCGCACTAGAAGAGCTTGTTTCAATCGTTGATGCGATTGCAGTTGACTTTTGAGAGACAAGTTCAGCCTCAGAGCCTAATTGACCTGATGCTCTGTCAACAGCTGTTGACAGTCGATAACAGGTCTGGCCCTCTTTGCCCCGGTCATGCGGTTGCGTCACACTCTCAACCTGAAATTCGAAGCGCCATTGATTGATTGTCAAAGCCCCCTGCCTTTCCAAGAAGGCAACATTTATTGCTAACCTCTGCAATGACCATTCCCACTCCTTTGTGACCTGAACTCCGACCATCGCGTACAATATTTTCTCTCCACTTACCTAGTCGCCCGAGCCTTTGTTTCCGCCTCTCAAAACTCTTTGTGGCCCATCGACTCGCCTCCCACCATCCCTCGACCACCGTCTATAATTTGGGCTCTCCCAACCTGAGAACTGTGCAACAGATATTTTAGGTGCTTGTCGCCTGGCGTTCAGTGAATCGCTTTGGGGCCAGTTCCAGCTTCCTCTCTAACCTTCTCCAGCCTAGCATTTCCGAATCTCAGTATCAGTAAAGTCCGGACGTGTCTACATCGCATTTTCACAATAGGCGGGGACACGCTCTCCCTTTTTGTTGTCCAAAACCTACCCCTCCTTGTCCAATAAACCACCCCGCATCGCCACATCCAACATCCGGCGCGACAGTGTCCAACGCTTTCACTTAGATCCTTCCTTTTTACTCGATACCTCCCGAATCAACGATAAACACAAAAAAAAGACAACACCGGGTATACCTACCATGGCGGACGCGACCATCTCGAGTTTCGTCGACATCACAGGGTCTTCCGCCAACGTGGCGCGAGGTTTCCTAGAAATGACGAATAATGACCTCGAACAAGCTATTCAGCTCTTCTTTGAGAACCCCGATCTACAGCACAGCATTAACTCTGCTTCGGCGACCACACAAACAACTACCAGAAACGCTCCTTCTGGGACACATCGCCAGACGGTGCGCGAAGACGAGCATGGAGTTATCCACATAGACAGTGATGATGACGAGGACGAGGATGTCGATTCTGTCCAGGCCGTGGCTCGTAACGCGCAGGAGGAGGAAGATGCTGCAATGGCCCAGAGACTCCAAGAGGAGTTATTTTCAGCCCCTGATGACGAAATAAGGTCGCCCATTCGAAGCACCACGGAGACGTTAGTCGCACCTCATCCTGCCTGGGGATCGGGCTTTGATGGTGACGACGATATCCAGTCGGACCTTCTCGAGCAGCTACGACAGAGACAGGCCCGAGCCAGTAAGACCTCCCTCCCTCCCTTGGCTCGCCCCCCCAAATAGGCCGTTGAATGCTGACGATGTCGATTTGCTAATTTAGGACGAGCACCCAACCCATTTAACCAGTCGATTTGGGATGATCCAGACGCCCGACCAGGACCAGCCACGGCTGGCGCCCCCACTACCCGTGCCCAGCGCCTCACGGATCTGTTCCGACCACCCCACGATATCATCTCGAGGTTTTCTTGGGACGAAGCGAGGGAGGAGGGCAAGGATACCAAGAAATGGATCCTCGTCAACATTCAAGATCTGAGTGACTTCACCTGCCAGGCTCTCAACCGCGACATCTGGAAGGACAAGGCCATTAAGGAGCTGGTGGCCGAGAACTTTATTTTCCTCCAGTATTCGAATGAAGACGTCCTCGCGAGAGATTACATCACCTTTTACTTTCCCAACCACGAAAATCCTCAAAACTATCCTCACGTATCCATCGTTGATCCCCGGACTGGTGAGCAGGTCAAGATCTGGAGTGGGCGACCCTTCCCATCTGCGCTGGACTTTCACAGCCAACTTGTCGAGTTCCTTGACCGGTACAGTCTTAACGCGAACACCAAGAACCCCGTCGTCAAGGTGAAGAGCAAGCAGTCAAAGGCTGTAGATGTGGACCGGATGACGGAGGAGGAAATGCTGGAGATGGCGCTCAAGAACAGTCTAGCTCCCAACGGCGGCAGCTCGGAGAATCAAAAGTCGAATATCGTCGATCCCGACTCGTTGACAAAGTCGCCATTGCTAAGCGGTGGCGAGAGAGTGACATCGCCCCTCCGGGAAGCGACGGCCGAGCCGGAACTGAGCGCGAGCCAAAGTGCCTTTGCCGCCATCTCAATTACGAACCCCCACACCGAGCCCGAACACAATCCCGCAACGACCACGCGTATTCAGTTCCGCCACGCCACCGGCCGCATTATTCGCCGGTTCAACACGCAGGATCCCGTCAGAAGGATCTACGAGTGGTTGAAAGCGGAGCCTATGGAGGGCAAGGAAGGCGTTGAGTTTGAGCTCAAGAAGATGCCTCAGGGACATGACCTTATCGAGAACCTCGATGGTACTATCGAGGAAGTGGGGCTGAAGCAGGGAACCGTCATGATTGAATTCCTCGAGTAATGACACTCTTGGGGATATTCTGGGCTGGTTTTCTACAGGAGGTGTTATTTTCTTCCCCCCCCCCTCCTCGTTTCCCGCGTCTTTCTCTTACTCTCCTATGTTTCCTCTTTCTTTCGTCCCTTGTTCCGGTTCCGACGGTTTTTTACGACATGGCTTGTTTTTTTTTTTGCAAATATTAATAGAGAAGAGATGCTACGCTTTTTAGAGGAAATGAGGGATTCTTTCAGCTCGAATTATATCCGGGAATGCCGAGCAAGAGGACAAGGTGATGGATCTTCGGACCTAGGTTGAAGTGAGGTAAAAGGCGGAGATTGTGCCGTAAGCAGGTGATGATGAATTTCATGGCGATGACAGGCAAAGGTACAGGCATATAGAAGAGTGATGAGCCAGGGAAGACATATCGTGGGAGCGGCATCCCGTTGAGTATACCATCAATACATTACCAAATCCCTCAAGTTGAGAAACTATGAAGTATTACAGGCAGGCGATGCGAGGTGGCCATTTTCACGGATAAGTTAACGACGCGACGTTCGAGCATTCCCGAGTCTTGAATTTGCAGACTGGCGACGAAGAGAAAGGGAGGAAGAAGTAGAAAGTAACATGAGAAGGAGAAAAAAAAAAAAAAAAAAAAAAAAAAAAAAAAGAGAGAGAGAGAGAGGGGGTTCGCAGGTACGGTACATCGCCGACCAGCCACAAGGAGCAAGAGTCAGCTGGTTTCGTGCTCTAGACCATCGACCGCAGACCGCACTCGACCTATACAGGTATTACCTCCCTCCTACTCTCGCAGAGAAATCCGGGGAAGAGATCCATTGGATTGTACTTGGCAAGTATCCCGGTTGAATGTGAGGTGAGAAATCAATACTTCATGCTTTCGGTGTCTGTTTTGAAGCAGGTACAGGAATGAATGAGCCCTTGGATGTCTGTGCAACCCTCTCCACGACCGAATTTCCAGGTTTCCTCATTTCCCTTTTCCCTCCCAACGGACGCTTGTCTGCCAATGATATCGAGAGGACAGACTCTGGCTCATTCCCTGTTCTCAGCCAGGCTCACCTCACTCGATCTGACAGGCTCATTCGTGACCAATGAAGAAGGTAGTACGGCCAGGAGGTGGGGGGACGTGCAGGTCAGCAGAGGGCGGAGGACGTGTAAGGCGAAGGGACACGGGCGCATCAAAGTCTCGAAGGCCGCCAAGAGGTTTAGCTTCAGGTCCCGAAGAAAACGAAGAAAAGAAGCCGGGAGTCGACGGTTCCTAGGTCTTACTCTTGCTTCGTCGATTCCTCGAAAAGGGAGGGGGGAGGGGTTTGTGTGCTTGGTGAGACAGCGTGGGCGGAAGGCAACGACTCGGCTTCCGCCTCAGTCTAAGCGGGATTGAACGATAAAGTTGTCAAAGGTTCTGTTCGTCTTTGCCTCATCTTTGGTTCTCGGAGGATTCACTCCTTGCAGATGTTTGGTTGGCTGGTTGCTAGTCAACGCTGCAGGCTGAGACCTGAGGGTTTTACTGGCGAGCGAGGACCTCTCTCGTTGGGGTTTGTCCTCGTCGTTGCCTGGGGTCAAGTCAATTACTTCGTATCAATATTGAATTGGTCAAATCTGTGCCGTTTCCTCAATTCCGTTGTATTGGCGACCTTGGACATTATCCATATCCCCAGTATTGTGGTCAATTCAATAGCACCAAGTAAACAATCCCCAAGGTGCGCTGGCACAGAGGCGCGTGGTGCATCTGTGATTAGAGTGTCAAGTGTTGGATCTTACATAGGTACTTGTACGCTGTAGCCAGGACAACCTGGCACCTATAGGCTATGGAATAATATCGATGATCAATGTTGTTTTACTGCCTTCTTCGTCCTTCGTGCCGTGTTTTGACGTTGTTTAGGGGTGGTCCTTTTCTGTACTTTCTGTACCATAGAAATTGATCCCTTGGAAAGCCTGGTGCTCTGTCCTGCCAGCCTGGCTATCATAGTCTCTCTCCCATCAATCCTATCATCCTTGTCCTCGAAAACGATCACTACTTTTTTTACGCGTCCACTATTATTACACGCCCCCGTCCCCGGTCCTAGCGCTGATGGCGATCAATGATGTCGGTTGTTGGTCCCTAATGCTACGATAAACGATTCTACCCGTGAGCCCCTCCTCGATATCACCGACTTGATAATCCCCTCGAGGCGCATAGCTACTTGTAACTCAAGTTTCTCTTTGTCTTTCAAACAAGACCTCGGTCTGAGTTTTATTTCCTTCCTTCTTCGCCAGCCCAATTTTGACTTGTGACGACACCTGGCGCCGACCCCAGCCAGCACAAGCCAGACCCCGCAACAGTGCTGATTTCCTTCCATCGTCACTACTTCTCCCACCGCCTGCAACCACACGCCGCCAGACAAGAACGATCTTTCCAACCCCAACGACTGCGCCGTGTTCGATCTTTTTCTTTTTTCGTTACACTCTTTTTGTCCGACCGAAAGACGTTCTTTACTGCCTACCCAAGTGCCTCGAGAAGCGGAACCGACTGTCTCAGGCCCCTACGTCAATCCCTGAACATACCCCAGAAGAACCACACCGTCCCGAACCTGGGAGCACCAGCCCACCATGGCGGAGAGGGAGCGAGAGTACGAGGAGGGGAACGAGGCTCTTGACCCGGAGCTTCTCTACACGAAGGAGTACTGCATTGGTTCGTGATGTTGTCTACGTCCTTGGCTGTTGCATTATGAGAGCCCTAACAGAAAGCTGCTGTAGGCGGTGGAAGCTTTGGCAAAGTCTACAAAGGGTAAGTTTCTTGGTCTCCGTCCCCCTCCCCTGTCGATACCCTTAGGTCTCTCTTTCTCTTTGTCTTTCTCTCTCTTTTGCAGACCCACGGCTCTTCTCCGTCTCTCGGGGTTTGCTTCCTATTTATCTTGTGCTTTTGCTGACTCGTGCTTGGGCGGATAGGGTCGACAAGCGAACCGGTCAGGCCGTCGCGATCAAAGTCATTGACATCGAGAGCGCCGAAGACGAAGTCGAGGATATTATCCAGGAAATTGCTATCCTCTCCGAGCTTCAGTCGCCCTACGTAACTAAGTACTACGGCTCTTACGCCAAGGGCGCCGAGCTATGGATCGTCATGGAGTTTTGTTCTGGAGGTAGCTGTGCCGACCTCATGAAGCCAGGCTTGATTGGAGAGGACTATATTGCCATAATTCTCAGGGAGCTATTGTTGGGTCTCGATTATCTTCACTCCGACAAGAAGCTTCACCGAGACGTTAAGGGTACGCCGCTTCCTACGCTTCGGTTCTTCCTCCAACCAACACGTATTTTTGAGATTGACGGTCTGGTACTAACTCCGATATCCCTAGCGGCGAACGTGCTCCTGAGCTCTAACGGACAAGTCAAGCTGGCTGATTTCGGTGTGTCTGGCCAGCTTTCTGCAACCATGACGAAGAAAAACACATTTGTGGGCACTCCCTTCTGGATGGCGCCAGAGGTGATTAAACAGTCCGGCTACGACCACAAGGCAGATATCTGGTCGTTAGGTATCACGGCGCTCGAGCTTGCGAACGGAGAGCCTCCATACGCCGATATTCATCCCATGAAAGTTCTGTTCCTAATCCCCAAGAACCCTCCGCCTCGACTCGAGGGCAACTTCACGAAGGCTTTCAAAGACTTTATTGAGTTATGTCTCCAAAGAGATCCCAAAGAGCGGCCCAGCGCCAAGGAGCTGCTACGTCACCCCTTCATCCGCAAGGCGAAGAAGACTTCGTACCTGACGGAGCTCATCGAGAGGCATACTAGGTATATGGCTACGCACAAGGGCGAAGAGGAAGACCACATGGAAGGACACGAGGAGATTATGGAGAGGCAGCCCGTAAACGAGGATATGTGGGACTTCGGTACCGTTCGGCTGGTTAACGATCGGGGCAACGTCGTTCACAGGCCTAGTCTGAATCCCATGGACGATTCAGCCACGAACGCGCGTGCCTCTTCGCGACCTTATGAGCCTCAGGATCATCATTATGGAGAGCAGAATGCGGGCCCGGCGAAGGTACGGGACTTTGGACTCGGCCCTACCGTTTCAGATACTCTCAAGGCAGCCGGGAGTGGAACGTCCCGGCAAACCTCTCCCCAGAGGAAACCCCTCCCTACCGAAACGCCTCCATCGCCCATTAGGGTACCCCTTCCCGCCTCACCAGAGAGAAGACGCGACGACACGTCTAGGCGGGTTGTTAAGCCCATGCCACCAATTCCTCTTGACCAGTCGGCGGATTACGACCACCTGCTACAGCAACAACTCCAACGTGATATGGGAGTGCTGAGTCTAGCACCGGTTATCCAGGCCTCGTCAGCCGGCTCCTCTTCGTCGGCGTACGCGTCGCTACAAAATGGACCAGAGCTGCGACCCTCGTCATCCAGCTCGCGCGTAGGTCCTATTGACCTACCAGAGATACCCCCCTACAGAGGCGGCAGTGCCGCCTATCAACAACAGAATCCATCTCAGCATAGATTGCCCAATCAAGCACCTCAAACTCAGCTGCGCCAAGTCTCTGGCCAAGCTTCCGCGCTTCCACTCCCTCCGAAGCACGCCCAACAACATTATCAGCCCGTACAGGTACCGACCCAACCCCCCGGCCTCCTGTCCAAGGCCCAGCCCCCGAGCGTGGCGGAATCCAGCGCCGCGCTTCTGTCGTCATTCCCCTCCCCGGCGCCCGCCAACCCTGACGGCGACCTCGACGCTCTCAATGACGTCATCTTCCCTGCGTTGGAAGAGGCCTTGAAGAGGAGGCAGATCCGCCTGCAGACCGTGTGCCGAACTGCTCCGGGAGCGGCGCCTACACCTCGACAGCAACGCGCAGAGGCGGCGCACGAGAGGATCAGACACCTTGTGTATAAGCTGGCCCACGTCTGTAAGGAGATCGACCACTATGACAAGGCTGAGCCGGTGGGTATGGGTAGGGACGTGGGCATGTTCCTCGAGGGTCTTCTCGAGGAGATTCTTGTGAGAGTGGAACCATTTGATGAAACTGAGGTGTAAAGGCGATAGATGGCAACAAAACTGGGGGTTGGCGTTTTCGTGGTTCTGTCATTTACATGCAAAAGACGGTTCTGGGGGAGTTTTCTTTAGGCACGAAGGGCCAGCAGGCATGGTCGGATGACTTCATTGCCCTGGCAAAGCAAAGCAGGGCAAATGGAGCCTGTAACACCCTGATAAGTACATTCATCAGGGCATGGTTATGGGTGTTTCATGTGTTGTGTTCGGATATGGGATGGTTTTCCTTTTATTTCTTTTTTTTCTTTTTCCCCTTTTCTTTCTGTCTTTTATGATCAATGGCGTGGGTGAGCGAGCATGGTTGGCACTTGTTTCTTTTCTTCATGTAGTAGAGGCCTTTGGCCATTTCATTATGGACGAAGCATATTCCGTTCATAGATTCTATTCTTATGTTTGTTTTGGTTTTACTTGTCTGGAATGTGCTTTGGGGGAAGAAGTGGGATGCCTCAGAAGTGGATGTTGCTTATATGCTCACTGGCCTAGGTATGTGGTATGTTACTCTGTTACTCTGTATATAATCGGCCTAGACATTGCGAGGTCTTGTGTTTAGTATGAGGTTTGAGGCAATGTTCTCGAGCTGCGGTCGAGGCGGCTCAGCTGTCGACCGCGCAGTGAATAAATATGACTACACTGTACGCACATACCGATATATGTGTTCTTTTACAGTGCGAATATATAACTCAGTCTCAAGCTCTCTCCGCTCCAGAAGCAGGTACGATTTGCCGCATCATCTCCCAACGTCACTCAACGCTGCCTTGAGATGTCGGAATCGCCACTTCTCGAAGCTATAAACCCCCCATACTCGATCGAGACTTGAATTGGTATCTTTCGAAGGTTCTTGTGTGACCTAGACTGTGTTTATTATTTTCCCTGAAACAAATGAGACGCTACCCAAACTTTCCGACATCTCCCTGAGCTCTGCTCACTCATTCACTGCCCCGCCAGAGTGCCAGAGGGGTTGAAATTGATGAAATTCCGTGACCGTCTCATCCCGCATTACCAACCACTCTCATAGACACGGAGCCTCACCTACTTGAGAACCACCCACGACACTAGAATACACGATTATCTACCAAACATACCCATCCGAGAAAGAGGAGAGTGACCATGGCGGAATCGACGGAACAGCGCGAGCTCGACCTCGTCGACAAGGTCGACTTCCGCATCCTCGAGGTCGCCAACAACGAGGAGAAGCTGGAGCAGCTGCTGTCGCGGTATCTTGCGCCGTTGATGCTCAAGGCGGGGAGTCCGCATGCGAGTGTGAGGGCGAAGGTGATTGCGGTTTTAAAGAGGGTGATGACTTTTGTGCAGCCTCCGGGGTATGTTCTTTGCTTTATTCGTCCGAGGGAAGGTGTTTCGCACGCTAGAAAGGAGGGAATGAATGGTTGGAAAGAATGAGGGAATGGAGATAAGAAGTTAGCTGACTCGGTTTGCAGGATTGTTTTGCCGGTTGCCGCATTGGTAGACCAGTTCAAGGCGAACTCTTCGCCCGTGGTGAAACAGTTTGATCTCGTCTTCATACAGCACGGTCTTCCTCGGATGGATGTCGTTGATAGGAGAGATCTGTTCCCTAAGGTTACTAAGGAGATATCGCATGGGGATGCTGATGCTGCTGGCTCGAGCGACGCAGGGCTCTTCGATGTGTTTTTGAGATTACTCACCGATGTTAGGCTGCCTGGGAGGGGTACAAAGGATGATCTAGCTTTGCGAGAGACGCTCGGACTAACCGACAGTGACGCCCGATACCTCTCCAGGTGGCTAGGCAAGGTAATCCTCTTAAAGTCTGCGGGTTCTGGGGCGACGGCGGAGGCTCTACGGGCTGCGAATCCTCCTCCTACGTTCACGGCATCGGAGCTTGACTTCCTCGTTCCTACCCACCGACCTGTTTCGGCTGCCTTTACGGCCTTAGCAGACTTGAAGCTGAAGGTGATTACTTTCCTCGCCAGCGGTGCATTCAAGGATAGCGAGAGGTTTATTCCAGCGCTCTATGCTGCATCGGCCGCTGACTCAAGAGTCGCATCCGTCGGCGATGAGCTCCTCAAGAAGAGTTCTGTGGATCTAGAGGATGTCACGCTTACAAAGTCACTATTCGACTCCCATTCAAGACTGGGCCCAGCCTACCGGACGAGGATCTTGGGCATCCTGAGCAAATCCACCGTCTCTACGACCATGACGGCGGAAATCCTCGAGGCGGCGAAACTGGACATTACACCTGCGGAGGCGGGTAATTCAGAGCAAGGAAAAAGACAAGGGACACTGGAGAGGACAAAGCTTCATCGCGCATTGTTTCAATACCTCCGTTGGGCTGCGACCGTTGGCCCCTCCAAGGGAGACTTTGACATCGGTTTCAAGTTGCTGGAGAAGATGCAGGAATACATCCAGGGGCAGGGCTGGCCCGTGGCGGAAAAGACGTCCGCGGATGATGTTGCGCTCCGGTCGCTTGCCTACGAAAGCATAGGGATACTGGGAAAGGCGGCTAAGATGACGGGACAGCAACGGTTTTGTCTCGCTGGATGGATGTTTCGCGCTCTAGCCGAAGACCCCAATCCGGAGGTGGTTGTCAACATCGACGGCGCGCTGTCTATGCTGACGGCTTTGTATCCCCCTTCTCAGGAGGAATCGAATTCGAAGAGGTTTGGGGTTCGAACAATGCTCTTGCGTTATATGACGGTCAAAGTCGAGCCGCCCGTTGTTCGGAGCACGCGCCATGCAGCCGTGAAGTGGGCGAATAAATGTTTGCCGTTTGACTCGGCGCAGGCTCGTTGGATAGATATTCTCGCCGTCGGAGCTCGTCCAGACGAGAGGAGTGATGTCATCGAGGAGGGACACAAGGGTCTTGATCCGTGGGCGCAATACGCGCACTCCTCTAATGACGACGTCAAACTCCCGGATTGGAAGGAGATGCTTGTCATGTACTTTGCCGATAATAAGCCATCGCCATCGCCGCCACGGAATGACAGTGACGAGATGGACGTCGACACAGATCCTATCCCCCGGTTCCACTTCTCGGACGATACAATGCTCGCCTATCCTGTAGCCCTCAATTACTGCAAGCAGATGATGTTCCTCGCCGCTCTAAAGGACTTCAAGATGGATCCCGACTGGGCTCGGAATCTGCAGAATCTAGTCAAGACGAATCTGAAGACGAGAAACGAGATCCGAGAGTACCTTCGTGGGCTTCCCGATGATGGCCACAACATGTATTTCCTGAAGAGATGTCTTGACGGTTTGCATCTGAATCACGAGGCAACGGTAGAAGAATCTGCTCGCTCCTTCGTGGACGTGGCTTCTCTAAGCCCCCGAAATTCCGTTGCGTACCTCGCTCACCTCGCGCCGCAGCTGGTCCCCTTCATCAAATCGAATAAAAAGGAGCTGCGCGTCCTCGCGGCCGAGGCGTTCGGAATTCTCGCGGCTCATCCTGCGAACAGCGACGCGAAGCTTTCCGACCTCGTGGCGCCTATATTGGAACTTACCAAGGGCAGCGAGAATAAATTTGGCTCCGAGTTGAATGCTGCCGAAGGCGCGATTCTCGCACTTGCGCACTTTTGCTCGAGGCTCGTCTTTTATGGTCGTGAGGTGCCGGCGGGGATCACCTACCCGCTCGACCTGCTTGTGAAGGAGCGCATCCCACATTCTCTCAAGGAGACTCTTTTGGAGGCGTTCCCTCAGCTCTGGTCGGCTGGATTGGCTACGCCTAGCCCGGACACCATTCCAGCAAAGGAGGTCATCGAGTTCCTGCTAGGCCTGGCGAAGAAGAGTAACGAGCGGGCCATTTCTGCGCTTGGGAAGCTGGCTATTGCCCTGGATGAAGAGGAAGGCAAAGAGTGGAACGATGGATTGATCGGCTCTATCCTCAAGGGGCTCTTTGAACTCTACGAAATTAAACAAGCCGAAGTCCATTTCGCCGTTGGCGAAGCCATTGCGGCGGTAGTTGGCCGCTGGGAAGCCAGCTGCGTGCAGCTCGGCCTCAACGTCGATAGCGACCCCAGTGGTAGCTTTCAGAAACCCCACCGCCCTGCACACTTAACCGGTGTGCTAAACAAGCTCATTCAAGATTGCAAGGGCACGAAGCCATCCCTCCTCAAGGCTTCGGGGATCTGGCTGTTCTGCATCGTGCAGTATTGCCCGCACTTGGAGGAGGTGAAATCGAGACTACGAGAAATCCAGGCGTCGTTCATGAGGCTCTTGCATACTAGGGATGAGCTGACGCAGGAGACCGCGTCCAGGGGGCTCTCGTTGGTTTACGAGAAGGGTGACGAGTCGATTAGGGGACAGCTTACGAAGGATCTGGTCTCTGCGTTTACCGGCAACGGCAAGACTCTCAAGGTGGACGAGGATACGGAACTCTTTGATGCCGGGGCACTTCCCACAGGCGACGGCAAGTCTATCACGTCCTACAAGGATATCGTCAACCTCGCATCGGAGGTTGGAGACCAGACACTAGTCTACAAATTTATGTCGCTCGCTGCCAACGCGGCCATGTGGACGACCCGATCCGCCTTTGGACGGTTCGGCCTCAGCAATATCCTCTCCGAGTCGGAGGTTGACCCGAAACTGTACCCTAAGCTATACAGGTATCGATTCGATCCGAATCCCAACGTGCAGCGATCGATGGATGATATCTGGAAGTCCATTGTCAAGGATTCCAACGCCGTTCTCGAGAAGCACTTTGACGCCATCATGGAGGACCTACTCAAGAGTGCTCTGGGTCGAGAGTGGCGTATGAGAGAGGCGAGCTGCGGCGCTATCGCTGATCTTGTTCAGGGAAGGCCTTTCCCCAAGTACGAGAAATATTATACGGAGATATGGGAGGTGGCGTTGAAGCTGATGGATGATGTCAAGGGTAGCGTGAGAGCCGCGGCGCTCAAGCTCTGTATTGGGTTGTCGAACGGTCTTCTCCGACTCCTGGAGGAGTCGACGGGAGGTAGTTCTGTGCAGGCCATGCTGAAGGAGGTGATTCCGTTCCTCCTGTCGGGTCAGGGAGTGGACAATTCCGTCGAGGACGTCAAGCTCTTTTCCACTCTGACCCTCATCAACATTGCAAAGAAGGGCGGCAGGAATCTCCGGCCGTTCATGTCGGAGATGATTCCGCAGCTACTCGGTCTCCTAAGCACCATCGAACCCGCACAAATCGGGTTCTACTACCAGCGCGTCGGCGAAGGCGGGCGTGAACTCATCGACAAGCGCCGCGCGGCCATGGTCAGCCAGTCGCCCATATCCGAGGCCATCGAGAACTGCCTCCGCTTCGTCGACGAGGAGACCCTAGTTGAGCTGGCACCGACGCTTGAGGCGACGATCAAGTCCGCCTTAGGCATGCCAACTAAGATTGGCTGCAGCCGCATGCTCATCACGCTCTTCTCCACGCACGCGAATTCCATGCGTCCGCTGGCGGCCCGCTTCCTCCAGCTCATGGAGAAACAGACCCTCGACGCCAACGATGAGGTGAGCAAGGCGTATGCGCGCGCAGCGGCGTACATCATCCGGTCGGCCCCCAGCGCGGCCAAGGAGAAGTTTTGTGAAAAGTTTATCGATCTGTACTTTAACGCCGAGGACGAGCGGCGGCGGCAAAAGGTGGCGGATGTGGTCGTCGCGCTGTCCAAGACTTCACCGGATCAGTTCACATCCCTCGCGAGTCTTCTACTCCCTTTTGCGTACTTTGCCTCGAACGACGTCGACGAGTATACGCGGACGGCGTTCGGCGTGGCGTGGGATCAGCACGCGGGAGGGAGCAGGACCGTCGCGTGGCACCTGAAAGAGATAATTGCGCTCGTGACTCGCGGGCTGGATGCACCTAGATGGAGCCTCCAGCATACGGCGTGTTTTACGATTTCTTCGGCCGTCGAGGCGCTAGCGGGGTCTACGGAGGCGACGGGCCAGATTAGCGAGGCGAATCTTGAGGTTGTCTGGCCCGTGTTTGATCGTGCGCTGGCACTCAAGACGTTTGATGGGAAACAGAGGCTGCTTAAGGCGTTTCCCCCCTTTGTCGAAAAGGGAGAGGCGCTGTGGAAGGATGGCTCGTCCGCCATCGCGCAGAAACAGCGCAAGATCGCGATAAGGGAAGCTAAGAGGAACAATGCGGGCTACAAAGTCCACGCGTACGAGTGTCTCTGGAAATTCGCCAAGGCGAGGAAGGACCTCGATCTCCTCGAGGATATCATTGACGTCGTGCAGCCGGCGCTCGACGAGTTCGAGGATGAGGCGAGCGCCGACAAGATGGACGTGGATCGTTCCAAAGACGACGGGGATGACGACCACGCTGCGGAGTTGGCGGAGAAGGCGGTCGAGGCTATTGCGAGGGGGTATAATCGGCCGGCGATGGCGGAGGATGCGATCCCTGCTTTGTCTATGATACTGAAGACGTTGAAGCCGTACCTCGCGGAGCACAGGTTTTCGCTCATTAGGCGGAAGGTGTGGTTTACGGCCCTCGTGGACGTCATGAACGACGCTAAGAAAGGTAAAGATGGGAAGGATCAGAGCGCGCTTGCGAAAGGATATCTGGATACGTTGAGTCTTGATGTTGTGGAGATTGGGACGGAAGCGCAGAGGATTGAGAGGGCGAAGGCCGTTGGGGCTATCACGAGGGCTTGGAAGAGGGGTGTGTTTGGTGGGGAGGGGGTAGGGAGTATCGGGGGTGTTGTGAAGGGGGCGGTTGAGAGGATTATGGGGGAGGAGAGGAGTCTTTCGGTCAAGGAGGCGTTGAAGAAGGTTTTGGAGGAATTGAAGTAGGGGTGGTTAGGTATAGTCAGGACTTGAGGGTTGGCTCTTCCATTATTTCCTTGACTTTTTGTGCTCTATCAAATTTCTTCTGCATTATAAGAACTATTTCCTGCTATGACATCAAGTGAATATCCTACTGGAAAACTCTCATCACAACGTGAACTTTTCCCCGACAAGCTCCTCGCTCAGAGCCCACAGTCTATCAGCGGCGACGGGGTCGGTAGCATGGGGCATCGCCTTGCTGAACTGGCAGTTGTCGAGATACAGTCCGGTTTGCGCTGGCGGAGAGAGTGAGAGTTAGATTCTATTTTTTTTCTTCATCTTTTTTTTTCTCCTGTACTGTAATGGAAATACTCACTGTCAAGGGCAGGATCGAGAGCAGCGACGAGGGTAGTGGACGAGCCCTGGTCGATGTCCTTCCAGTAGGATGCAGTCTTCTCGATGGCCGCTGTGATGTCGTCGTCTTGTTCTCTGCCGAGCTGAGTCCTCACACCTAGAAATGCCAGTGTCAGGAGTCTTCCTAACTCGAAGATCGTGCGTATAAAAAAAGGAATAACAAAAGAGATAGACTTGTTTGTACTCACCACCAGGATGCAAGCAATACGCCGAGATGCCCTTCTTCGGCACCTCCCTCTGCAGCGAGACGGTAAACAAAATATTCGCCGTCTTACTCTGCCCATACGCAACAATCCCAAGATACCCATCCACAGGCTGCAAATACACCTCTGGCAAGCCCTTCCTCCACTTCTCCTCCTCGGGCACCTCCTTGCCCTCGAGGTTATAGTCACTCCAGCGGATGGGACTAATAACATGCGCGCCACTAGCAAGGTTCACGATCCTCGTCTCCCCGGGTCTCCTCCCTTCCTCCTTGGCCGCCTTCTCGAGCAACGGCAGCAACAAATTCGTCAACAGGAAAGGCCCCACGTGGTTTGTCCCGAACTGTCCCTCGATTCCCTCGGCGGTGTCGAAGCGCTTCATGACGGACAACCCGGCATTGTTGATGAGGATGTCGAGTTTGGGGGTGAGCTCCGCGACCTGGGCCGCGACGGCGCGGATGGAGGCTTGCGAGGCGAGGTCGAGGGTGAGGGGCTCGATGCGCACGGTTGGGTAGGATTCGTGGAGGGAGGATACGACGGTCGAGAGGTTGGTGGGTGTGCGGGAGGCGAGGATGAGGAGGGCGGGGGATTGGGAGGCGATGGCGGTGGCGGTTGCGGCGCCGATGCCGTTGGGGCTTACGCCCGTGATGAGGACTGGATTTTGTTAGTGAGGGTTCTGTTTATTTTATCATTTTTTTTTTTCTGTTTTCATTTGTTGGTTTATTGGGGCTTGGGGAGACGAAACTGGTTTTGCCTTTGATCTGGTCGGCATAGGTTTCGGCGACGTGGAGGCCGGAGGTTTTGATGTCGAATTCGGGGTGAGTGGTCATGGTTGCGGTGATGGTGATGGTGATGGCGGTGGTGATGAAACTTAGACGACGCTGGTTGGAGCTGAGTATTCGGCGCAATTGAGTAGGAGAGACGAGATCAGTTAGAAGAACACAATTGAGAGCTCCCCAGAAGGAACCGGAACCTAGACAAGCGATCCAATATTGATATTCCCTATTCCCTCTTAGCACATCACTTGCCCTCTCCCTCTCCCACATCCTCGTCCTCCCACTTGCCGAAGCAGGCAAGAAAGGAGACCCCCAACTATCACTTTGACCCGCCCTCGCTCGCACATCCGGCCGGCTTTACGCCTTCAAAGCTCAGGAACGCCGGCAGTAGGCAATCCCGCCTCCGCCCTCTAGCCAACGTGCTTGCTCTATACCCTTTTCGGCCCTCGTATCAATAGGCTAATTCGTTATAGGCGAAACACCTAAAAGGACTTGGGTTCCAAAGAGACGAAGTGCCTCCCCCGCACAAAGGTGGACTCAGCGATCGCTCCCTAGATTTAGAACCCGCCCCTTGGCACTTGCAATCGAAGGGTCCGCGAGTCGTCTAGGAAATTGCCGTGGCGTGTGTGGTCTGAGGCAGAGAGTCGCAACACACACAACAGGCACACGCACGGGGGTAATAACACTAGAACCGGAGAATGTCCAGCTTCAAGCAAAGAGACTCAACGTTCCTTTCCGAGTGGGGAATGCGGGGGAAAGGCATTCAGGAGGACGACGTGGAAATGCGTGCCGAGACGCCGGGTTCCTCTGCGGGTTGCACTGCAGGTTGCTCTGCACCAGCGCGAGCTCGTCTCGTCCGAGCCTCTTAAGACTTTGTGTTATACATGAATATAGGCTGACAAGGGAGAAGGGAAGCCTGGAAGGAGGGGTGGGATGATCGCGAGGGGCAGACGATGGATGTGATGGGATCAGCGAAGCACTCTGCGTTTTGGCGAGGCCATTGTTTTACATGTTTTTTTATTTCTTTCAGTATAGTCCATAGATCCATTCGAAAAGATTACCGAGTGTTCAATAGTCTAGACGATCAGAATGGCCAAAGAAAAGACGGGCATCAATGTCATTGTCGTAGGCGCAGGTTAGCATCATCTCTTACAGCTCTCTCTCTCTCTCTCTCTCTCTTTTCTCTGTCCTCTCCTTCCTCCTCCTCTCTTCCAATTCCACGATACCGAAAAGTCGCACACCAATGTAATCCACCCCCCTAACTAAACCCTCTCTCCCCCCCAGGCTTCGGTGGCCTCGCCTCCGCCATAGAATGCCACCGCCAAGGCCACACCGTAACCATTTACGAAGCCTTCCCCGAGCTCAAGATCCTCGGCGACATCATCTCCTTCGGCCCCAACGCCGGCCGCATCTTCTACCGCTGGGGCGACGGCGCCGGTTCGGTGGTGAACCGCATGCGGCCCCTCAGCATCGACACGCGCGAGCACGGCTTCAACATCCGCAAGTTCGACACAGGCGAGATCGTCGTCAATCAGCCCGCGGCGCAGTATCCGTGGGAAACGCCTAGTTTGAACGGGCACCGTGGGGAGTTGCATGAGGTTGTGTTTAATCATGTGAGGGATGAGCTGGGGATTCCGGTGCATTTGGGGAGGAGGATTGAGGAGTATTTTGAGGATGATGAGGGGGTGGGCATTGTGCTTGATACGGGGGAGAGGGTGAGTAGTAGAGAGATCGTGGCATATTGATGGTTCTCCTTTTCTCTTTGAAACCAAGTCTAACACTGCGACAACAGGTACCGGCGGACGTGGTCATTGCCGCCGATGGAGTCAAGTCGAAAGCCCGCCAAGCTGTTCTCGGCTACGAAGACAAGCCTAAGAGCAGCGGTTACGCCGTCTGGCGCGCTTGGTACGTTCCACTCCCCTTACCCCCGCAGCAAGTTTAGACCTCCTCTCCGCTAACCTAAGAGAAACACTATCAGGTTCTCCAACGAGGACATGGTAGCAGACCCAGAAACAGCCCACTTCTGCTCGCGCGACACCTTCAACGGCTGGATCGGCCCCGACAAACACTTCCTCTTCAGCACCATCAAAGGCGGCCAAGACGTCTGCTGGGTGCTCACCCACCGCGACATCCACGACATCGACGAATCGTGGTCCTTCCCGGGAAACCTCGACGAAGTCCGCGCGGCCCTCGAAGGCTGGGATCCCCTCTGCACGCGCATCATTTCCAAAACACCCCAAGACCGCCTCGTGGATTGGAAGCTCGTCTACCGCGACCCCTTACCCACCTGGGTGAGTCCCAAGGGAAGGATTCTCCTGCTCGGCGATAGCGCCCATCCGTTCCTTCCCACGAGTGCCCAGGGTGCGGCGCAGGCTTTGGAGGACGCCGCTACGATTGCCGTTTGTCTGCGGAGGGGAGGCAAGGCGGGCGTGAGCACGGCGCTGAGGACGCACGAGAAGATTCGGTACGAGAGGGTGAAGAAGGTGCAGAAGACGGGGGAGTCGACGAGGGATATGTGGCATAAGACGGATTGGGAGGCTGTGAGGAGGGATCCGAAGCTGATTGAGTTTCCGAGACCGGAGTGGATATTTGGGCATGATGCCGAGAAGCATGCCGAGGAGGTCTACGATGAGGTGGCTGCTACGGTGTAGGTTGGGGAGGGGGAGAGTAAAGCAGGGCAGGGCACCAGGCGAAGAAAGGCGACTTACACTGGAATAGACTAAATAGCCTTGATCCCAGTACACGACCTATTAAGTCCGGTGTCCAGAAAAATTCGTCTGACTTGAAACATAGACGCCATTCTCCTCCTCCTTCTCCTGAAGGCAGGTGGCGATGTAAACCCAAAGGAAAGAGTATCCTCCGCACCTTCCTCGACACACAAGGACCCCAGCCCCATGCTTTATATGTGAGTCTGTGGCAAGAATTTCCAACCGAATAGCTCAAGCGGCAATACCGCGACCAAGTGGCCAAGTGGTCACTGGAGCGCTCAGAAGGTTAGAAAATTGCAATTTTCGTAGCTCGTGGGAAGCAACCAGGATTCGATCCTGGGAGTGACCCGCGAGCGAGCTTTTTATTTTATTTTATTTTTATTTGATTCTATTTGTTTATTCCCATCAAGTCGAACATCTACAGGAGCTGCCAACATAGAGAGAGCGTTTGATCGCTCGAAGTCTGATATCTCTAGTTCTCTCTCCGCAGTGCCGTCTGGAGAAGAGGCGGCGTCTATGTAGTGCTAACCGTGGTAGGAAGCTGTCTTGGCGTTCTTGTCCATGTTCGAAAGGACAGAAGAAACAAGCGACGCCAAAAATAGTCTGTATCAGTTTATTAACAAAAGACCCCTACGGAGCAAGAACCAGAAAGCTGTCCGACTTTCGCTGAACCAGCTGACTGTCGAGTCGCCCCATCACGATCCCCCTTTCATACCCACACTCTCACGCTGTGCTGCTCCCACCCGGGCCAGGCTCCCCCAATCCCCCAATCGTAGAATTGCCGCGAGGGGACACAATCCATGGATCCCAGCTTCAAGCCGCCCTGTTCCCCCCGCTCCCTCCCTCGAGTCTAGCGTCTCTCCAGCGTCCCACACCCCGCAACGGCTTCTCCATCCCGATCGGCAAATCGCCAAGTCCCTCCCATCAATTGACGTCTTTAGCCTCCAAGAAAGCCAAGCCATCCACGGCCAAACCCCCCGTGGAGTAGCTCTTCCCCTGCGGCCCTCACTCGCTCCTCGCGTTCGGCGAAAGAGCTAGTGCTAATTTTTTTTCTTCTTTACCTCGTAGGATAAAAGAGGCGTGAAAGGCCAGGGAACGCTAGTTATATATATATTTGTTTCTCTGCTTCCAACCGGGAGCGGGAACTGGTGCTTCTTTGGGCCTGGTGGTGCGGAGGACAAATAAGAATAAAAAGAAGAGGATATTAAGATATTAAGTTCTTAAATGTTTCTTTAGATTCCTTACCTCTCGATTGTCGATTATACCCTTCTTCGCATCTGCCTGTTGCGTCTTACGAACGGAATCTTGGGAGGAATTATAGCACTGATTTCGAAAGAAGAAAAAGAAGAGAGAGAGAGAGAGGAGGGAGGAAAACACACGAGCGCTTCGATAGATTGATTAACCCAGCCATAACCATGCTGGCGGACCACTTCCAAGATGTCGCCGTCATGGCAGACCATCTCCTTCGCTGGTCTTCAAAGAATCTCAACTCAAACAAGACCCTGGGCATCTTGATCTTACAAGCCGCCCTGCTGGCTCTCATCCTCGACTATGGCCGAATGCTATGGCTGCGTTTCAAAATGGTAAGTCCCTCTTTCTTGTTTCCCGTTCCCGAAAATGAAAAAAAAATCAGACCATCTAGATGCAAGATGAGCCTCCAATCCCTCTCCATGCAACACGCAAGTTCATATCTGTTATTTTATTAACCATGACCCGGTTTTCGTTTCTTCCACTCACAGCCCCCCGGCCCGTTCCCGCTCCCCATAATCGGCAATACCTGGCAGCTCCCCGAGAACAAGCCCTGGCTCTATTTCGAAAAGCTCTCCAAACACCACAACTCTCCCGTCATCACCTTCTGGATCGGCCGCAACCCCACCGTCTGGATCAACGATGCCTGGGCCGCCTCCGAGCTCCTCGACAAGCGCGCGGGGCTTTACTCTTCGCGCCCACGCATGGTCGTCTTCGCCGAGCTGGGCTCCGGACAGGCTAACCTCGTCAATATGTACACTGGGACGCAGGAGCAGCGCGAAAAGTGGCGGGCGCGCCGGAAGCTGATTCACCATGGTGTCGGCGTGCAGTCTGTCCGGAAGTACCGCTCATTCCAGAACGATGAGAGCCGCGTCGTGGCACTCGACATGCTGGCCAAGCCGGCCGACTACGTCAAGTCGTTTGAGCGCTACGCTACGAGCGTCGTGTCCATCATCGGCTTCGGTAGACGCGTCGAGAGCTGGGATGATCCCATCATCACGGAGGTCATCGCCACCATGCACCTCGCCGCCGATCTCAACGTCCCCGGGAAATCCTTCCCCATGCTCATGGAGACTTTCCCCTGGCTGGCTCGCTTCCCCGATGCTCTGGCCCCGTGGAAGTGCGGACTAGGTCGTAAGCGCGGCTTCCACTTCTTCTACGCCCTCGCCGACGAGGCAAACCAGAAAAAAGGCCACGAAGACTCTTTCGTCAAGTACCTCTTCTCCGAACGTGAAAAGTACCAGCTCAAGGAAGAGGATATCTCTAGCCTGACGGGCAATCTCTTCGGCGCCGGCAGCGACACGAGCAGCAGCACCCTCATCACCTTCATCCTCGCCTGCTGCGCCTTCCCCGAGACGCTAATCCCGGCCTGGGAAGAACTCGACCGCGTCGTGGGGCCCGATCGGAGCCCGCACTTCGACGACGAGCCGAACCTGCCCTACGTTCGCGCCTTCGTTAAGGAGGTCTTCCGGTGGAGGTCCGTGGCCATTATCGGCGGCCAGCCCCATGCGCCTATCGAGGATGACTACTATAATGGCTACCTCATCCCCAAGGGGACCTGGACGCAGGGGAACGTGTGGGCTATTCATCACAATGAGCGCGATTTTCCGGACCCGGACCGCTTCAACCCTTGTAGGTTCTTTGATGGGGATGAGAACCATAGGCCGTTCCCTACTGAGCGTGGATATATGACGTTTGGGTGGGGCCGGCGCGTGTGCTCGGGCCAGGCTTTAGCGGAGCAGGGGACTTGGATTACCGTTGCTAGGCTGCTCTGGGGCTTCAAGATTGCCAAGAAGACGAGGCCTGACGGAAGTGTCGTCGAGGTTGACATTAACGCTTACACGTAAGTTCTGAGTTCATCCACCCTCACAAACAGCGCCTTTCTTCAAAAGATGGAGCGCAGCTAACACACAGCGTAGCAACGGTCTCAACATGAGGCCTCAGCCCTTCGAATGTGACATCATTCCCAGATCGCCCGAGATTGCCGCCACCATTGCCCGCGAGGGCGAGCAGGCGCTTGCGGATCTTCAGCAGTACAAGGGTGAGACCAAGTATCGCATGTCGACTTTCTATTCCAGAAATGACAGGGCCATGGACAAGTACGGCGACGACAAAGTCGACGTCAAGGGGCAGTAATCGATCGATCTCTTCCTGCTTCGTATGTAACTATTATAAGGAAGGGCCGAGAATCTATCACTAGATAGCAATGGCAAGAAAGGTTTAGTGGGATAGAACATAGGTAAGAGCAGTTTCCCATTCCTGAACCGGGGCATCACCGAACCAGCCGGTTGTTGGAGCAATCGCTAACTGCATGTAAACAGATGAGGCTTTATATACCTGGGAAATTAAACTGTTGATAAGAGCTATTACCCGTCACGAGAATGTGAAGATCCAAAGGGGTTCTCTCTTGGTCTGTAGTACCCATGACATCAAATGTTAGCGGCAAACCCGGGGATCCGCTGTCCCGAACCGATGCGCCAAAGTGGAAGCTGGTCCGCGTGTGTCCGGCCGTGGACCCGAGACATTGCCATGGTCCACGATCCATTGCCCAAGGTCCACGATCCATTGCCCAAGGTCCACGATAAAGGGAATGCCAATGTAGGAATAGTTACTGGATGCCTTGTTAAAGCTCCACATGGACATTCCGCTTGGCGGGAGCAAAAAAGCCCTCTTAATTACTTCGTATGTCCGTTTGAGAGCGAGGGGGTAGTACTTCTTACATGGGACAATCAATAATGGGCCCCTGTTTTCTCGGTCATATTTGATAAGATGTCGTTTCTCCAGAGGTATCCGTAGCTTCGTACCATATTTTTTCTTTCTTTTTCTTCGTCGCGGCTGATACGGGCGGCGGCGTTCAGGTGGCTCGGAAGCCGAAGCGGAGCCGATGCCGATCTCCGAAAATTGCGCGTTGGGTTTGCCGCGCCTCGATATCGCCGAGCAACAACGAGATCTCTCGGAGAAGACGACAAAGAGCTCTGAATAGGTCAAAAACACGACAATTAAAAGCAGGAGAATAAAAGATGCATCTGATCTTTGAGACGAGCCGCAAGTGATCTGCTTGAGCTCGAATCTTCAGACGAATAATTGCTGTACGTAGGTAGTGCTGCTGTAACTGTGGTGGGAAGCCCTCTAAAATAGTATCCTCATACAAGCAATTAGATCCGGCTCGTTTGCTCCCTTGCTCCGAGCAGGGCCATGGTTCCGCCAATCTTGAATTGATTAGGCCCAATCGGGCAAGGTGCCAGCACGGCGCAAAAAAAGAAGCTACTTGGGCCAATTCTCCGTCATCAGCGCTTCTCTCGTGGAGCTTCGAAACGGCGGACGCCGAGTGTTGGGTGACAAGCTTTTTTCTCGGCGGATCCGGGAGAGATTTGAGGGACCATCAATTGACGTATCGCTTTGGCGAAGTTCTAGACTAAGAGACCAGATGGACCCAAAGATGAAGGTAGAAAGATCATTGATGAAACAGCGTAGTACTGTCACAGTGCAGTGGAATAGCGATGGAGAAGCTATTCTCCGAAGTATGAAGTACGAAGTAGCAGTCGAGGCTCTGGGCACGAAGTAGAGTAGTACTTGCGGTGGTACCTGCCGCTTTTTGCCTTCTCAAGCCGCTGCTTGCCTTGTCAATCGGTCTTTCCATGTCTTCTTCCGGTCCATTGCTCCTGTCATTCCGGGTCGTTGCCCAGGCTCTCTTTTGCAAGAAGTACATACAATTGGATTGGTACGAAGTTACACTACGGAAGTACTTGGACGGTCTGGCTGGGCTGGGCTGGGCTGGACTCGGCTGGGCCACACTGGCCAAGCTTGGTCTTTTGTCCCTGCGGCATTTCACACATCATCATAACAACACCACGAGTGTTACCTCTCAGATTTTTTTTTTTTTTTTTCTCTTCTTCCACATGTATTTTTTCTTTCCCTGTTCTTTTCCCAATTCCATCTTTTCTTGTGCCTGTTATCCCTCATCCGTGATTCCCTCTTTTCTAGATATCTCTTCCCTTCTATGATTGTTCTCAACCTGGCATAGACTTAGAAGTTAGAGGTATGTCCAATTGCCTCATCATGCATTTCATGATGCTCTCCCAGTTTATCTAGTCCACCACCCCCACTAACTTTGCTTATCTCGGAGTTTTTAGGCCATAGGACGAGCAAAATCCGATCCTCACCCACGATCTCCTTCTTTCCGCTCACCAACTCAATCGAACACCTCCGTGTATCGCCTAGTCTCCTTTCTTCATTCCTCCCACATATCTCACAAAAATGTTTGCTCGTGGACAATCGACGGCGTCGCAGGTATGTAAAATATGTATCTTCGAGTTTTCTCTTATTCCGAGCTCCCAATTGGGCTAGCTGCAGGGCGGAGAGAAGGCGAGAGAGAGAGAGGGAGGCAGAAGGACGCGAATTGACTGATGTGTTTGTCTCCCATTATAGCTGGTGCGAGCCACCACTCGACAGCCCTTCCTCGCCCGCGCCAACTCGACCTTCCAGGTTGGCGCCGTCAACCCCGTCAGGACCGGCGGAAAGTACACAGTAACCCTCATTCCCGGTGACGGTATCGGCGCCGAAGTCGCCGAGAGCGTCAAGACCGTCTTCAAGGCCGAGAATGCCCCCGTGCAGTGGGAGGAGATTGACATCACCACCCTCGAGACCCCCGTCGAGCGCACCGAGTCCATGTTCCACGAGTGCGTAAACTCCCTTAGCCGCAACAAGATCGGTCTCAAGGGTATCCTCCACACCCCCATCTCCCGATCCGGCCACCAGAGCTTCAACGTCGCCATGCGCCAGCACCTCGACATCTACGCCTCCGTCAGCATGATCAAGAACATCCCCGGCTACAAGACGCGCCACGACGGTGTTGACATGTGCATCATCCGTGAGAACACCGAGGGCGAGTACTCCGGCCTCGAGCACCAGAGCGTTCCCGGCGTTGTCGAGTCGCTCAAGATTATCACCCGCAAGCAATCCGAGCGCATCGCCCGCTTTGCTTTTGACTTTGCCAAGGCCAACCAGCGCAAGAAGGTTACTTGTATCCACAAGGCCAACATCATGAAGCTTTCCGATGGTCTTTTCCGAAGCGCTTTCCACAAGGTCTCCGAGGGCTACTCCGGCCTCGAGGTCAACGACATGATTGTCGATAACGCCTCTATGCAGTGCGTCAGCAGGCCCCAGCAGTTCGACGTCCTCGTTACCCCCAACCTTTACGGCAGCGTCCTCTCCAACATCGGTGCTGCCCTTGTCGGTGGCCCTGGTGTTGTCCCTGGCTGCAACATGGGAGATGATATTGCCGTCTTCGAGCCCGGTTGCCGTCACGTCGGTCTTGACATTAAGGGCAAGGACCAGGCTAACCCCACTGCCATGCTCCTCTCCGGTGTCCTCATGCTCCGACACCTCGGTCTCCACGAGCACGCCGACCCCATCGAGAAGGCTGTCTACGATGTTATTGCCGAGGGGTAAGTCGTCACTTTGCAGTCCCATCTCAGGATTGATATAGTAGTATGTGTGCTAACTTGTTTGTTCCCCTTCTATAGCAAGTTCCTCACTCGCGACATGGGCGGCCAGGCCTCCACTCTCGAGTTCACCAAGGCGATCCTCGACAAGCTCGAGCAGGTCCACAAGGAGTAAACGGCCTAAGCCCTCCGACCAACAGCTTTTAATCCCATAATATGGCACAAACCCTGTTTTCTGGTGTTTACATAGATGGTTCCACTCCAACTTAGAAGGGGGAGGTTGGTCATTTTTTTTCCTGGTTTTGAACAAAAAAAAAGTCCCATCCAGGCATCACATCACAAAGCCTGGCAGCTTCGGCTCGAGAGCCCCCCGGCCCTACGAGTCAGCATAACACACGTCGAAATGTAGATCTAGCAGATGAGTTGATGATAAGAAGGATGGATTGGATTTTAGAAGGATTCTTTTGTTGTTATTTCTTGTTCTTTCTTTTGTCACTCGGGGGAAGAGGGGGGATAAGAAGAAGTAGGCATACACAGCCGCAGGGCCAAGAAGACGGCTAATCCGAAGAAGAAAGCATACCCGGCGATGCGGAGGAAGGGGAAGAAGGCAGGCACCATTTGTACATACAAGTAGACGAAAATACCATCATCGAACCCCTTGCATCATTGAGCCAAGTATATCGATATCAAGAGAAGAGGAAAGATCAGCTGTGAAAGTGGATAAGAATGTAACATGCCAACCCATGCTCGTCTTTGCGGGGAAGCATTTTGCGGAGATGAACCCATGTTTGGCGTCCCAGTTTCCCCAGTTTAGATCAGTATGGAGTCATGAAATTAAATTCATCTCGTTAGGGGGAATGGGGGAACGGGCATTTCAAATGTTTGGAGTGCGTGGGCATCGACGAGCCTCGGGTGAGGCGCAAAAATATGTGAGAAAAGGCTGGACGATGGTTTCGGACCCGTGAATTTAGCTTGTGATAGTGGCAGAGTAAGAAAAATGAGCCCGAGTCCGCCGGGGACCAAGACACTAAGCAAGGAACCCACAGGTACCAGGGGGGGGTCAGCACAATTGCGTAGTGGTCTGTGGATGTGGTGGTGGGCGCGGGGTAGCTGGCCATGGCTGCTCCAGGTCCAGGCTGGCTGTCCTACACGCCCCCCCAACTCCATCGCGACTTCCTTCATGTGGTTTCAATGGTTCCTTCTCTTAGCTCCCCTCGCCCGCTCCTGCTTCCTACTCTGGAAATAGAAGACACACCCCCAAGAGAAAAGAGATACAAGTACTAAACCACTCGTGGCTCTACCTTCCCGCATACGTGCTTGTTTCAAGAGCGTGGAGTTACATTTTGGACGTGGAGGTGGATTTAAATGACCTAGGTACAATTGCACGAGAGAAAAAGCACGAGGGAAAGCGTCACGACTAGACGCTTTGGGGAAAACATCCGTCCGAGCCTTGCTCGTTGAAGTATTAGAGATCAATTATATATATCGACAACCTCTCGTCGCTCTCGTCCATCTTGACTTTTACCTCTTCTCTTTCTCCTCCCGGCTCTATCACCTCATCTCACTTGCATAGTTCTCTCGAATTGGTATACGTCCGTACGTACCATATATATTTGTGGTCCTCTTTTTCCTACTACCTAAGGTCACCGCTAGACACCGAGATACCCGATTCCGTGTAGCATCATCATCATTCACCATGGCTGCCCCAGCTTCCAGCAACATCAGCAACCTCGAGGGCCGTTGGCTCATGGTAAGTTTTATTTGTTTCTTTTCTTCTTCTTTTTACCCCTGCCATGCCATACACGTATACTCCAACTCCCCTATTCACCAAACCCCTCGACTAACAATAAACCTGCCCCCACCATCAGAACCACACCCTCTCGGATAGTATCGAGCCCGGTCTCTCCCTCCAAGGCATCTCCTTCCTCCTCCGCAAAACCATCACCCTCGCCTCCGTCACCCTCGAAATCAAACAATTCACGGCCCCGCCCAAAGCCCCCAACACCTCGACGGACCCCGTGACGCACATTGACATCCAGCAAATCGCCACGGCCGGTCTCAAGGGCACCCGCGAGGAGCGCTGCCTCGACAACACGTTCCGCCCGCACTCGGACTGGATCTTCGGCAGCGTTAGGGGCCAGTCGAGGTGGATCTCGCTCGAGGAGGTCGAGGACGAGTTTCTCAAGAAGGGGTGGACCATCGATGACGCTGAGGAGGCTGGCCCCGAGGGGAAGAAGCATGTTTTGAGTCATGTTGAGAGCGTCGATAATGGGTGGACGGCGACGCAGATTTGGGGGTTTCAGGAGGTCAAGGGGGAGAGGAGGTATGTGAGGAACATTGTTATTAAGAAGGGGGATAAGAGGGTTGATATGAGATTGGTTTATGATTATCTCGGTCCTCTTGATGCTTGAGCTTGCTTGGGCGAGGGCTTTTAGGGGTCGTTTATACCTAGAGGATTGATGGACCTAGTTGGGGGGAGAAGAAATGAGAAGTAGTATCCTGAGTATCTTGTTTTTGCCGACAGAATGAGTTTAACACGCGCGAGAATAATTTCCTTTCCTTTTTTAAGGAGAGGGAGACATGAAGGGCGCATTATATCTCCAAGCCAAAAAAGGTGAAAATCCCAATGAACCAAGATGTGTATTGTGTTGAGCATTATACATAAACGCGCAGTTCCATGAGCTCGAGTCCCGAAACGTTGCCAGAGTTTGTGCCATCTAATTGCGCCAGTGTTGAAACCTTTCCTTTCCTAATATGAACCCTTCGCTTCCTCATGTTGCCCGTTATACGTGTCGCTTTAATTCCTTGAGGGTAAGGGTGTACAACACCCTATGTGAAATATAGCCGAGGGAGGTGATATCATGAGATATTTTCTGTCCGCCCATGTTTCTTGCAGACCTCCCGGGCTCATTATAAACTGTCGAGAGGCATTAAATAGCCCCGATTTTCGACAAGCTCTCCTAGAAACCACATACCGCTACTTCCTCACTTCTCAATATCTCATAGACCCAACACATCCACCCCTACCTCCTCATCCCCATCCTAAGCAGGTCTCCTCCTCACAAACTCCCCCAAATCCTCAACCGTCGCCACCCCCAACACAAACCTCCTCTTCTCATCCGTAATAACGGCAAAATCCTGCTTCTCGCCGCTCCCCTCGCCCCTAAAAAACGCCTCGAGCTCCTCCAGCGGCGTCTGCATGGTAATAACGGTATACTTTGTCCCCTTGCGTCGGAAGCGCGTCATGGCCTTGGAGATCTCGTCAGTGGGCTGGACGGCGCCGGAGTCGAGGAGGCGCTGGAGGTGGGGGATGGAGACGTAGCCGAGGAGGGAGCGGGTGGTGGAGGAGACGACGGTGAGGTGGGTGTATTCGCGTTCGAAGGCGGAGATGAGGGCGTGCGAGATGGAGTCGGAGGGGATTACGGAGAGGGCGGCGGGGGGGTCGAGGTCTTGGACTGTGGCCTGATTTTTTGGGGGGCAGGGGACTGTTAGTTTGAGAGGGGAGAGGGGGGGGGGAAGGGTGAGGTTGATGGGGATGTGCTTACGCCGCGGTAGCGGGAGGACCAGTTGGAGGAGAAGAGTTTGGAGGCGGCGTCGGGTTGGGGCGCGGTGGTAAAGGTGTGGGTTGTCATCGTGGCGGTGGGCGGTGGGTGGTTGTGTGAGGTGGGGTTCGGTGAGACTTTTGGCTTTGATCGAGATGGTGGATAACGGGATGCGGATGGTTCGTTTTAAATTTTCTGATGTTCCTCAGATCTTGGAACCTACCTGACGGGAGCGGATTCGTGATTGATCGGTGTCGAGGATGGTGGGAAGGTTAAAGAACTCCGACGAAAAAAGAAGAGGAAAAAAATCCCAGTAGGCGTATCGAAATAATGGGTTGGGAAGAGGTCGTGGATTTCTCGATTCGTGGGGGTGTCGGTTTGTCATTCTGGTGAGGTCAAGCACAAGTAAATTTCCTAGAAGGGCTAAAGCAGCGTGGGCCAATTTGGCTAGGCTGGTAGAGATCAAGGCGGTCATTGAATCAATTATTGTCAGCTCGACTAGGCCTCAGCTGTATCTAGATTACAAGTATTAGCAGTAAGAAGTCAAGGTTCGATGTCGATTTTAATCTACCGAACAAGGATGGAACATTTCAATACTGTCTTAATAGCTTGTAACCTGAACCGTCTCCCTCAGACACCTCCAGCTCGATCTCATCGACTCGGCCTGGAGATTAGTAGCGAGCCTGTATAAACTCCAGCGCGATATCCTTGGTTGTTGGTGTCAGCTCAATTCATTTGCTTTTTTTTTTTTTTTTTTTTATCGGGCCAGTATTGGAGCTTCCAAATTAGCCATTCAGAGCTGGTATTTCGGCCACTCCCTGCAAGGACTGCTGGCATTACGATCCTCCTGGATCTCTCAGGTCAGGCGGTCGTTTGTCCTCCCGGAAAGAATTGTCGCGACGTCTTAAGTCCGAACTCAGCTCTACGAAACAGTACGTACTGCCGTTTCCTCCTTCCTCCCGTCCTCAAGGATTCAAATCCGTCGAATGAACAAGTACCCCAGATTGTACTAGGGTACTAAGGTACTGCAGTACGTACTCTGAATACTTGCTCACGCTCAGTCAATCAGGAAAGCTGTGATGTCACTCCACCCAGCTCCAGGTCTCCACGTCTCCCAGTCTCAGGCCCGGTTCGTCCCTTCCGCCTGAACGAGATAACAATGAAGTGATAACAAGTATTGCTTTTGATGCAGGTCGCAGGTCGCAGGTCGCAGGTCGCACGTTGGTGGCGCCCATGTTTGTACCGCCCAAGTCTCTATCCTCGGGTTTTTCTCGTTCCTAGGGTTATTCCGGATCATCAGTAACATTCAAGAGCCATTTTACTCTTTTTTCCAATTCTTCTTCCAGTATTATTTTCCATCTCTCCTTCTTCCTCTCCCCTCATCCCTGCATCGTGAAGCTTCCAGCGCGGGTTCACTTATCGACTCGTCACCCATCGGCAGTAGCCTCACACACCCCTCAATTGATTCCAGGCATTCCTTCTAGTTCTCCATTTCCTATTTTTGAATCCATTACCCGTTTCCCCTCCCCGCCATTTCCGGCGGTAGATCAACATCATGTCCAAAAACCAGCCCAGCCAAGAAACCCTCCGCGGGCTCTTCTACAGCCCCCTGGCCTCTAGGCCCGCCGACGACGCTACGGGCCAGTCGGCCCACTCGCAGGAACCCGCCCTTCCCCGCAAGCGCATGGGCACTTCGTTCGATTACTATTCCATCATCGACGACGCCAAAAAGGAGGCCAAGAAGCTTGGTGAGGAAGCTGCCCATGAGCTTGAAAAGGCCAGCGCGAAGGCCCAGAGTGCCACGGGCACCATTGCGCTTTATTCGCCCAAGTATTACGCTGCCTGTACCTTTGGCGGTACGCTGGCCTGTGTAAGTTGTTATCGTTAATTCACCTCATTTCCTCTCTCTCTCCCCGGCGATATTTTGCAGATGCTAGTTGTAGCCATCTTTCGCCCAGGCGTCGTTGTCTAGGGGAAGTTCCACGGGAACTCCAGAAACTGACAGTCTCCAATTGCAGGGCCTCACCCACACGGCCGTGACGCCACTTGATCTCGTCAAGGTGCGCCGCCAGGTCGATCCCGGACTCTACAAGAGCAACATCCAGGGCTGGTCCATGATCTACCGAAAAGAAGGCCTTCGCGGCATCTTCACCGGCTGGGGCCCGACCTTCTTCGGCTACTCGGCCCAGGGCGCCTTCAAGTACGGCTGGTATGAATTCTTCAAGAAGACCTACTCCGACCTAGCCGGTCCTGAGGCCGCCTACAAGCACAAGACCTGGCTGTACCTCTCCGCCTCGGCCTCTGCCGAATTCCTCGCCGACATTGCCCTGTGCCCCTTCGAGGCCGTCAAGGTCCGCATGCAGGGTGCCCTGCAGAACCCTTACAGGGGCACTTTCCACGGCATCAGCAGCGTCTTGGCCAAGGAGGGCTCTGCCGGTCTGTACAAGGGCTTGTATCCCCTTTGGGGCCGTCAGATCCCTTACACCATGATGAAGTTTGCTTCGTTTGAGACCATTGTTGAGATGATTTACGACCGACTCCCCGGACAGAAGAACGACTACGGCAAGGCTGCGCAGACGGGTGTTTCCTTCACGGCTGGTTATCTCGCTGGTATTCTTTGCGCCATCGTCTCGCACCCGGCTGACGTGATGGTGAGCAAGCTCAATGCCAACCGCGAACCTGGAGAGGCGTTCGGCGCCGCTATGGGTAGGATATACAAGGATATCGGATTCATGGGTCTCTGGAACGGTTTGCCTGTGAGGATTGTCATGATTGGTACTCTGACGGGTCTGCAGTGGATGATTTATGTAAGTGCTGCCAAGACTAACCCCCTTCTTTTTTTCCCTTCCTTTTCTTCTTGGCTAACAGACTGCTGCAGGATTACTTCAAGATCTTCATGGGCCTCCCGACGACCGGTGGACCGGCGAAGACAGCGCAGGTGGAGGAGGCCAAGCTCAAATAGATTTGTTTACTTCGGGTTTAGCCCATCGCCTCGATGGGTTGGCGTGATAGAGAAACCAGAAAAAGAGAAGACCAATAGTAAGCGAGTTGGAACTCATGGGCTGTACTTGTGTATGTTATTTAAAGAAATACATAAAATCGATAAAACGAGGCGTTGTTACAGAACACAGACCTTTTAAATTCCTACGGAGCGCACCATGAAAGCCCAAGTCATCCGGTAAGAATGTATTGCAGCTTATTTAACGTATTGATCCGTGGCGGAGAGGAGTCCAACGAGACATGCTTCGCTTCAGCAAGATGAATCGAGAAGATGCCCTTAGCCATGGCAGGGTTCATGTCCCGCTCCTCACTGTCGCCGACGTACGCCATATCTCCCGAGGAGATGCCCAAGTGCCGGAGGACCTCGGCGAACAGGCCGTCCGTCTTAGCCACGCGAAAACGGTTCGTCGTAGCGAGGAAGTCGACATACTTGCCTATACCTAGGGCGTCGATCGTTCTCTCCTGCGCGTCCTGCGGTCCTTCAGTTATGACAGCGATCTTCTTGCCCATATCTTTCAGGGTCGAGAGGAGAGATACCGCGCCGCACTTTAGCTCGAGGGAGGCAGTTAGGGTATCTTCGTAAGATTCTAGGAGGCTAGTCATGAATTGTGGGTCGTGGGGTAAGGAGAAGTGCGCGAGGAGGGAACGGAATCTTTCTTCACGGTAGTCGAAGGACGTCTTTCCATCGGAAAAGGCATTTGCCGTCTTTGCTCGGAGGATTTTGGAGTATTCCTCTTTGAGGGTAGGGATGGGGATGTCGTGTCGCGAGGAGATGGCGGAGAGGACTTTGGCTGTTGCCGTTGAGGATGCGCGGCGGAATTCGTGCAGGGTGTCGTCGAGGTCGAAGCCGATCCACATTTTCTGCGAGAGGATGGCCCGCAGTTGGAGGACGTTGGACTGCCAGCAGCGGATGTATAGACGGCCTAGATGCTCTTCGAGGTTTTGCTTCTCGTTGTTGGAGAGGAGGCCGTAGGGTGGTACATCGGCAATCATGGATGAGCTAGCCTCCACAGTCGAGTACAAACCCAATGGCTTCTCCTCCTCGCTGGAGATGCCCCTTTCGTCATTCGCCGAGGAGGAGGAGGAGAGCAACGACCTAAACGGCTCCTTGAATTTGAGCATAGTCTCAGAGAATGGTACTCCCCACCTCTCGCAGATACCCTCGAGTTCCTTCCGGGGCTTCTTCACCAGTCGCTCGTAGAGAAGACACGAGACGGGATGCGAAGGGGCTTGATCGAGAAGCCGGAACATTTTCGTATAGCAGCCGATCAGACTCTGCGCGTCCGTCCATCCGACGTGCTTCCAACTGTCGAAGACCCGGATGGGATCGCGGATTAGGAAGACGGGCCGAGTTACTTCATATACGGCGGGTGTTAAGAACGCGCTGTACAGTTGACTGTTGTTGCTAAGCTCTTCTTTGCATATGAGGAACTTTTGAGAAGAAGGGTTATCCAGGATCGAGTAGTCAGGCCGAAAGGCCTCTCTTGATCCCTCATTTCCCGTTGGGAAGAGTCCGCTCGTGACGGCGCAGTCGGGGGACTCTGCGAAGATTCGCATAAGAAGACCCGAGCCGCTTCGAGGGCAAGCGATCACGAGCCGGATCTGAGGCTCCTTGGCAGCAGGCGATTGCGGCTCGACTGTTCCCATCTCGGCAGATTTCCAGCACGCGACGCAACCAGAATTAACGGTTAACTGGTTTGCGCCTGGAGAGGGAGAGGCGACTGCTCGAAAGAGAGCCGCGGGGTTGGCACCAGAGCTTGGTGCAAGTCTAGCACGCTAGATCATGCGTCTAAGGCGCAACGGGAACAGTCCCATTTTAATTTACGGGGCCTAGTGTCGTCGAGTTAGTCGGATTTTCTTAAGCAAGCCCATGCCGCATTCGTCGATAGTCGCGATACCGGATCCCAACAGCCGCCCACGCTGTCTAATTTTTTTCGGGGGAGGACCGGCCAATTCCCGTTTCCCACTTCGTCGCTTAGGCGCCGGGTGAGGGCGCAAATTCAGCATCTTGGTTTCGGTTTTCAAGACATCAAGACACGCCAGCACCTCTTTCAAGACTACAATATCCTCAGCCGAAATGGAAGCGAGAGCTCCTGCCATCTCAATTGGTCTATCCATCGCCTTGAGGCTTTTTCGACAGTTGATCGCAAGGGATTGAATGAGGACATTCCGTTCCATGATCACCGAAATCCGGTGCCTATTGGCTTCGAGTGAACAGGAAGCATCAGCGCCAAAGGAACCAGGCCTCGCCCCGGCTCTGTGACAGCAGCCAGAGGAGGATGCTGTTCCAGAGGTGAAGGGTCCTTCTTTGATTATAGTCCTGCTTCTTTCGAAAGTGGAAGAGAGATTCGAACTTGTCGGGAGCATTGTTTTATTAGGATTGACGTAGTTAATGTCAAATATATTGAAAGAAACACAAGAAAAACGACACAAGAGCCCGCAGAGTTGAGAAGAAGAAGAAAAGAGGATCAACAGATCCTCGACATCGTGCGTGGGGAACCGCTAATGTGATACCTCTCATCCTGTCCAAGGCAAAGCACCACCTCACACTTCGAATTGCGATCCCCAAGCTGAATAGAAACACTCTGGCCCTCTGGGAATACGAATTCGTTGGAGTCAATCATGCTCTTGATGACCGACTCCGTCACCGCTAATGTCTTCTGGGACATGAAGCCCTCCTGCGAAATCTCGAAGCAAGGGTAGGACGGATCCTGAACTTGAATGCTCTCAAATAACTGCCCAAGCTTGGAGATCTCTTTGGTATCGGCACTCCTGCTGAAGCGGCACCGAATCTCTCCTAAAGACAGGTCAACTAGAGTCTACAGCAATCAAACGAGGTCTCGTCTTACCTTGGACGCTATAATGATGCTCCGATGACGCGGTGCTGTTGACCACAAAGTAAAACGAGCTGGCGAGCAATCTTCTGGCCAAGCTGTCGAGCATTTCTTTGCATTCCCTGTCCTTCTGCCAGTATTGGCGTGTTTCTTCTTCGAGGCCTTGAATCCTGTGGACGTCGTGCAACTCAGCAAAGGGGGGATTGAGCTTATTGTTCAGGCGGATAATCCGCTCCCTTTCAGATTGGTTGTCTTTCTCGAATTGAGCCCAAGTCCTTTGTGAGTTGAGGCTATTCGAGATGTGGTTGATGGCGGTCTGGATGAGCTCCAACGAGCCTAACCACTTTTTCCAGCGGATCCAGCCTCCTTGGTTTGGTGGAGGCTCCTCGGCAGGCGTCGTGTCCTCTATATCTTCAACTAAGCCGGTTCCCAGGGATACGAGAAGATCCAGTGGAGACTGCGGCCAGAGTAATTGGTGTTCTTGCCGTGCGACGTAGACGGGGTTGTTGTGGTTCAGGCCGCCATCAACATACGACTTCCCAGTTGAGGCATGACTGTATCTCTCAAACCAAGTTGGCGCAGCGGATGTTGCTCGAGCACTAAATTATGAGTTAGACAGCAAGTACAGAGAGGAAGAGCTTGGATCCAGGATCAACCCACGCCTCCCAGATCTTCCACCTGGCGGAAAGATTCGTTTGGTGTATAAACCCGCAGTGGGTATTTTCTGCGATTCATCAGCATCGCGAAAGGTTTTTTTTTTTTTTTTTTTTTTTTTTTTTTTTTCCATATCACCAAGATGATGCATACCGGATCCTGCACGATTGTAGTCGGCTACAAGGACTGCTTTCCCAGCACTTTCAGTTGCCACGCGAGCAACCTTTGGCTGGAATGCTGTCGCAAGGTCGTGCCCGCCACCAAAGAGGTTGGAACCAGGCCCAAAAGCCTCAATCAGAGCGTTCACCACACCCTTAGTGTCGAAACGAGGTAAGAAGTAGCCTATGAGAAAGGTGAGACGGTCGAAAGGAAGACTTTGACCCACGTACTTTTCTACGAAAGTTGGGACAAACGCCGAGCCGCAGAGCTCTTTGAACTTCTCGGCGCACTCAGTAGCAGTCCAGCCCTTCTTCGCCAGGCCGGCCGCAATGATTCCTCCCACACTGGAAGTTTCATTCTCGGTAGTAAGTTCAAAGGCCGAGTGTGGTGGACGAAGATTTACCTTGTGCCAACGATAAGGTCGAAGAACGAGTGTATGGGGATCCCTCCTAGACGCAGTTCTAGCTCTCGGAGAATGGCAAGCGTGACTATTCCCCTTATTCCTCCTCTGTTGTCTTGGTAAGCCTCGTCCAGGTCCTTCTCCCATTTTTGGCGTAAAACTTACCCATTTAGAGATAGAACACGGACCCCCATGTCGGGCTTCTGAAGCCGAATATGGGTCTCGCCTTCATCCGACGGGTCCAACGGGCACTGGCGGCTCTTGATAAGTCGATCATCAGACCAGTCGACCAGATTTCCTTGAAAAATAGCACAATCCTTGCAGAGGATGTGATTGCACGGCAGCACATACTCGGGGACGTTCATGAGGCACGAAAGACACATGGGCTGGTCCTTGAAGGAGGACGCGCCCATGTGAGTACCATAAAAGTCCCAAATGATTTCCAGATGTACAGACATTGCCAGTTACGGGTAGATAGAATTCCGCGCTTCCAGCAATTCTCTTAGCTGGACTTCGACTTTCCGAACGAAGTCATCGCCATCTGATTTCCTCAATGTGGTTTCATAGCCGTCATCGAGCTCGGAGTCGGGCCTTCTCAGAACGGTTCCTTTCTCATCCTGACAACTCTTCGCATGGCCGGACTTCCGATTGATGCATCTTGGGCGTTTGCAAGCCAGTGATTGTCTCGAATGGACTCGAATGCATCCAGGCAGAACTTTTTATATTTGGTCATGAGCTCGGCCTCATCTCCCATGTACCTTTTTCTCTCCGCGTCCAGCATTATACTAGACGCAATGACCCTACTCATGGGGTTGAAAATGGCTGCCGCATCTAGGTCCGAATTTAATTCTTTCTTGATCAAGACAGATGCGAGATAGACGATGTTGTCCCCGAAGTCGCGGCAAACAGGTTGAAGGGAGAAAGAGGCCTTCACAAAGTCGAACGGGGCCTTCAGCCCGTTCTCCGATGCAAAGTGATCAAAAGCGAATCCGAAGTAAGGACTGATCTGGTCTGCAGTGAGACATCTTCTGTTGATTCGAAACGTGAGAAACGGACTCGGATCCCCATCTTAGCAGTTGCTCGATGGCATTTTCGACTGTCCTGCAGGAGAGTCAGTATCCCAGTTGAGGCCATCTTAGAACGAACCATGGGGGGAGGGGGGGGTTACCTAGAATTCCCAAGAACAAATACCACTACGTCCGAGAATGTGTACAGCATTCGAGAGAATAGATTCGAGACAATAAACTCACGTCCTGCGTCTTCGCTTCCCCGCCAATAGAGCCTAACGTTCTTTGCTAGCCTTTGCAGCATCTTCTTGGTGCTATATTTGGCAGCGGCGGCAAGGCTCTGAGGCGGGCTGTTCCCTCCGTTGAGCCCTTCACAGTCGGCGTAGAGCTTGGGATGATCAGACTGGATGATCGTCGGGTCTATGTGAAGATGAACATCCCCCGAGGTAGGTCGCTGCTCGTTCTGACCCACCCCGACAATAGGAGCCTCGAAGTCTCGGTGGCTCCTGTTCAAGCCCTGACATGGCGCGACTTGTCAGTTGGCTGACTTCGTTTTGTCCACGGTTGTGACTGCAACACAGCAAAGAACGGGTATAATGTAGTAACATACCTTGATCAAAAGGTTGATGAGACCGCTTTTGCTAGCGCCTGTTTGTATTTCAATAGTACAATTTACTTAGCCGGGCTCCAAACTTCTCTCGGAAAGAGGCTTACCTGTCTCGCCGATGAATGACGCGAGGGATGGATAGACTTTGTCCATCCGTGTTCGTACGTCCTCGCATGCGATGAGCTCCCGTTACTGCTGCATTTGGCCAGGGTTCTAACCTGCTCTCCATGCTGTATCCTCCACATGAGTCGCCAGGCGTCTTCTCTCTATCATTGACAGAAGGGTGTAAGTCGAGGCGAGTGCTTCGAACCGTCCCACTGTCCCTTCATCTATGACTTTTTTGAAGGTAGGCCAAAAACTAATTCTCGAGTTATTATATTTGATCTAAATCTCTACCCCAAATCGAGCTCGCTCTGCACAGCTAGAGTGGCCAGCGTTTGGCTATGGAGCGTACCGGTTGAGTCGGCGACATCCACGTCCCCCTTCAGATATGAGGCTCTGTGATCCACTTAGAATCGATGTTCGCATATTCTCAGTTCGTTTGGCCCCTTTCTCGTCTAGACCTAGTAAGTTGCAACGAAGCGGAAGTCGGCGGTATCAACAATGATACTTAGATGAAGAGTTGGCCGTTGTTGGTCCCGTACACACGCCCATATCACACCGGGCAGGACACCAGAATGACATGACAGACTTGAAAACCAGCCGAGTACCTTGAAACCTTAGAGATTAAACACTTCGATCTAACAGCTTTGACGAATCCAATATTTGTTTTCTTGTATACTTGGTCGTTGGGGACTAGGGGTGTCTTTCTCCAAACCCACGATATACCTAGCTCAGGAGGCAAGTGAAGCGCTGCGTTCCAATATCTTGGTGTGAGAGAATGACCTTCCAGAAGATAGCTCATCTCGTCCGCCCAGTTCGTGCTCGGCTTCTCCAATTCTGAGCCAAGTTTCGGATCGCGTTGCTTCATGGCAAGTTAGATGCAGCTATGATTAGCTACTTGGCGCCCTTGGTTCTTATGGTCGTGAAAACATTTCTTCGTCCCGGAGTGGAAAACATCTCGAGTGATCTTCAAAGTGTGGATCAGCACCGTAACTAAGCAATTGCTAAATAGACTTGCTTCCCGTCCGCCTTCAGGAGGTCATGAGAGAGGCGTGTCCTCTGGCTGTGAAAGGAAGAGCAAAGTATTGAACGTTGCCATTTGCTCAGGAAAAGGATTCCGCATCGGGAACCCGCAATGGAGTCGAAGGACTTGGCAACCCCCCGGTGAAACTCTAGAAATAAGTAAGACTTGCATGATACGCTCGCCATCTCTCCAAACGGGGCAACTCGACCGTTACCCTACGTCAGGAGAGTTACTGCAAGGCCTTAATTGTTTAACGTTACATGGCAGATGGACGAAAAAGAAAAGGGCGTCGTCTTGTCCTTCTCTTCCATTCTAGACTACTTCTTCTTGGGCAAACATCGGCCGACTTGACATTCGCAGACGGATCCTTCCGGACGATGGCTGGGGTGGTGAGTACGGAGTACAAGATGGGGGAAGGGAAGGTGGTAACCACATCAAGCTGGTCAAAAAAAACCTGTTGCCAATCGGCCCGCCTAGGGTAGCCCGACGATGTTGTGTGGTACAGCATCAGCATGCTTCTCATGCCAGGAAAAGCTGTTGGCGGCAAGTGTGAGGTGGGGTGAAGGAGTGGAGGGGGTGGGAGGAGGGGACTTCCGAGTTGGTCGTTCACCTCCACAGCCGGACTAGAAGAAAGATGCAGCGAGTCTGATTGAGAACAAGGATGCGACCGACCGATTGGCGGACAAGAGGAAAAGGACGTTTACAAATTCAAAGAGAGAAGCTCTGGAAAAGTGCCAGGCTGGGGCAGGCCGGAAGATCCGATCATGTCCGGTGCGCCGATGTGAGCGATACTACCGTATAACGTGTCCGTAGGATGAAGAAGCGAGCACCAGCATCGGGCTCGTGCTATTTTTGCCACGAGGCCAAGCTGCGAGATGAAATGATGCTGGGCTGGGGTTCAACAGCATTAACCACCTTGGCGGGACTCACATCCCCTGTTTGTCTTTAGAAACGTTATTGATCGTAGTCTTCCGATCAGCGAGTGTAGGATGGTGTAGGAGTGTAGTCCTCGAGTTAGAAAGCGAACATGAACTACGAATCGAAGACCAAGTCCAGGAAGAAAAATTACGTCAGGCCAGCGGCAAGGCCGATGTCTCTTGCAGGAAACGGTAGTTCGGCTGACGCAGAAGATGTCATTAAAAGGCATTCTCTCCGCGAATAGTGCCGCATATCAAGGCGTCTTCTCTCAAGAAGCGGGGTTTATTTCCCCTCGACAGGACTCCCGGCAAACAACGACTCCAGTCTCCCACGTTTTTCCCCTGCAAACCATTAGCTCTGTGCCAACGTGAGGTTGAGTCTAGCCCATTTGCTGAATTGTTGGGGTCGGAAACGCAGGACGCTTTCGATTCAACGCTAGTCCGCTTCAGTTTCTGCCCTCGTGTGCACCCCCTAATTTAGTATCGTGTTGGTGTTCTCGAACTTGCATTGAAGCGGGGGGAGGGTCGGGGTGACTGGGGGGAAGCCCTCCAGCGCTCGCCAGGTCACGGCAAGGTTTGGAACTATAAACCGCCGGCCAAGTGCTTACTTCGTCATTTTACTTCGTATGCTCGGGCTATTGGACCCGACAAAACATGCCGACTGGGAGGGAGAAAGGAGAGCTAAGAAATGTTTCTCCCGCTCGGATCTTCCAGCTCTGCTACCACTTGGCGTGCGTCTCTCGCCTGGAACTGTGGGACAGTTCGCCTGCTGCCAATGTTGCGCAGCTAGTTCCCTTCTGTGTCGTTTTGACGGGAGAAGTGTCTGGTACAGCCTGTGCTACTACCGAGTCGGGGATCGAGCCGGGTGCACTTTGATTCGTACTTCGTAATCGCCGAAAGCCTATAGTACTCATCGAACTTTACAGGAGGAAGATCCGAAGGTCAGTTTTAAATTGACGGTCTGCAAGACCGGGTTTGTAGCGGCTAATCAGGGAAGCATGTAGGCTTGGCGTTAGCGAGATGCTAATGGAGGGTGTCCATCTCTTGCCTGTCATCCTTTGAGTCTGTGGGATGGGATGGCAGCCAATATTACGACTTCAGCGCAGGCGATCGAGGTCAGCAACTCGGTGGAAACTACTTCGTATCTGGATATGATCACGTTCCCCGGAAAATGGTAAATGCTGTCAAGGCGTCAATAATAATACTTTGACATAGACTTACGTGCGGTAGTATTAGCTGTTCCCGGTTATGGGGGTACGGAAAGTTCGATCAGTGCGACTTGATTAGAATCGAGTCCCATGGGCCTGGTGGATGGGTTGTATGGCGTGCGGAGTATCGCCGTCTGCTACTTTGGACGGCAACTGTCATTCGCGCCGCTGAGTCTTCTCTCATCAACTTGTCTGGGGTAGTAATAAATGCGAGTCTGGCGCAATATGCGCAACCAACGAGATGGCCGTGATTGGTAGAGTCAAGGTGCGCCGCGGACCTTGTTTAAAAGGGGAACCATCCAGCTCGACTTCAAATTGGAATGGGAGGGCAGAATTGATGTAGTAATATCACCAGTGTGCCAACATGAAGTACGTACATCGTACACAGGTACTCCTTCCTTTCTCGTATGGACTACTTCGCAAGTATTATTACTCTTGTACCCGAGCTGGGGCAGGAGAGCTTGAGGAGGGGTGTGTGACTTCGTTGACGTAACGACCATGTCCACGGCGGTTGCCCCGTCCCGAATTGCCGTTAACATTCGAGAAATTGAGTGGCAGTTTGGAAAGAAAGGATCGAATTGATGCGACATGGACCACTGGACAAAACTGTACCACGACGAACTCTGGTAGATCTTGATATTGCGCGTACTTCGTAAAGCGACATCTGCTTGTACAACCCCTTCTTTCCTTCTTTTTCTGTGTATCCGTGCATCAAAACGTCAAAACTAGGCAGGGGCAAACGGGGTCTGATCCATGACGCCGCGTGTCAAGTCGGGCAATGCTTTCCGTCCCAACTTGGAATGCTTGAGAGTACACTCGAGAGTACAGAGGAGTCATCAATCCGTACTGCCAGGCCGTCGATCAAATGTAAGTACTTTGTACTTCACACTAGCAGGAACCACTAATGTAACTTGGGAAAGTACAAAGCCAGTCCTGAGGGAAATGTTCTTGCTTTACCTCCTGCAGATCGGACGCATCCTCCCTCTACGGTCGACCGACGGAACCAGAAGCTGCAAGAGACTGGAACCACTAAGGGACAGGGTATTGGTGTCTGGCATGCGTCCACGGGCACACGCCCACGATTTGATCTTGCCACCTTATTTTGACGATGGGCAAACCGTCTCCAACCATTGCACTACGAATAGTCCTGGGAGGACCAAACGTCCGGGAGAGAAAGTAGTAATTACGTACCAGTCGCTCCAACGCGATAAAGTGGTCTGTGAGCCCGTGATAGGGCGACGATTCGATCCACTCCCAACACGCGATCTTGCAAGGGTACCTGTCTACTTCAGAGGTTCCTTGGAAAGATCAACCGGAAGCGGTAGTGTACAATCCAAGCTTCCCTTCGTAATGAACTCATGCAGTACGAAGGAAACGAGGCAGGTCGTCGTGGTCGCTTGGCAGGCCTGGCAGAGAGTAGGTAGGATTTATAAGTGAGCGCGCATGGTCGGCGTCTCGGCAAAGAACGTTTGCCAACCCAATAAGCTCTCTGCCCTTAGGTCTGGAAGTGTTAGACTGTCGTTCTGCAATGGACGTGTTCCAAGATACACATCATCTCAGATGACAGAAGCGGCGTCTAAAGGTCACTCGGTCGGTCCTTCTGACCATTACTGCGCAAGACATATTTCGTCACTTCGCCGTCAGCTCTTACCCATCACAGAAGAGACGATGGGATGGGGCTCGATTGACATCGCTATGATCTGCAACTAGGACGAACCGATCGACGATCCTACTAAGCCCTGACTGGCCCGGTCTGGCGCCACTGGCATCAAACTGACACGGGGAACGGGTAATAGTACAAATGTGGTGAAGACTCAATTGCTGAATGCCTGTGGCATCTTCCTGCCGATCACTGCTTCTATCATCCATCTACAGTAGTATGATTGTACCTGGAGCGGAATGAAGAACGGATGAATCCCCCCTGTGCTTCGTTTACTCTTGCCGAATGGTCAGTCGTCAATCCACACTCTAATCGCACCTACCCTGAAACCAGGCCCAGCTCATTGGTCTAACTAGTGGAATGAAGCCAACGGCTCCTTCCTTGAAAGCTGGTGCTCGTGATTGTTGGGATAACCCGTGACAATGTGGGTGCGAAAGGTACTCTGGAATTCTTTTGGTGAACGACAGGAAAGCAAGTTGCGTGGATCAATGTAATCCATGGGCTGAAATGATACTTGACCCCGCCATCGGCGGTAGCAATCTTCCCATACAAGCAGAGTTTTGGATCTGATATTGAAGTTGGTATTGCTCATCCCGGTGGGACGGCGACACTTGCTTTTAAACGGTTGGCGACCCGACATACCCAGACTTTGGCGACAAGTCTGCCCTCTACGTGGATACTTCGTCTAGACAAGCAAGTCGGGATCAATCAATGGGCTTCGTATGAAGGATGAGCACTTTGACTTGGCTCGGTCCCACCCTGCAGGGCCTTGGTGCTGTGCTCCTGCTGCGAGCTTCCCAATATTGATTTGATGACTTCACCATGTTCCCACCCACGCCAGCCCATCTCCACTAGCAATGCTCCATGGCCTGGTCTGGCCCCAGCTGCATTATTCCGTGCGTCTCCACTCTTGCTTCATCCCAGTTGCCTCCGTCCGCGTGGGAAGGTACGAAGTCGGGGTATTACTGGGCACTGGACACTGGGAGGCACGGAGTGGATGTTGTGTCCTATGACATTTGGTCAATCACGATCCACGACGTTCACCACTTTACGCTTCACGCTTCACAGCTAGGACTCGGGGCTCTTTTGCTGATGCTTGATAATTTTGGTGACGCTACACAATGCAGGCAGCCGAATAATAAAAAGACGAAAACGGACCTCAACGCTGTGAGAACGAAATCGGTTGCGACATACCTACCAATCCGACGTGGCAGTGGCAGTGGCAGTGGCATCACAGATTGATCCAGCGCCGGCCTCTCTCCCAAAGGAGCCTGGCGTTAACCGCATCCAGTAACGGGCATCTTTACTACTCCTGTGCCTCGCATTTCCCCCCCAATTGGATTACACTACTTGGTACATTTCTCTCCCATTCCAGGCGTCCGTTAGGCCCATGGATTCGACAGGAGGACAGGACGACAAGAGGAACGCAACATCGGGAACCTTGCGCAAAAATCCAGTGCCTCCCCCAAAACACCAACCGCTTTGAGTACATGTAGCATTGATCGACTCCCTTTTCTGCCACGCCGGTTTCTATTTCCTTTTTATCCTCTCGAGCCGTCCCTCAATAATTTAGCCCTTTGGAAACTCTTGATTTTATTTTTCTGTTTTTACTCTGCTCTTCCCTCTTCTCTCTGGGGTTCTTTTTTGGTGGCTTTGCATTTATCGTCGTATTTATGGTATGTGCTTTTCTCTCTCTCCCGAATCCGTTGTATTATAAACTCCTCCCTTCGTTTGTGTCCTGCACAGCATTCCCGGCAAGCCCGCTCCCCCAACGAGAACAAAAACCCTCAATGAACCCCACGCCTACGCCAACACCACCCGTCGCCGTGGTCTGTCGCCCCTCCCTCATGCCCACCACCCTCTAATCAGCTCTCAATTGCTGCACGTTCCAATTACTGCATCGCTCTGCACGTCGCATAGCTACTAAGCCATGTAGCTTGACTTAATAGGCTTCTCGACCTGGTTCCCTTTCTTCAGCCCTCGAATCCTCATCTTCGCCTACCACCAACCGAGTCCGCCCTTCGAGCACGCGATTTCTCGAAGCCTAGCCTCGCCTCATATCGTTCACCATTCTTGACGATTTACTTTATCAGTGCAGCAGCGTCCAATCATTATCCTCGATTTCCTCGGATGATACCCGTTCTTCATCGTATTTCCCGTCGCTGAGGGACCCGCCCTCTGTCATAACACCCTTCATACCTTTCGTACCTCGACACAAACGAACCTTTGATCACCTCGAAACCGCGGCTGCCCCCGACCCCAATCCACAACCGTCGAGCCTGCCTCGAGCAGGCAAAACGTCCGACGAATATGTCTTTCTTCACCAAATTTAAAGGAACAAGCGTGGTAAGGCCCTTCGCTCCTAGCTGCCGTTCCCTAGTATACTCGCCGTTGTGTACACATCCATGCCTCGCGACAAGATGCCATACCTCGGTCGACCCTCAAGCGCCAGCCGAACTGTCGCCGTATTTCAGGCTACTTCTCTCTCTCTCTCTCTGTGCCTTACCGATATGACACCAAACCTCTCCCGGCCTCTCCTCCTTGACCGTGACTTCGACCCCTTCGCTGATGTGGAATGTTGTGCTACTAGGGGACGTCAGCGCCCGGCGGCAAAGAGTCTGCCAGCAAGAAGAAGGAGGAACCGCCTCCCGAACTTACTCCCTTAGAAAAGATGCTCCAAAATGCCGGCCCTCTACGAAAAGACGGAACTGACAAGTTCTTCGGCCTAGAAAACGTATGTCGACTCCCCTCTGGCCCTGTTGCAATTGGCCCAACGTTATCTCCCTGTGCTTCTTTGCTAGGCAGAGAAGTAGGCCCGGTTCTTAATTTTCAGCTAACAGACGTTTTCGAGATCAGTTTGGCAATACATGGTACTACTCGAAACCTCCTTTTTCCTCCACTCGTGGACGCCGGAAGTAACTAACACGTGAGATGCTTGCGTGCCCTCGTACAGCTATTGCAATTCCATTGTGCAGGCACTATACTACTCGGAAGCGTTTCGCAACCACGTCGTAAATTATCCACCCGTCGAAGACTATACGAATGGCGTGCGACCAAAGGTCAACGTTACCATGAGACCACCTTTGAACGGAAGCGCGACACAGCCTCCGAATAAGAAGGGATCCACATCGTCCGATTCAACTAAGCGCCGTCAGGTCAGCGGAGCTGGAGGCCCCAACCAGCCGGGCACACGACCAGAGGACAAGCCCGATTCGCCCGAGTATAAGAAGAAGCAGGCTATGATGAAGGGGCCGATTTTAGAAGTGTCGCACGAGAATACGACCGCCTACGGGATGGAGGAGTGCACATTTACAGGTCTCAAGGATATATTTCTCGCTTTACTCGAGAGCCAAACCCGAACCGGCGTGTTGAGCCCTCAGCGCTTCCTCGAAATCTTCAAGCGCGATAATGAGATGTTTCGAAACTCGATGCACCAGGACGCCCACGAGTTCTATGGTTTGGTGTTGAACGACGTAATATCCAATGTCGAGGCGAATGCGAAGCGTACACGCGAGAGGGAGCTCGCAAAGCAGATAGGCAGTGGCGCTTTAGCGGAGTCGACGGCGGTGGCAGTCAGCTCACCTACCGTAGTGACGAATGGGAACTCCAAGCTAGCATCTACGGGATGGGTCCACGATATCTTTGAAGGAGTCTTAACTTCGGAAACTAAGTGCCTGACCTGCGAGACGACATCGCAAAGAGACGAAACTTTCCTTGACCTCTCTATTGATCTGGAGGAGCACACATCGGTAACGTCTTGCCTTGGCAAGTTCTCGGCCGAGGAAATGCTCTGCGAGCGCAACAAATTTCACTGCGATCACTGCGGCGGCCTCCAGGAGGCGGAGAAGCGGATGAAGATTCACAAGCTTCCGAAAGTGCTCGCGTTCCATCTGAAGCGGTTCAAGTATACCGAAGACTATAGTAGGTTGCAAAAACTCTTCCACCGTGTAGTGTATCCTTATCATTTGCGACTCTTCAACACGACGGATGACGCCGAAGATCCCGACAGGCTGTACGAGCTCTATGCGGTAGTGGTGCATATCGGCGGCAATGCATATCATGGCCACTATGTGTCGGTTATCAAGACGAAGGATCGCGGCTGGCTCCTGTTCGATGACGAGATGGTTGAGCCTGTCGATAAACACTTTGTGAGGAATTTCTTTGGCGACAAGCCCGGAATGGCTTGCGCCTATGTATTATTTTATCAGGAGACGACGTTTGAAAAAGTCCGAGCCGAGCAGGAGGCGGAAGGCTTTGACGACCTTATAATTAGCAACGACAAGGCAGCTTGCGACGTGCCGGCGCAGGAAAATGGCGTTGCGAATGGTGCCAACGGAGCACATCCGATCAAGCACGAGCCTCAACCGGCTAGCGCCGAGCTTGACGGCGATACGTTACCGCCGCTAGTTCATTCGTATACCGAGCCCATCCCTTCAACGATTACTACTAGCAATCCTATTTCGGTACCCGCACCACCTCTTACCCCAGCAACCCCGTTGACCGCGACAGCCACGCCGACGACGACTAAGCTGGAGGTATCAAAGACGAAGGAGGAACTAAAACGGGAAAAGAAAGAGGCGGAGGCGGCGGAAAAGGCGGCGGAGAAGGCCAGGAAGCATGCGGCGAAGCTTGATGAGAAGCAGCGCAAAGAGGCGAAGGAGCGACTAAAAGCCGAGCAAGAAAACGTGCGCAAAACGACGGAACTCAGCAGAGCGGAGGAGAAGAAAGGAAAAGAAGGGATGTTGTCGAACTCGTTCAAAGAGGGGATGCTGTCCAACTCGTTCCTTAACCGATCATCTCGCGGTAGTCGGTCGATGATGACGAAGAAGAGCTTCATGTTTTTGAACAAGGAAAAGGATGCGGGAGAGAGCTCGAGTACCCTCCAGGGAGAGCCGATGACGAATGGGGATAGCGCACCCCTAACGCCAACCCTTGCGCACGAAAAGCACGAAAAGCACGACAGACACGACAAGCACGACAAGCATGATAGGCACGACAAGCTCAAGGACCGGTTTACGTTTGGAATAGGGCGGAAAAAGAGTAGCAACGTCTTATCATAGCGCGAGCATTTTTTTTTCTTCTTATTCTTTCTCTTCCCTTTTAAGTTTCTTTTCCTCCACATGTTTGGTTTTAAAGAGCAAAACGACACGAAGTGCCCGATGATGATAGCGACGATCAGGAAATGTAAGATGAAGTAGATGGAGGAAGATGTGGGTTACGTGAGTTGGTCTTCGATTTTGTTGCTAGACGCTCGGTATTTTCAAGCATAGGTTAAGCGCATGTGGCTCGGCTGATTTGGACAGAGAAAAACGGGGTGGAGGCGAACCTTTTTGGTGGTATACCCCTGGTTGGAAAGTTTTTTGTACGATTTCTTTTTTTTATTCTGATTCCCCCGTCGAGGAGCCTTTTGCTTTTTTGTGAAGCATTCAGTTATCGATATCGAGAGATGGCGGGGAGGAGAAGAAGGGGACTAAGAGGAGGAAGAAGAAGATGACGAAGAACAAAAAAAAAGACAAAATATTACTCTAATCTATGGGCGGAATACTTGTGAGAGTGGGGAGGCGAAGAGATGTGAATGTTTTTTTTTGGGGGGGGGGGGGATATCGATATTTAGTGAGGTCTTCAGCCCGTATTGAGGGCATTATGGGCAAGGAGGTGGAGCTTGAAGACGAAGCGCACTATCAGAGGCGCCCGAGGTGTTGATCAATATACCTGAGGAATATGAGTGGAAGGGGATGATGTTTGGAATGTTCGAAAGAGAACCATTCTAAGGCGGGATATGTTGCCGCGAAGCGTTGATATAATATACCCAGTGTTGTCAACCTTTGCTCTCAAAAGAAATCAAAAGTTCCAAGCTATGTTCGTGATTTCGACCCCTTTGAGAGACGACGTTTGAGAGACGACGTTTGAGAGACGACATCGTTGAGTTTCTCGGCTGGCTATGATATAAACATGGACAGTGTCGGCACCTGGCAACTCCCAGAATTGGCAGCTGTCTACAGCCAACAGCTGTTTCACAACAACCTCGCCTCGCCCGTACAGTCTCACTCTCACAAAACAGACATCCCAACCTCATCCATCGTCCACTCAGCAGGGAATTGTGAGGAGAAAGGTTGAGAGGGGGGCAATTACTCATCCTTTCCTCACTACTTGTGATTATTTGTTTATCTCAGTCCTTCTTTTCAATTCATCCCTGGGGTTCGGAGCTATCAATAGTATCAATAGTGCCAGGTAGCTTCCCCTTGGAGGCTCATCCGTCCAGTCCCATGTGAACCACAGCTCGAAGCACTATTATACATCACCATAACCACCTTCAACCGGGAATACCCAAAATCATAAATCAACTTCCTCAAAATGATGCACTTAGGTCCGAGACCCAACACTGCCTCTCCCAGATTCCCTTCCCGCCGCTTCCCTCCTCCCCAAAGGCTAACCCAAAACCGCAGAATACCTCATCCCACTCACCGTCCTCATCCACCTCCTCCTCGCCCCCTCCACCAAAGTCGAAGAATCCTTCTCCATCCAAGCCGCCCACGACATCCTCGTCTACGGCACGCCCACCACAGACATCAACACGCGCTTGCGCGAGTCCTATGACCACCTCACCTTCCCGGGGGCCGTGCCGCGCTCCTTCATCGGCCCCTTGCTCCTGGCGGGCGTGTCGCAGACGCTCGTGGCCGTGCTGGGGTTCCATCGCGCGCAGTTCGTCGTGAGGGCAGTGCTGGGACTTTTCAATGCGGGGTGTTTGGTGGTGTTTGCGAGGGGGGTGAGGAGGGCTTTTGGGGGGTGGGCGGGGTGTTGGTTTGTGATGTTGTTGAGTAGTCAGTTTCATGTCATGTTTTATGCGTCGAGGACGTTGCCGAACATGTTTGCCTTTGGACTGAGTGAGTTATTAACCTCTTTTCTTCTTCTTCGTTTCCACCACACGACAAAAGTGTTAACCTCAGAAACAAATAAAGCTACCCTGGCATTTTCATTCCTCTTGCCTCCGAAAGAAGCCAAGGAAGCCCCCCGACGCCAGAGACTAGCCATCACCCTCCTCGTCTTCTCAGCCATCATCTTCCGCGCCGAGCTAGCCATCCTCCTCGGCACCACAGGCCTCTACCTCCTCTTAACGGGCCAAACGAACCTCATCAATCTTATCCAGCCTTTCATCATCTCCTCCTTCGTGGCCCTCGCCGTATCCGTCCCCATCGACTCGTACTTCTGGCAAAAGCCCCTCTGGCCCGAACTCTGGGGGTTCTACTTCAACGCCATCCTGGGCTCCTCGTCCGACTGGGGCGTTTCCCCCTGGCATTACTACTTCACCTCCGCCATCCCGCGCATCATCCTCAACCCGTACGCCCTACTCGTGCTCATCCCGCTAGCCGTCTTTAACCCCGCCACATCCCGCGCCGCGCGCTCTCTCCTCGTCCCCAGCCTCTTATTCGTAGCCATCTACTCCCTGCAACCGCACAAGGAAACCCGCTTCATCTTCTACGTCTCGCCACCCCTCACCGCCACCGCTTCGCTGGGCGCATCCACGCTGTCCCTTCGCGCGGCGAAATCCACCATTGCGCGCCTCATGACGCTCGCGCTCGTCCTCTCTGTGCTCGCGACCACACTCGCCTCCTCCGCTATGCTTCTCTTCTCATCGCTAAACTACCCCGGCGGAGACGCCCTGTCGCACCTCGCAGACGTCCTCGCCAACGACCCCCGCTCCGACGTCTCCGTGCACGCCGACGTTTTTACCTGCATGACGGGGCTGACGCTCTTCACTACGAATCCTTATGGTGTACCCTACGGATCTAAGCAGCCTAACGGCGTAACCGTGCGCTTCGACAAGACCGAAGACGAAGAGACCCTAAAGGACCCGGAATTTTGGAACTCCTTCGATTACCTCCTTGTCGAGACCGGTACCACTCCCCCGAGCGGCTCGTGGGAGACCCTCGCCGTCGTAGAGGGCCTCTCCGGTCTGGAGATCCTTAAACCGCGCGACGTGGATCCCCACGATGCGAAGGTTAGGGGACATCTAGTGGGGAAGGGCGAGGAGGTCGCGTGGTTGAGGCATTGGGTTAGGCTGGCTACGGGGGGTTGGTGGGTTGGGCCGAGGATGGTGCCGAGGATCAAGGTGTTGGGGAGGCGGGAGAGTTCGGGGGCTAAACCGAGCGGGAGCTTTGGGGTGTAGGGAGATGGGAGGTTTCGGAGGGATTTGATACTTTCTTTTCTTGTACGATTATGCGCGTTGAATTTGAGGGTTATGGGATGGATACCTGGGCAGCTATTTGACTCTCACGGATTCGATTCTAGGTGGTAAGATTGTCATATCGTTTGATGAATGGTATCGGGAAGGCTATACAAAATCTACCCAGACGTTGAGAAGAGCAGTCCTCCTTTCAAGAATGGACAACTCTTAGGCGCAGAAAGCATCCCCAACCCAGTCGCTACCTAGGTTTCAAAAGACAATGCTCTTCTACCCTCAAGGACTCCCCAAAAGCCAAAGAGAGATAAAAGGAACCCCAATTCCGATCATCACAGATGACCGAGACCAGAACAACCCCTAAAAAGACATTCCTAACCATCCAAAGATCTCATAGCACCAAGCAGAAAAGACAAAAACGGACATCATTCCAAAGCCATCTCATTCTCCCCCCCTTCCAGTTCCTCATAATATATATAAAAAAAAAAAGCTATAATAACCAGGGAACCTCATTCCCTTCCCTTCCAATTCCCTAACAAGAAAAAAAAAAAAAGGACACAAAAATATCCATACAAACTTATTCCCTTTTCCCAAGCTCCATACCAACACACCCCGTCATTAGTACAACATGAAGTGAAAGTATAAGGTGCAAAAAAGAAGAAGAAAAAGGCAAGACCCGAGGAATGAAAAAGGGCTTCCGAAAACATGGGTTAAAAAAAAACAAGACAAAAAAACCCCATTCCAAGTTTCCAAGAAAAGATATAACATTCCCGCCGCCGTTAGTGAGAGAAACAAACGCAGCCCAATATTGACCCCTTCGCTATTATACGCCATCGCATCGAGGAAGAGCATAAAAAAAAAAGGAAACAAGAACTCCTCTTTTTTTCCTAACCCGAATCGCTTTCAACTCTCCTTCTTCCTCTTCCCACCAGACTACCCCGATTCCGTATCGCTTCCCTCATCCTCATCTTCATCTTCACCATCAACTTCTTCCACCTCAATAGAGTCCGGCCTTCGGTTCTGCCTCTTAAGCGGCCCAAACTTAGCCCTATACTCCTGCAGCTCGAGAAGCTGCTCCTTGAGACTATCAAGGACGCTCGGGAAAGATCCCTGGAGATCCTGAAGCCTGTTGATCCTGCCGCCACCTGCAGCAAGGTGACGCATCGCAATGGTATTGACGCAGGTCTAGAAGGAAAAAACAAGGTCAGTAACACGTCATAAACAAATTCCTTCTTCTTTTCCCTCCAGGTAAAAATACTCACCTCGATTCGGCTCACTTGGTGCTCGAAAAAGTGAATCAAGAACCCCTCCGTCACATCCCCACCACGAAGCTTCATCTTCTCCAAGACATCCACCACCGGCGGCTTCGGGCTCGCCCCGCCTTCGAGCGAGCTGCACAGCATCTCGAGCCGTAGGCTGACCCTCCAGAGCTCCCACACCATCTCCGGATCCACGGCGAAGGGGCCCGCGCTGCCCATGACAGACGCCGTGAGCTGCTTCTCGTAGGCGCCCGCCGACTCTTGTCGCTCGTGCATCTGGTGGTACTCGATGCGTCCGACGAGCGCGTGCGGGTACAGCGAGTAGACGACCTCGGGGTTTTCGAGGCCCTTGAGCTTCTTCTCACCCATTTCCTTGACCTCGAAGCCCTGCGAGCTGAGGGCGCGGAGGTCTTTGCGAATCGACGCCGCGAACGTCTCGTCTTCGAAGTCTTCTTCTGTGCTGGCCGATCCGTTCCGGTCGGTGTCTTGGTAGTTCTCGAGACAGCGCTGGATCTCCGAGATAAAGTCTGATGAGACGGTAATTTGGCCGCCGTCGGCGACCGCAGAGATACGCGAGGCTTTGTTGACCATGGGACCGAAGTAGTCCATTCGGCGCGTCACCGGATCGGTCTCGCTGACAGTCTCTCCGAAATGGATACCCATTCGAACCGAGAGACCCTTAAAAATGAGGCTGCCGTCCTTGTCGAACATAGCCTGTCCTGAGAGAGAATTGACAACTTCCGCCGGCCAGTTGACTTCGAGAAGCTGCATCTGCACGGCAAAACACCACAATAAGGCCGACGTTGCAGTCGGGAACGACACCATAAAAGCATCTCCTTCAGTCTTGACCTCGTATCCGCCAATGTGCCGAAGCTGCCTTCGCATGACTTCGTTATGCAGCTTGATGGCTGAGCGCATAGCCGAGGGATACATCTCCCATAGCGTGGTAGAGTTCTTGATGTCCGTAAAAACGATAGAGACGTTGCCGATAGGTGCAGGAATCTCGGCCTCGAGGCGTTGTAGCGTAGAGTCGAGGACGTCGCCCTTCTTCTTGGACCGCTTGGTTGCCTGCATCTGCATGTCCTCCGGCAGGCCCGACGGCCACAGCATGCTAGGCCGGCCGCGCGACCTCTCCACTCGTCGTTTCAGATCGGCCACGCTGATCATCATCACCATGATCTTGCCTGTAGCGCCGTAGGCGATGGCAAGATCTCGGAGCTTCTGGGCAGCCCTCATCAAGTCCCGCCGCTCGGCCCTGGTCACGTCGACGACGAGACCGGGGGACAGGTACTCCCAGAGCTCCCTCGTAGCTAGCAGGATAATATCATCCTGCTCTCGGATAGTGATGTGGCTGACGTGCGGTGCAGCCTGTACCGCCGGCATAAGGTTGACGTATCCGAAGGCTCGCGAAACCTCGAGCTGGTCATTGAGAAGTCCATGCCTAGAGACCCAGCCGCCCGCTTCTCGAATACGTTGTCGCTCGCTCGGTTCGGCAGGGTCGTGCTTCCGGGTGAGAATCTTATGTGTACCCTCCGTGATAAGCATCGCCTGCGCGTCGCCAACGTTGGCCACATACAGCTCCATGCCCTGAAGGTAGAGGATTGTCGCCACACCACCCGAGTTCAAGTCTTCGGTGCTCAAAACAAGAGGCGCCGGCTGCGACATACTGCGCATGGTCTTGAAAGACCGCGAACGTTCGTCAATATGTTGCGTAGCAATGGTGGCGAGGTCCTTGTTTAGCGACAAGAAGGCTCGGCGAAGCGCATCCACAGGTGTCTCCCCGATCCACGTCCTTAGCAACTTCAACTCAGTCGTGAGGATACGGCCAAAGTTTTCGTGTAGGAACTTGGCAATCTTTGACCCGCCATTCGACAGAGCCTGTCCGTCGAACAAGCCCAACAGCATTTCCGAGTCTGACGAATTGAAGCGCGGCACTACCAAATCGACGGTCGATAAATGCTCGTTCTTACCCAAAGTATCGGCCATACCATACGGTAGATGTCCAGCCATCGATCCCGAGGTTCGCACACGGCGGTCCTCGCTCTGATCAGGGATGCGCGGTTGGGTTAGAGTGACATCCATAAGGCCAAGGACACGCAAGTTTTGCAAGCGGTTGAAGTCGGCATACTGTTCGCCGTTCATAGAGTAATGATCCCGCTGATTCACGGTCTGCTTGATCTCCAGCCTCTTGTTGCCGGACAAGTTGAGGAATCTCAGTTCGGGGTTGAGGTTCCAGTTCCAGTCGTAGGGGACGTTGGAAATGTTGTACTTGAGATAGTTGCTTCCGCAGTCAAACACTGCAAGTTTCTTCGCCCTCGAAATGTCCGCAGGCAAGTTCGTAAACTTGTTGGCGTTGATGTGAAGGACCTGAAGAAGACTGGTTTCTTCGAGGTCATCCGCCGGAAGGGTCGTCAGCTCGTTACCCGAGAGATACAGCTCAACCAGCTGAGGCCAGCTCTTAATTAGCCTCTGCGGCATGTCGCCAATCTCATTGTAAGATAGATTCAGGACCCTAAGCTCTGGCAACAGGACAATCTGATCGAAGACATCGTCGTCGAGCTGGTTATCCGCCAGGTGAAGAGCCCTAAGTGATCCAGCAAAGGTATTCGCAAGTCTCGTTGATAAACTCGAATCCTTTCTTGCGCTTGAAGGCATGCCGGTCGACACGGTTCCGGCAGACGTCGACCGAGACACAACCGACGTTTTCCGGCCACCTTTGCCATAAACAGACACCATGGAATTCTTCCTGTCCGGTCCGCCGGGCACCGGCGACGGCCCGACGCTCAACAATGTGCTCGATGCCTGACTAGGCCGTCGCGACGGGTCGTTAAGGTCTTCCATGCTCGGCTTCGTCGTGACAGTACCAGACACAGACCCATACTTGCTTCCAGCGCCAGGAGGGCCTCCATCCTCACCCGGTAACCGCGGTGCTCTCGAAGCAGGCTTGGGGAAGTTGTCCAGCACGTTGGATGAGGCATTTAAAACCTCAAGCTTGTTCGCCCACCAAATCTCCATCGGAAGCTTGCGAATGTTGTTGCCGCGGATGTCGAGATGGCGTAGCTCCGTCAAGCATCCAATCTGCGGCGGGAGGGTGCCGACGGTATTATGGGCGATGCTGAAGTGCTCGAGTCTAGTGAGCTTACCGATGTGCGGCGGGAGGGACACGAAATAGTTCTTATCGAGAATAAGACGTTCCAGGTTGAGAATGTGATGGAACGACTCGTCAATACTAGCAAGCTGGGCGTTCGATAGGTTCAACGACTTTAGCGTTAAGACAGGCTGCATAATCTCGAACTTGGTAACCGGGTTCGAGTTCAGCTTGAGGGTTCGCAGCGTCTCAAAGGAGCCGATAAAGCGCGATACCGAATTATGATCCGCCGACAGAATCTCGAGCTTGGGCAGCTGTGAGATGATGTCGATGCTGGTGATGGCATTATACTTGATGTCGAGCTCTCGCAGGCTCAGAAGCTCGTTAAAGGTGTCGGGAAGCGCATTGGAAAGCCTGTTGTTCGTAATCACGAACCGTTCTAGGTTCTTCAACTTGCCAATGTCATCGGGAAGGCTTGCTATCGAGTTGAAGCTGAGATCGAGATCCACCAAGCTCTCCAGCTCGCACAAGAAGTCGGGGAAGACGTCCAGGAAGTTAGAGGAAATATTGAGAGTGCGCAGTGACTTGTGCAAGCCAAAGTAGGAGGGAAGGCGCTTGAGTCGGTTATTGGCGAGATTCAGCTTGAGCAAGCCGGGAAGGTTGTCGAGTTCGGCATTGTCCAGCTGCTCCAGGCGATTGTTCGACACGTCGAGGTAAGTAAGCTTAGATGCGCGGCTCAAGCTCGGAGGCAGCTTGCGTGCCTCATTGTTGTTGAACTTGATATCTCTGAGATTTGTACACGACTGGATGAAATCTCGGGGTACATCGAGAGACAGGTTTCTCGAGAGATTGAGCGACACGATTTCGCCAGATTTGGGGTAGAGCGATAGAGGAATGTTGAAGAGGTTGCGGCCAGAAAGGTCGACGTTGTTAAACTTTTGCATGCGGCCCAGCCCAAAGTCTTGGGGCCGGAACTCGCTCTCCATGGCAGAGAGGAACATGAACCGACAGAGGTAACTATTGTCCTCGCGACCAACCTCTTCTAGCCTGTCCCTATCCTCGTAGCCAAACTGTTGCAGCAGGCGCTTCTGCAGTATCAGCGGTCGCTCCATGGCCGAGAGAATGCGCACCAGCTCTCGTTTGCGCAAGATGATGTGGAAATTGGGTAGGCCATCCCTTCCTATGCCCATCTTCTTGCCTATAGAATCGATCACGTCCGATACTGTGGATGCGAGCGGTACGGAGAGGGTTGTAAAGGTACCGTCAGCCTTGAAAATACGGATGCAGTACGGCATATCACCCTCACCCTTCGCCGGGGCCTCTAGTTCGTCGACGTCCGGAATGTGGTACGAGTTGTCCTCGGTATTGCGACGAACAGCCCAGCTGTCAGGGGCATTCCAGGCGCCGTTGACGATACCCGGCTCCAGCTGCTCGCTATCATGTCTCGTGCTGGCGGTCTCATCCATCGGAGTCAATGCCGCGGCGGGTCGGTTCAGGATACCGTCCATGTCGCCCAGGTCCGTATCAAGATAGAAGACGGTTCCATCTTTGTATTGGTCCGTAGGGCCGATCGCCTCGTCGGTCGCATCATACGTTCGGGGAGCTTTCGACCTTTTGGAAGAGAAAGGGAATTTGTTGTTGAATGTCGCACCGCGGGGGGCCGCCGGTCGTAATTCGAGGGGCTCGAAAGTTTCGATAGTATAATTAGAAGCAGGAGAATCGGTCCTCTTCAGTTCGGGTCGGGATGATTTCGAAGCGAGGGATCGGCTCGACTTGGGGAGATCGCGCAACTTGTTCCCATCTTCATCTTTCTCCCTATTCCTCCGCAGGCGGCCAAGAAGACTTCGCTTCGGTGGGTGGACAGGCGAAGTCTGCCCATCAAACGAGCCCGCTTTCACGGGGGGTGTAGGACTATGAGCTCGGGATCTCGCGCCGCTGTACGTAGCCGCCGAACCACCGCGGTCCCGAGGCGCATGCAGAGAATCCTCTCTTGTTATGGAGGGACGAAGAGCCCGTGGGTCGTCATTGCTCTTGTTGTGACGGTGATGGTGACCAGAGAGGTGGACGATGGAGTGGCCGGATCTCGAAGATGACGCAGTTTTCGGGGGCTCTCGCGAAGATGCGCCGCCTTCACTCATATATCGATCCCGGTCAGGGCCGGTCAAGATGTCGCGAACCGGCGCCTCGCCATATCGTGCAATATCCTATATATTTCGGATCAGTCTTTGCTCGCGTCTTTTTTTCAAAGCAGGATCTTAATCGTGGTGGAGAAGAGAGGAAGAAGAAAAGCAAAAAAGCAAAGCGCTTACCTCAGCCTCCTGGTAAAGGAAGGGAACAACCTCGGGCGCGGGTACGGGAGTTCGCGGTCTCGAGGAAGAAGGCGAGGCATCACGGGTATGATCAGTTGCGTTGGAGTAATTGCGATCCCGATGCCCCCGGCTATGGCTATAGGACCGCGGCCGGTTGTCCTTTGGCGGGACAGCCGGGGGGAGGCTAGTGTCTGATCCAGGAAACTCTTCGCCGAAGAACCCTTGGAGCTTCCGCAGTCCGCCGCGAGCCAAGCTATTCTTCGAACCTTGACTGCTAAGCGTCGTGATGCTAGCGATCGACGGGCGCCTCTCATCAGGATAACCGGCATCAGGAGAATCAGGCACGTTCAAATTCGGACCGGAGCTCGTACCGGTACGGTAGTTCGGGGGGGGGTTGAAGTTTGGCGAGGCGTGGGAACTGACCGAAACGCTGTCGCTCGAATCATTATAGAAGCTCATGGGCACGTTAGGAGATGTGACGTTGTTGTTATTGTTACTTGATGATGAAGTCGCCCAGGGCGCTACTTGGCCAAGGTTAGAATGACCAGCCGACGGGGCGCCATGATTGTTTCGAGAAGATCGCGAGCCGGCGGGCTCCAGAACGGCGAGATCCTGACGATAGTTGGCCAGGTCGCTCATCCTGCGATCACGCAGCGATACGCTCGAGGCGGAGGACGGACGGCGGTTGAAGCTCGTAGAGGTAGGCGACACTTGCTGGTCATCGACTGAATTTGATCGACTAAAAGAGGAAGTGTTGGGTCAGCAGCAGTCTACAAGCTTTGGAATCATAGACCACGATGGACAGAAATAGGATGCGATGACGACCAGTGGGCAAGGACGAGAGCAGAACACAAGCATCAAAAGGCAAAAGCACCACTTCGGGTAGCAGGGACCAGCGCAACAGTGACATTGGCATTGGCATATGCCATCTGCCATCGTGGAGCTCTTTGGAATGACAAAGCACAGGACACTTGTGAGGCAGGCTTGGCATTTTTAGGATTCCGGACAGGGCAGGGGAGGGCACCAGCCGAGAAGCTTTGCTCCCATTTGCATGAAGAAACGAGTGCACGAAACAAAGAAAAAAAGAATGCTCACGCTAAAAGTCCACTCTCTTCCAACTTTAATCGTATAGGGACTGCTCTCCTCGACGAGGAAGACGAGGAGTGGAATATCGAAGGCCTTATTGTGCTATTTGACCGACCACTATCGGTGCTTGAGCCCGTTAGCGAGCTAAAGCGGGAGGACTTGGAGTCCTTCCGAGTCATGGTTGCTGTCGTTTGGAGTCAAGAAGCATCTCGAGCGAAGAGGTAGAATGGGTCGACGAGCGAGGAAGATCGATCGGCAACGACGGAGAGCGTGATTCCGATATTTCGGCGCTGAGAGATGGGTGCGGCGAGAAGAAGTGGGAGGGGCCCACGAAATGCGAGAGGCAGCGGCGGCAACGGCAGCAGTGGTCGAGGCAGAGGTAATTAGCGGTAGAGGTAGCGGAGAAGGTGGCGGAGAGAACAAGAAAAGGCACAAGCGTGGGTGTCTCCTTCAGGTCATCTCGCCAGGTAAGTTGGGGCTGTCAGAAGATGGGAGATAATCGCGTGTTTCGTAGAGAAATTCGTCGGGAGATTAATCCAATCAATCAGCGCGGTGTTGTGGTCTCGTTGTCGTCGTCGGGACGTGGAGATGGATCGCAGGCTCTAGCGGGGGAGTTTGGGGGCAAAGAGAAGCTGATGATGATGTCGACGTCGATGGGGCTGAACCTGTGCTGTGTGCTGATTCTGTCCTTTGGTATGATGGATCAAATCGTCGAAAGAAGTGGAGTACGAAGTTAAGAGGTTCAAGGTTTCTGCGGCAGGATGCTGGGGCACCTTGGAGCGACCGCGTGGTTGGTGAGAGTCAAAATGTGGGAGGTGGTCAGTGTGTAGAAGTTATGTGCCAGTTTTGAGCCAGTTTGAGCTAGCACAGTACACAGGTACAACGAGGAGTACGAAGTACGAGGTAGTGTACCAGGTACAGCTAAGAAGTACAAGTAGCAGCACAAGGTTCGAATGAATGATTCCATTCAAGAACATTGATCAATGAGAACTGGGCTCATGGCTGGAACGACCCCTCGACCCCATGGTTGCCTATGTGGGGCGGGCAAGTTCGGCAGCATGTTGCCAATCCTGCGAGCTATGAGGTATCAATCGTATGTAGACCCTCTAAAGTAGAGCCGACGTATTCTGTGTATTGTACTTCGTACATTGCTGCGAAGGGAGTCTTGAGACATTAGACAACATTTGATGACACGACAGGCTGAAGATATCAAATACTCAAGGCAGGGTGAAGGTGCATTGTGGTACACGAAAGTACATGCAGTGTTATACATGAGGACGAAGAGAAGATGTACAATTTGATTTGTACCAACCAAGGAGTCCAGAGTAAGTAGTGTACAATTGTACCTGACTACCCGACTTCACTACGAAGTACGAAGTACCTCGAGCTGTCCCCACGACATGGCCTGCCCTGCCTGGTCTGACCTGGTCTTGGGGGTATCAATCGTTTTACTAGTGCAGTGAGCGGCTGGGGGCGGGTCTCTTGATCCATGCCGCGAAAAGTTACACTTGACGAGAAACGTTTCGCCAATACTAGTGTACAAGACCGGCCCTATTCGCCATGCTGGAACTCCTTGTATTTCATTAACACCCGCTGGACGTCAATGCTCCATGATGTTGCTGCGGGGAGTGTCATTGAAGACAAAGTGTTGGTGCTAAATAAACACCAGCATCACACCAAAAATGCAAGCCACCTCGAAGTATCAATCATTCAAATAGACAGGCTAGGCGGGTGGCTGCCTCATACAAGCACAATTCAGACCAATAATACATAATAAAGCATCGTCATTGATGGACCGAGTCCCCAACGCAGGATTGAGACTCAAAAAGGAAGAAAAAAGAAAGCCAAAAGTGGGACAGTCAAAGCCTCGCCTTGACCTTTGTTGCAGAAGTCGACGAGCAGCACCTTTGGCGTGTTGCTGATCGGTCGCTCAAACAAGGTCTCTCCAGTTATGGGACAGACGGTACTATTTTAACTACCTCGATCGGGCAATTTCATCTCCAGCTTCGGTCTACACTAAATCAGCCCAGATGTATTTTGAACGATAGCAAATAATGGTCGAGCTCTCGCCAGACATTCTATCAGTCACCGGATGGTTCACAAGACACCGAGATGTCGGAAGATCCCTCGAAGGAGCCCCATCGACTGATTCCCAAGATGATATTCTAGTTTTATTTGGTAGGAACGGGAAGCGGGTTACCCAAGAGTTTTGTGACTCGTCAGAGCCTGACAAGCATTTCGGAGCCATGCAGCCTCCCCCTCGTCATCATAACAGTACTCCTTCTTGGTACTGGGATCCAAGTACACCACCGTGCCATCCGCCGCATAACGGTAAAGCTGGCCAGTTTGCGGGTGCCGACTATACTGGGAGGAGTCCGCATTATTGCCCTTGCTGCTGCTTCCATGAGGGCGACGCTCATCTGAGAGAGCGCGGATGGGTGGGACTGGCCCGGCCCGGACCAGGGGTAACCAGGCGGTGGAGCACATCGGCCAAATAATTAAGCGCTGCCTGCCAACGCGTCGTTTCGAAGACACATTCGACCCTTGACAAGACATCGCACACAACCCAGGCGCCGTGAGAGCTCACAAACGCGCCGAACTCGAAGATGGCGAATGCGTTAGCGGTGGCATCGAAACGGCCATGGAGATTAGTGCCCCGTTGGCTATTTTTCTCTGTCAATCAATATGGAACTGCACCTTGCATCATTGATGAGTTTATCGACGAGGAGCTGTTCCCAGGCGATCGGTTGAAGTATTTTCATCAGACACATCCGGGACAGGTATTGGACGGTAGGTTCAAAACAATCGCAAAGCTTGGTTATGGCTCAGGCTCGACGGTATGGCTTGCAGAGAACCTCAAGTTGTAACCTTCCACAAATTATCTTAGCACATCAGTAGCTAACATCATGAACAGCAAACGATGGAGGAAGTCGGACGTGCCGCGCTACGTCAGCATCAAAATTTCAGCGCTCGATACTGACCCTGGCAGGGAGACGGAAAATTCAAAGATCATTTGCAACGCCAATCCATCGCATGAGGGCATAGACTTCACCAGGATTCCTGGAGATGAGTTTCAGTTACCGGGGCAGGGTGGAATGCACTTCTGTCTTGTATACGAGCCGACGAGAGAAACCCTTTTCAAGCTCCAACATAGGTTACGGACGAAAAGGCTAGCACCGGCGCTATTTAAATTTTTCATTTACTGCCTTCTTCAAGCTGTTGACTACTTGCACACAGAGTGCAAGCTCATCCACACGGGTAAGTTAATTTTTTTCTTCTTCTTTTGAAATACAGCACCCTCGTCCCTATAATCCTAATAATGTAATGGCTTCTTAGATATCAAGGCCGACAACATCATGGTTACAATCGAGAATGATGCTGTATTAGAAGACTTTATCAGATTTCAACAGAGAGTCCCACAGCCCAGGCATATCAGGCCTGAGGATGGGCGCGTAACGTATCTCTCGCAAGGCGACTTTGGTCCTCTCCGAGGTTCTAGGTTACTACCTAAATTAGCTGATTTCAACCTGGCCTTTCCCGGTTTAGAAAAGGGATTTGCTCATCTTGCTCCCATCCAATCCCACTGCTTCCGGGCCCCGGAGGTGTTGCTTGGCTGCCCTTGGTCATATAGCGTTGATATATGGAACCTAGGACTTCTCGTAAGTAGAATTGCCTTCTCCACCATGGTACCCCTTCCCCAGTATTAAAACTAATCAATCTAGCAGATGTGGAACCTCTTGGAGGACACTACCTTATTTGACCGACCGGCCGGCGAAGATGGGGAATATGATGCGCATGTCCACCTAGCCCAGATGGTTGCTTTGCTTGGTGATCCGCCTGAGGAAGTAGTCACACGAGAGAGACTCTTTCGCGAACATCTAGTGGACAAGCCGTGGATAAGCCCACGTGGTGAAGCGTGCCGGAACATGAACAAGCTCTGGGGCGGCCCATTTTTTGATGATGATGGTGAGTTGCCCGACTGTCTAAATCGCCAATAGTAAGGACTGCAATAACCCATGGCGCTGTATTTGGCAGGCCAAATTCTCCGCAAGGACCTTGTTCATCCAGAGAAGAGTCTGGCTGATACGGTGACAGAACTGGAGGGCAATGAGAAGGAGGCGTTTCTCGACTTCGCATCTTGTATGCTCCACTGGTTACCGGAAAAGAGAAAGACGGCAAAGGAGCTCCTCAAACATCCTTTTCTCGATTCGTTTTACAAGGATCGCGAAAAGGACTAGGTTTAGGCAGGCACAGTACTCCTGGAGTCCTGGGACATTCGCGTCGTCTTGTTCACAACATCAAATACTAATCAAAGACTCCCGGACGAGTACAAATATTAGAATGTACGAAGTAACATCTGGTGGTAACAATAGATCCTCGAACCTGTTCGTACAATTGGATGGACGACCCTGGCAGCGTTCTAGGTGTAACGGCGTAACATTGAGCATACGCCCTTGAGTAGTGGAGTGAATAATAGTTAGGGATGTACTCGTAGATTGATCAAGACTCGATCGCACACGCCCACGAACTCGACCGACCGTAATAGTCACTGCCCAGCATCAAATCGAGAGTAATTACCCCGTTGGCAAGTGGATGCGAGCATGTCGTCGAACTGAGCGGCGACTGGCCAATGCGGACTAGGCCTTTACTACGACCTTCTTCCTTCATTTTCACTCGTTCCGCTTTCCCTTCCGCGCAGAACCGGAAACGCTTGTACATATTTCGCAGTTTGGCTTGGGTGGACCAAGACGAAGTACGAAGTACGAAGAATGACCGCATATACTCCCGAGGCGTCGTCTCTAGTACATACATCACGGGAATCCCCTCTAGTTTGTACTTCGTGATACTTCGTCCTTCCCGTGGACGTGTGCCAAGTCCACCACCTACTGCTATTTTCCAAGGCGGTCCCGACGCAACCTTTTCATTGGGCTTAAAGACTGTCAGGAGAATTCGCCCCAGCTGCGATGGCACCGTATCACAGTACCGCGACATCACCCTGAAGGGCCGAGAAAGCCTCAACTCAAATTGCCGTTCCCACGAACCATTCCGCGATCTGTGCAGAACCCGCTAAGAGGACCCTTTAAGGGAGGTCCTTGTCTAACGGTTCGGACGCTACGAAATAACCAGGGTCTAAAGGAAGCTCGAGACATCTCGAGACCGGTGAGCTTGGACTTTTCTGATGTTCGCTTCCGCCAATGTTCAATGTTGCCAGGCTTTGTTCTTTTCGAGTGTTTCATCCACAAGTAGTGGATTAGCCCTCCCATCATTTTCGCGTCGATACACCTTCGGTCTGCGCTCTCCCCAAGATATCTACTGCTCATTTATTAGTTTACATACCAAAAAGAATCCCCACAAATGCCCCGGAGCTAGTGAACGACGCACCGAGTACGGTCCGAAATAAGCCCTGACCAAGACCATCTCGCCTCCACGCCCCGAGAACCCGTTCCAAAGGAGAAAACTGGGCCGCGCCCCCCTCCTCCCTCTCGGCCCTTTCCTCGCATGACGATCGTAGTAAATAGGGAAGAGAGTCGTATACCCTGCTGTACAACTAAACTTCGTAAGCAGATCGATCGACGTACTGCGAAGATCTTGCATTTGCCGTCACGCACCATTCCTGAGCCACACCGCCGACCCACGGCTCATCGCTCCAAGTGTAAACACATCGTAAGAATACCATGAGAATAATAGAGGCAGCAATGCAATCTCAGATACTACGCAATGTGGCGTCGTTTGTTGTGAAGGACCTGGTCAGTTTTTCCCCACCATGTCTGGGATGTTATTCTGGCAGCTGCCTCAGGCGGCCTAGCCTTGCTGCTCTTCATTCCGGGGTCTCTCTTAGCCCTACGCTGGCTTCAGCGTTTGGCTCAGACCTCTACTTTAATCGGAGATCAACGACGCTAGTGTGATGATAATCGCACTACTCTGTACTCGGTACCAGCCTGTATCAATTGATGACATTTGTTATGTCACTGCCCTTTCTCTCCCTAAGCCTCCCTTATTTCTTTGCTTTTTACCACGGGTAGCCTGGCACAGAGTCCCTGAGTGCCCGTCATCTATGCTCAGGGATTACACCGCAGCTCGAGTCTAGAGCTCACCGATGCCAAGTAGCAGAGCATCCAATTTCGCTTCTCTTGTGGATATCCGTCAAAAAGACACACTCACCGACCTGAGGTCCAGTTTACTCATTGGGAATCGTCTCTTTTTGGTCTAGGAGAGTGAATATCGCCGGCCATGTTGTAGTCGGTCTGGATCCATTTCTTGCCCTAGTTCCTCATGCAATACCCTCGTCGTGTATGCTCAAGTCTACATCCCTCGCCCTTTGTGCCTTGTCCGTTACGCCTTTCCTAGTACAATAGTCATACAAATCATACAAGTCATGACTGGATGATCAAGAGAAGTAAAACAAAAACAAGGAGGGGAAAACGCCACAGCCCCTAAAACAAATTATCGTCGTCCTCATCGACGACATCGCCCACATCCTCGCACAAAAGCTCGCCAATCCAAGCACTCTCCTCCAGAATCTGCCTAGCCTCCTTCGCCTCAACATCCATATCCTCCATCACGAGCCGCACCGCCAGCTCCGGGACCAGTACCGCCTGCACGTAGAGCGAGTATCCGCGAGACGACACGAGACTGTCCTCCACGGCCCTCTTGCGCAGCAGGCTCGAGAACCGGCCAAAGATGCTCTCCTGCATGACCCTGAAGCCTCTAGTACCGTAATACCCCGGGGAACAGTTAAAGTCCGCCTTCATGAGGTTGCGATTGATTCCTTCCTTGATGTCTCGCGCCAGTAGATCTCCAAAATGGCTGCGGCCGCCCTTTAATATCCTCTCCAAGTAGTTGTAGTGATCCGATATGCGCGTGTCCAGAGCCTTCCAATCGATGTCGGGATAGCCTCTGGACCTCCAGAGGTCCCTCGCCTCGACCTTCTTATGCTCGGTGCAGAAGAGCCTCTGCATTCGGATTGGCATGCGCTTCCCCTTGGAGAAAGTCTGCAAGAGGTCAGGGTCCACTGGTTTCTTGCAGTACGGGCACTGCACTGCTGCGGCATTCTCTTCAATCTCATCAAAGCTCAAATCGATATCTGAGAGTGGGGAGTCATCACTGTCTGATAGTCCGTCCAGGCGTGCGCCAGAGTTCACGGAGTCCCCCACATTTCTCAATCGCGGTTTCTCGTCGGGTGATGCCGGTTTGGTCAACTTCTTCTTGGAATTCTTAGCCTTAGAATCCTTCGATGGTGAGTCCAAATACTTCGTGTCAAGTTTGACAGGCGCGGTGGGTTTTGGTGGAGAAGCAGATAGCGAGCGGAGAGTCCTTGTGGATGCGGTGGCCTCGGTAGGGGATGGTGAGTCTGCCGTCCTGTTGGGAATTTGCAAAGATGTTACCCGCGCCTTCGGCGTCCCCGCATCGAAGCTATCGAAGAGATCATCGGGCAGCTTCAATTTTGGCAACTCCAGCTCTTTCCCAACAGCTACGCAGCCTCAGGTTAGTCCGATTTAGCGGATTGTGTACAGAAACTTGTGGCTGATGTATTCACCTTTAACTTTTTTCGGTCGCTTCTGGTCGCGGGGTTTGGGAGGCGTGCTTATCCATCGCTTGTTGGCCCCCTTGTACGTCTTCTCAGAATCTCGAAGAAGGCTTGTTTCCAAAACGCCAGATTGGAAGCTGACATCAGCCCCAGAGGTAGCTTTTGCCGACGATTTGGTGCTCGAGTTTTCTTTCTTTCGCTCCAATCCCTCCCTGAATGATCGCACACCCCCATATCTCGCAGGCTGCTTGCTAAACGTCCTTTCTTTCGCCGGTTTGGAGAAGGTAGTGGGGCGTATATCACCCCGCGGCGGAGAATCCTCCTCCTCAGGGTCGCTGGACCATGAATGGTTAGCTCCCTTCCTCTTCCCTGGAGCTGCCTTTGATGCCTTGTCCTTCTCCGCATACTCCGCCTCTTCCTCGTCCGAGCTGATTGGGGGTGCCTCGATGTCGTCGGGCTCCCGAATTGCTGGCTTGCTGTGGAGGTTTTCCCGAGATGTTGTCTCCGGCCGATTAAGTGATTTCAGTAGCTGAGGCGGCCTGGCATTCTTGCTCATTCCCACCCGCCGTTGGTTCCATGTGTAAGCACTCATCTTGTGAGATGCCGGGAAAGGACGGGGCGAGAACGTGATTTGAGGCTGTTATGGTTGGTGAAGAAGAGATCTCAAGATGATTACATTAACCGAGTTAAGCCCTCCTGCCACATAGCCCTGTTCCGTCCTTCAGTATGCGATCGATGAAGTGAACAATAAATTCTTCAAGCTGAGTAGTATTGATGCTGGTTGCTAGGGGAATGTTGAGTGCTAATCTGGGTCTGACACAGCGGGTCCAGCTCTCTAGTATCACGTGAACCCACTATAAGCCCGCTAACAAACACCCCACACTTCACCCCTCCATACTCATTGATGCAATGTCCTTGACCCTTAGGTGAGAGAGATATTGATCGATTGTGATATCAGCTTTAAATAATTTTGATATTATTTAAGATTTTCTTAAAAATCAAACTAGGAGTTTTCTCTTTATTTTGCCCTGTTTATGTGTATATAAATCGTAATTTGAAAAGAACCGACCAGTGACTTCATGGTTGTCCTCTGTTGGGTAGCGCTCTGGCATAGTGGGGAAAAGTCCGAGCTCCAGAGAGGCTGATAGGGAGTTGGCAGACCCCTGAACTCGGAACCATTTATCAACGTCACCCAAAACATTTGGGAAAGTAATAAGGCTGGCTCTTGAATTGCAAACGCTCTTCCTTCCTCCATCTAAACTGTTGGGGGCAAGGGCGAAACTTCATTTTGTATTTCAGTCATCCCCTGACACCGGTAATGGCTCTCAACAGAAAGTATGCCGCGCTGCCCGATCTGGTATGGAACTCCAAATCACAAGACAGCTCCCTTCTTCAGACCACTTACCGTTCTTCCACAGGACTCCGCGCCAGACATCTACGAAACCCCCGAATTAACAGATGACAACTCCACCGTACCCGTGAGTACCCTCCTGCTCCCTCTTCCGGTCTTTCCCAGAGATTAACCCCTTCCCCTCCCCCCTCCAGGGAACAACACTACGCTCCCCCTCCGACGTAGCCTCCGACGAAGACACAGCCGACGAAGACGGCGGCATCTCCCGCGCCAAGCTCCGCATAGACGAAGCCCGCTCCCGCTTCGAATCCACCCGCTACAATTCCGCCGGCGTCGACTTCTCCGACCGCGTAGATAGCAAGCGCAGATCCTACCGATCCCGACACCACCGCGTCCTTGACGACGGTACCGAGGAGCTCGGCGACCTCAGCGACGAGGATGACGAGACCGACGAAGCGTCCGAGAGTCTGGAGCGGAAGATTGCGAGGTTAAAGCGCGAGGTGGAGGAGGCTAAGGAGGAGTATGCGCGGAGAAGGGCTACTACGGGTGGTGAGACTAAGAGCGGCGAAGAGGGGGGTCAGGAGGGACTAGAGTCGTTGGGGAGGGTTCTTGAGGAGATTTCTCGCCCGGCGGGCGTGGCGCGTCCCGTGAGGCTCTCTAAACCCCTCGTTCAGGGGGGTGACGGTACTTCCGGTCACAATGCTGCCGTCAGCGAGGCTACGTACACGGTCACGTATGCACCATCATACGAGCAGTCTCATGCTCTAGCCAAAGCGGCCGAGTTCGACCAGAGGCTGCTTGCTCTAGAAAAGTCTCTAGGAATCGGCACGACAACGAAGGGGTTGGAGATTGGAGTTAACGGGTTGCCTCGAGCCGTGCTGCCTACGGTTGATATGCTAAACAAGCAGATCTCTGCTCTAGCGCAGGCCTCGACGGCCAACCTCGACTCGATCAGCCGTCGGGTCCGGACCTTAGTCACAGATGTCCAGAATCTAAACAAGGCCAAGGGTAGTGCAGCGAGTGCCGGTGAACAACAGCACATTGAGAGGTATGTAGAGGACAGAATCAAGGAGAACACAGGGAAAGAGTCAGGCGAGGGGGAAGAGGATGAACAACGGTCCAAAATCAACGCGCTCTACGGGACACTGGCTACCATTGAGGCCCTTACTCCTCTTCTCCAGCCCCTTCTCGACCGCCTCAGGTCCCTAAGAGCCATACACACCGACGCAGCTACGGCGAGCGAGACGCTGGATCGCATCGAGAAGCAGCAGGCCGAGACTGCGGCGGAACTGAAGCAGTGGAAGAGCGGGCTAGAGAGGATTTCCGAAGCCATGCAAGAAGGAGGCTCTGTCATGGAGGGAAATATGAAGGTGATGGAATCTTGGATCAAGGATCTGGAGGCTCGAGTCGAGAAGTTGTGATGGTGGCGCTGTGCTACTGTTGATCTAGTTCTACTGTGTAGATTGTGTACTTAAGATACCCTAGTTCTCCGTTCATTTCTTGCCAGTTTGAGTGATTTAGGTCAGCAACGGCAAGGCGAGCATGTCCGGATACCGCTTTCAATCAAATGGCAATCAATCCCTGGAGCAAGCCATGTCTCTGCAGCTCGATGCCTTCGCCGACTTCGTCCTTTGAACTTTGCAACTCATTGCAAGTTTGAAGGTGACCAAAACTGCACTTAATTGGAGAACCACCACCTGGTGACGTCTGGTCTTGATTATAAAATCCACGTGACATCGAACTTCCCACACACACTCATGCACGGACCATCCGTGGGGCAGTAGGGAGGGTTTCCCACCACCAAAACCCTCATCAAAAATTCGCAGACCGAAAAAAAGTCGAAGGAGACCCCCCTCTGTGAGCCCAGCTAACCACAGGTGTCCGAGTTACCAATCCTTCACAACACCCATTTTTCAACCACACCCAACGTCCCGTCCACCCCCTTTCGCCGAACAATCTTCCCAACGCGAAAAAAAATACAGCAAAAATGGATGCTTCGAAGGCTCCCGTAAAGCTCGTCAAGGTCACCCGAGTCCTCGGCCGTACCGGTATGCTGCTCTCGAACCCGTCGTTTTGATATCTTGTTGGCGCCGATGATGGGGGACCGTCTCGTCGGATTGGGGATCCCCAGAGGTGGAGGAGGAGGGGGAAAATATACATGTCACAAGATTGTTGTGGTTTGGTTATAATTGCTGACCTGGGAAATGCAAATAGGTTCTCGTGGAGGTGTTACCCAGGTTCGCGTCGAGTTCATGGACGACCCTACCCGATCCATCATCCGAAACGTCAAGGGACCCGGTACGATATACCCCTCCAGCCCCGGCCCCTCTCGAGAATTCTTCGAATTTTACAATCGGTGCGATATGGGCGTGTTTTGTGTGAACTAACATTTGACGTTCTAGTCCGTGAGGACGATATCCTCTGCCTCCTCGAGTCCGAACGTGAGGCCAGGCGTCTACGATAAACAACCCCCACAATGGGGAGGGAGTTTTGTCGAGAATCTTGGGGAGAGAAGGTTGAGGAATTCGGCGACGGGTTGGTGGTGTTCATGAAACTTGGCTTTTCAAGGAAGGGCAAATTACAGGAAAAGGGAAAAACACTTTTGTCCAAGGGAGGGCGGGCATTCACATTATACAGCTGAGGCCCTAATCTCTTTTTGTTAGAGGAGTCACCGGCATCTGCATTACGAATCGAAGGACACATATTTTTTTCTCCTACAAAGGGATTGAAATTTCGGTTTTTATATCCTTCCCCTTGAGGGAGTTGCGCTTCTCGTTTTCGCGAAAAAGATATCCCATGTTCGAGGTGATTTGCGTGTGGATGGGCGACCCCAGCGCCAGCATGGAGAAGAACTAGGGTGATGAAAAACAGAATATGGGAAATTCACGTCGAGGATTTGCTAGCTAGCCGCCAGTGAGATCTTTACGATTCTGCATTTTCCACGCGTTTATAGGTCTTTTTCTTTTTTTTTTTCCTGGAACCGAGACACTGAAGTTCCAATCTTTCCTGTCACGTGGGGCAACCGAGCCCCATCGAGGAAGTATTTGAAGCAATTTTCCCCCCTTCAAGCTCGTCGATAAAAATTTCTCCTTCTCCAACAGCTCTCTTCTCTTGGTCAAGACCGCAGACCAGTCCAACCTCAATGGGTAAGTTTAATTCTTTTATTGTTCAAATCACAAAACATGGAACATGATGTCAAATATGCATGAAGTACCTGAACTACATGATGTTCTCATTATCACCAAGATCTCTGAGTCCATACCTATCATCTCAACTATCCCGTCTGTCCACCAATTCTCGAAGCAAATTCGCTAACTCGGACACACTGTTAGATCAAATCCTACTCTCATCCCCAGACCATTCCCAACGATGACCTCCGTAGTGCCCACGCCACCCGCCGACCACTTCACCGTACTCTACTTTGCTGCCGTCTCCTCGTACACGTCGAAAGAATCCGAGTCCTTAGAAGCCCCTCTGCCCTTAGGCAAGCTATTCGATGTCCTAGAGGACAAGTATCCCGGCATCAAGGCCAAATTACTCGGATCCTGCCTCGTCACCGTGAATCTAGAATATGTGGATATCTCGGGCGAGGAGGAAGGCAACGACACGATGGTGATTGGCGAGGGCGACGAAGTTGCAATCATTCCTCCCGTTAGCTCGGGGTGATCGACTCGTTTGTGGTCTTTTTCGTAACCACTATTTTTTTTACCGTTACTCGTCACTATTATGTGTAGCTCTATGCCTTTAGAAAACGATTGCCACGGCTGCGGTGATGATTGCTTATATATATATATTGTAATTTAGCTGAATGAAGATACCCGATGAACACCTTCCTATGCTTCCCATATGCCTAATCGTACAATGGACGCGATGATCCCTAAACCCCCATACAAATGCAGCTCCTCGTCCCCTCCAGGACCCATGCAAAAGTGCCCAGCCATCGATCGCTGCTTCGCTCGTCCTCCCAGTAGGCGTCGACAATGGCAGAATCCATCTCACAATCAAGCCCACACTCTATTGCACCCCAATCTTCCGAATCTCCGGCCTCGAATAAAGCTCCAACTGCCTCTTCCCCTTCCTCAGCTGATACTCAATCAGCCCGAAATCCCGCTTACTCATCCCCAGGTTCTTCTCGAATGACTCTCTCGCAAACGCCTTGAAGCCCGGTCTCGCGTCCTAATTTATCGGAGATCAGTTTGTCAGTTTCGCATCATTTAGCGACCTCGTAATTGAGGTTTGAATCGGAACGAAAGCGGGTTTGTGTGTCGTGTGACGTACGGCTGGTTTGGCGCGGCAGGCACGGAGGCACTGCCTGTAGAGAGAGAGGACTTCCCTCTGGAGACCGGAATATCCCATATTCGGCGGCGGGCTCTATATCCTTTTTTTCCTCAGTAATACCTTTCCTTGCCTTACATCGGTGGGCAGCTGCGCAAGCGAGGGTTGTGGTGAGAGAGTAACCTCATCGGCGGCGATGTGATGTTCCAAAGGTGAACCCAGCGTTGCGTGGGAAATTTTGAAGTTAAAAAGCTCGGGGGACCTCGGTCAACTCGGTGCAAAAGGTTCCGTGTTCTTCCTGGAACTCTTTTTCCTAACAAATCCGGACAGAACTACGAGATGCTGAAAAGGCTCCAATTGCTAGCGACTTGGAATATATTTTAAAGATTTTATTTTGATTTGATTAACTTTGGTTATTCATAATGCATTGGTAGAACTCTAAAATCGTAGTTGATGGTTCCAGACTGGCCCAATGCCACAAGCCGCCTCCCTCCATTGTATGTATATATTGATGCAAATCGAGAATAAGAAGGAAAGAAAAAAAAAAGGCAATAAATGGTTGATAGATATAATGATGCAAGCCGATTTCCCTCCTTATGCAATATTAAGCTATAAATATGTCTGTGTCGTTTCATCTCTTCTCAACAAAGTTCAACCATTCGCACCGGCAGCCCCCAGAGCCACCATCAAACCCTCCGAAGCTCGGATTCTTCGAGCTCCGCAGGTTCACAACCGTGCCGCCTTTGCTTAGGTCATTGGCTAGAAACTTGGTGCTACCAGTATCGATCTGCTGACGCTCGTTGATAGGCCACGCCCACACAAACTTCTTCTGAGGGTCGCCGCCGTGCGTGTCGAGCTTCATCGTTACTGGGTACGGCATCGTGCCGGGTCGGGTCAGATTGGCGGTGTCCTCGATGCCGGGCTTGTCGCCCTTGAGAAGGAGGCCCTTGGTGGCGTCGCTGTTGGTCCAGATCTGCATCAGGAACCGGGTTTCGGCCCAGGTGACGAGAAAGTTGGCCTCGCTTTCGCGAGACCCACCTTCCTTGTCGAGAGGAACATCGTCTATGACGCCCGTCCGGTTAAGAGTCGTCACGGATCGGAGATAGATAGTTCGCCGGAAGTACGTGTAGAACCCGTAGTGTTCCGTCGGGAGGCCTCTGTCGTAGAGCCGAATGGGCTGCTGTCTCACTTCCGGAAGCAATCGGGCCGGTGCACCTGTCCCGTCTTCCTTTCGGTCGGGTGGCGGCAGTTCGATTCCGAATTGACGCGTAACAAGGCCACTCCCTCTCTTCTCAATGATGTTTGATCCCACAGGCTGGCTAATCGACGATAAGAGGCTGATGTAGAACGGCGTGGGCTCGCCCGCCTTGTCGTCGGAAACAATACCATCCGTGGTGTTCCCCAAGAACCACATCTCCTCGAACGAGGGCGGGTCGGGGCTGGGCGAGATGCCAGGAGCGAATCTCTTAGCCCGGCGTCGGGATGACGACGGTCCGGAACTCTCCGTCACGTTAGGGGTCGGCGGCTTTCCATTCGGAACATGCCAGTGGAGTCCAGGGTTATTGTCGAACTGGATCTGGAAAGCTACCGTCGGCTGGTTGGGGTTGTAAGGCGACACCGAATCGTGCAACTCCTTGGGAAGCTCGCAGCTCCACAAGGTCGAGGGGGCCGTGCATCCGTCAAAGGAGCGGGAGTTGTCGGGGCCAGCAACGGTCAAGACGCCCGTCGGCATTGGAGGAAACCCCGTGAGATTCACAAAGAGGGATTGCTCAACGGGAGGTGGCGCGAGGCGCTTCCTCGACAGCATAATTCCAAGGGAGACACCGAGAGCAATCATGACGATAACACACGTCACTACGGCGAGGCATATCCGGCGTCTCTTGCGCCCCTCACGACCAGGTCGGCCGTAGCATCCGCTAGCCGGAATACAGCATCGGCCCCTCCACATTCCGCCCATCTTGCGGGCCGCAATCTCCTCCTTCTCATGACGCCTGCGCTCCCTTTCGACGCGGTTCTGGGGGCCATCGGCAGGAATAGAGTGCTCATGAGGAACGAAAGTTCCAGCTGGCCGATCGTTGAACGCACTCGCCTGCGGTGCCGGGGTCAACGGGATCTCGGTCATGCTGAGAGCTCCCTGGGCCGTCATGGATCGCACAATACCTGGTGAGACGGGACCTGGAGACGGAGGGAACTGGTTGTAGAGTGGGTGATCCGGCGGGAACACTGCTCGGTATCGAACCGGGGCTTGATTTTGGCGCTGTGGCGGTGAGTACGGAGGGGGATCCTCTGACGGCTTTTCATTTTCCTCTTCCAGGATAACTGCCTTGTCCGCCATGGTCTCGGCGCGCCTCAGGGGAGATTGCGAAGAAGCCATAGTGGCAGATCCCAAAGGCAATAGAGGTGATCCGCTACGGGATGGAACAGTATGCGGTGACGGCGTACGTCTTGGACTCGGGGTCCGAATTATCGGCGTGGAACCAGACCTTAGGGTACTCACGGATTGCGGGCTCGGGCAGTTTCTTGCGGGCTCAACCACACCCGGATGCTGATTTACACCAGATCCTCCCCACAAATCATCCACACCGTTCCTTGTCTCCTGTTGGTCATCTGATCCTTGTTCTTGTTGCTGAGGAAGAGGCACTACCTGGCGCGAGGTTGTGGGCAGAGGCAAGGCTCCTGCCATTACAAGCGACGCAGGGCCGGGTGAGGGCTCAGGAGGGGACAATGGAGCGACAGGAGTAGGTACCGTAGGTGTGGGACTGGTTATATGCTCATCCCACCAACCCCTTGGGCTCCCGGCAGTTTGCGGCGAGCAAGTTAGGATCGTGGCAGCTAAGGATGGCTGTCTCTGAAGGCGACGAGCCCTCTCGGGGCTAAGAGTTCCATCCTCTTCAAAGAGAGTGCAAGGAGTGCCGGTGTCGAGGTCGTCCTCGGAAGCAATGCTAATAAGGTTATTACGCCGGCTCTGCCGATAACCGGCAGGAACCTCGGGGACAGGTGGCACGGGGGTAGCTGAAGCAAACCGAGTCTGATCCGCGCCGGTCATCTGTGAATAAATACTAGAGGCAGGTCGAGAGGAAATTGTGGTTGCTGTGCTTGGGGTGTCTGGAGACCAGACTGATCTCATCTGAGATGGTGTAAGCGGCGATGTGGTCGTTGTCGTAGTCGTTATAGTAGGCCCCGCGACAGCACGGGCGGGTGGGAACTGAACAGGGGTATCGATGAACGCAGTGTGGGGGCTGATCTCTCGGCCCTCAAGAGCTTCGGGATTCATAGCAATTCCAATGACAATAGGTCCGTCTGCCGGGGATAAGTCTTGTCCCGGGCCAGCCCGGGGAGGATGAGGGTGATTTGAGGAAGCAATAGACTTTTTGCGTCGAAGCCAGTTCCAGGTCCCAACAGAGGCGGAGTTTGGGCTACCTTCCAGGGCCCTCAATGCAGCAAGGTCGACGAACTTGGGCTTAGTAGTATTGGGGCTCTTCTGAGGTTGTTGAACGGGGGGTCTTTGAAATCTTGGAAGATCGGTAATGACTCGAATGCCGGCCTTCGCATTCTGAGCCTTTTGTCGTTGGCGAGACTTGAGGCGTCTTGGCTTGTGGATTGAGGATCGCGAGGCTATGTGGAGTTTCGTCGAGAGTTTCCTCAGCGGTTGCTTCTTTGCTGACGCAGGAGCTGCTGGGCCGGGATGGAGGAGTTGTTCGTCATCCTGAATAGGAGTTACAGCGCCTTCGTCTTCCCATTCATCCCAGTCGTTGCTCTTGTTATCGTCGTGCGGTGAAGGCATGGGATCAGGCTGAGGCCCCTCGTTCCTCGGTATATCGAAGAAGGTCATGGTGTAGGTATTGCTTGCAGTTGTCGAGGAGAGCTGGAAATGGCATGTATATGGCGATGATGCGAGACTCGAGTGGCTCGAAGTAGATCAGCAATAGTTTAGTTTGCTCGCTTGACTCGGCTAACTTGCTTTTGGTACGGGATGGAATGAAGGAAAGAATCAGAGTGCCAGAAAAGATGACTCGGAGCGAACTGGAAACGCAGTCATCGAGATGGATGAAACGAGAGACGAACAATGAATAGGACTATAATACAACAGCACGAATCTATCAAAAGAAACCACTCAAAAGGCCTCAGTAAGAACGAGAAGGGGAGGCAGAGGATGAAAATGCTAAAGAACGCAGAAAAGGCCAGTCACGAAAAGAGTGTATGAAGTATTAACAGTATGTGTACAACACGACTCCTTCCAGACAAACAAAAGGCAAGGAGACAATAAAAGAGAGGAAGGGGAATGGGTGTCATAAGGGACATTTCGACCGGCCTTGACCCTCGTGTTTTAAGAAAAGCTCAACTGGGCCAAGGAGCGCCATACATAAAGGGCCATGTTGCAGACAGGCAACGACTTGCAGCCAGCCTTTGTCCATAATTGGAATTAGTGGCATGTCCATTGAGGACTCATCTGCTTTGGATCGACTCGCGTTACATGACCAATTCCCACACTCCAAAAAAAGCATCCCATGAGCGTCGTGTCTCCATGCTTCCAGTGGTCAAGAGGGCTTGGCTAGCAATTCCAAACTGGAGAGATTGCATGATGTGTCGACGAGTGGGAGGAGAGGATGTCGTGGTCAAGCGCCAGGACGGGGCACCGACTGGTCACTCCACCGAAGTTGTATGAGTTAGCCGCCGACCAAGGGGATCCGAGCTTGGCCATTGGATGAAGGCTCGAAGCCGTGGCTTGGCAATGTTGGCATGCTTCGGCCCTTTTCATTGGCTGCTTGTCGCGTCCCTGCATTCGCTAGCAGGCCCAAGGATTCGTCTTGACACAGGGTTGGCACTGGGCAGGGTGCAGGGTTGTTGAAGGGCAGACTCCTAGTTCCATCCTCCTCTTCGATTTGACTCTTGTGAGAGTCATGGTGGTGATTTTGAATTTGACTCTTCATTATTTTGATTTTACTTACGAAGGAAGTCATCGACTCACGAAGCCAGTGGCCACGTGATTGGGTACCTATGGAGATACCAAGCTACCGCTTCACACTGTGTCTTGAGTATTGATCATTCCGGCACCAGTACAAAGATAGTCCGGGGCCGGGCTCCGAGTCGAGATGAACCCACATGTCCGGCACAATATGGAAGAAGAACTATCTCCCAAGAGAGACTCGTGTTGTGCGGGTAGCAGACGCTGCTACAGATAGACGAACGCGATCTTATATGTACTTTAAGACACACTCTAATCACAGCAAGATGGATCAATGATCCAGGCTTGATCATCATTTTGTATCAACGGATAGATAATATGAAGGAACATTTTATGAACATTCTCTATTTATTCTTTTATTCTGTATTTTAAGCGACATAGTATACCCCGATGCCCATCCGTTCCAATCTTGCCACGCTCGAGGAATTTATTGGGGATGTCGACATCGACATACTTGCAAGCTTGTCCGTGGAGAGGAGGGTGAGAGGCAGCCGGTCCCACTCCTCATCTGGGCAAAAGATACGATGCACAGGTTGATCTTTCTCGGTTGTAGGTGGTGGTGTGTTCGTGCATTCGGTCTCCAAGTTCCAACTCAGTACACGTATCCCCTTCCCTCGGCATAATCTAAGAGCTCAAAATCACTTCGCCAAACCAGATAACGGGAGCCTTATTGGTATAAGAAGCAACGTCATCGAAAATAGCCTTAGACTCCGGCGCATTCATCGCGGCAAGAAGTTGATCGAACGAATCGAAGACCATAGTGGCTATGATACTGAATTGCGGCTTAGATCCGGCGTCTTCGGTGAATTTGGTGGTACTCCATGATTTGAGTCCGTACTTGGCCCATTTTTCCTGTACGAGGGGCATGTGTTTGGATCTATAGTAATCGAAGTCGAACGTTGCGTCTGGTTCGTTGGGATATGCGACGGTAGCTGTGACAGGCATTTTCGAGGTGGATTGACGATGAGATGATATGAAGATGGTGGAAGTGGAAGTGAAAGCGAAGGAATCTTGCTTGGTCTGAAGGCTTTTTCGTAGGTCAAGTTCTAAGCGGGAAAATAGATAGAAAAGAAGAAGAGGAAAAGAAAAACCCATCAGGATCGGTCTATATACAGAGGTGTAAAGCAAGCGATTGAAGGCTGTCGGCCCGTTTGGCGAAGCGAGAGCTCCTGCACGAGTCATACCAAATGAGTCGCCGATATTCTACAGCCAGCCCCAAAGCCAGACTGCGTGCGAGCCGCATTCTTGCACGATCAACGACCCCCATCGACTTCAATGCTCCCCAAGTCTTGGCCGGATACGAATGGCAATGCCAAGAGGTGTGCGAGTCGCACTTTCGCACAATCCCCATCATCGTACAAGCTTGCCCGCATCCGAATGAGAGGCAGCATCAATGCGAGTCGCAATAGACTATTTTCTTAAATTTTCTCCACAAAGCGGTCACAAGCACTGTGAATACTATGACGCTCTACACACTCTTCTGCCAGTGAGGCTCGTCTAGCAGTCTTGCCGCATCGTCTTCTTTCTTACGCCCGTGGCACCTCACCCCAACTCGCGCAAACTTGATCGCTCCAACGTGCTTCAATGGGACGCCAGCCGCCTGCTCCGCTACGAGTCGGGCAAGCTCGTTGTCAACGCGGAGCCGCTCTTCGGCGCCGAGGCTGGTACCTGGGGCGGTCAGCCCCGCGCGGTGACGGACATTGAGAACTTGTTCATCGGTGCTACCTACGCGCAGACTAGCGGCCACTGCTATCCTGGATCGCACTGGGACGCCTGGCGACCGCCTGTTCGTCGATAGCTATGACTCCAAGGGCCTCCTTAAGTGGCTGTGGGACCTGGATGACCGCCGCTACCGTGCCGGCTTGCCGAATATCTTTGACATTCTCAGTCCCTTCAAGGGGAAGAAGCCGTCAGAGAACCTCCCTGAAGAGGGTGCCGACTTGTCCCAGTGACCGGAGACGGTTTAAACCGGCTCGCTTTAGAGGAACCGTTCTCATGGGAAGGTTGAAGGTCACACTGCTTGTAACGCTGCCATTGGACTTGCTGATCTGATCCGGTCAGACCAGTCACAGTTCTAGCTAAGAAAATAAACAAATTGACACCTACCCGACTTTGAGATACAATGCTTGAATGACTTCAAGCGCTTGAATCGTAACCCAAATTCTCCTCTTCAAGTTTGGCCAGAGTGAACCCTCCTCTTGAGGCATGGCTTACCTTTTCCTGCTCCTACTGTTGCCATTGCGAGGAGGTCTGCAAAATGGATCCTCTCGTGCTCTTGATTCCATAGATGATTCAGTTGTGATCAGAGCTCCTCGCCAGTGGAGTGTGGAGTCTGCGTTGATCTTAAGCTGTACCCCACGATTACCGCAACCAAGCTTCGATGCAACCTTCGGTCTCGGACGCTTTTCCCTTTCTTGGCGATTTGGTGTGGTATTCTGGCGTGCTTATTGGCTAGTTGTTGTGCTACTATGAAAGCTTGTGCGGCTTCATTGTTGGGCATGATTCTTCTCCCTTTTAGAGGGATTTGTCCCTATTGCATTGTGACTGTCGATATGCAATAGCGTAGATGAAAGCCTCGATCGAGAGGCATCCGTTTTCTACTTCTTCTATTTTCCCGAGTTCCTCTTTCGACAAACATCAAAAACCACTTCCCTCCTCAAGCATGTCTTCGATTCCAATTTTTCATTCCTGTTTCTCATCCTGGCCATGTCGGCGCCCTTACTTTCACAAATCCTCTATTCTAACCAGTCCCGAAATGCTTCGATTGGAGTGTGCGAAAGCAAGACGTTGACGGTCATCGCTCTTCTCTAAACTCTAGCAAGAGTACAGAGCCAGTTAGAATTGATGATATTTAGGAAATGCCAGGCTTCTTGAGTGCGGGGATAGTGATGAATGCCGTCATCGATCGAGACCAACGGCATGTCGAGTCCGAGAATTGCGTCCTTCCCTCGTCACACTCCTCAACGTCTTGACCATCCTCGTATGCGCAAAAGCACCTCAGCTGCTGCGGCCCTTTCCCAGAGAACCAGTTAATTCATGCTACTACCAACCAGGATCTACACGTCGAGTGGCGAGGCATAAAGTAGTTCAATATTCGAAAGAAAACTGCGCCTTGGTAATCTCAATTACTCCTGTTGTGCTACCCTCAAAATAACAAGCAGTGGATAACATCAAACCTGCGGTATGCACTTTCAACCAACCAGGACGCATCTAATGTCCTTGAACAGAGGTCCTAAGTTCGCCTAGGCATGAAGACGCCAAACAAGAAGAGCAGACTCGTGTCCCATCAACTTGCACCAGGACCAGGACCAGGACCAGGACTAATGACACTCCGAACGTTGGCCATACAAGTGCAGAGTTGTTCGCCTCAAAATGCCATATGCCCCCCATGGCATATCTGTGTAGGACCAATCATTATCTTCTTCGCAAGTTATGAAACTGCGCATTTGTGCAGTAGGCTGTCTGGTAAAGACTATTTCTTTCTCGCCTCTACCCGTAGTTCTTAGCTTCAAACACTAGGCCCAAACCACTTCTTCAGAACAGCGCTTAGTGGCAACAGTTATTTCCGGGACGATGTCTTTCGGGGGCAGCTGTAGCGATGTGATCACCCCTCTCGGGGCACTTGGAAAGCTCGCCAGTATTCTTGGACGGGAGGCGCTGGATAGCTTCCAGCGATGTGCGGAATCATACAAGAGCTTCACGACGGTGGCCCGGCGGATCAACTCCTTCATCGAGGAGATCGGCCTCCCGGACGACGATGACTTCAGATCAACGCAACGCAATATTGAAACCTTGCTCCAGAGGTACTTTAGCCGAATCGAAGCGTTTCAGGAGCACCTAGGCCTGGGGCGCGTCAGAAAGTCCCCGCGGACTGCGGTAGCCAAAATCCGATGGCACCAGCACGGTACTATGCTTCAGGAGCTTCGTAAGGATCTGGATCGCCAAATCAACGTAGTTAACATTCTCATCAACACAACTACGAGGTAATGATAGCCCGCCCTTAATCTGGAGGTCTAGCTAATATGAACGGCAGAAAACTTGACACACAGACTCCCGCCTCTGTATTCAGTAGCTTGGGATCGCCATATCAGACGGAGATGGTGCCCAGTTGTGCACAAAGCGTGAGTTTCACATGTCTAATGATGGAAAAATCGAGGCTTATATTCCATACGCTGATTATTTCGCAGATTATCTGGAACTTCGAACCAACTGGAGCTATCTCAACATATGGTGGAATGATGCGGATGTTGCGCTAAGCCTTGCCTGTCTTCTGACTGACGAGACAGCCGCATCCACATGTTGCGCCATAATGAGCCGGCTAGCGTGTCTGAAGAACACCGACGTTATTAAGCCTAGAAACGAAAAGTGCGGGAAGGCCTTCCTTGGAGGCATGATTGGTTGTGCGGGCGGAATTGTGGGCGTAATTCTTGTGGCTCCTGTCGCACCGGTTGCGATGTGCTCTTGGGCTGCTGGATTTTGCTCTGGGGTTACGGGAGGAGCATTACAGGAGGGCGGAGCTTCGCGGGTGAAGTGCAGGTCGCAAGCCCGTACAGACCTCCAGAGTCGCTTCCCGCGCTTACGACAGCTCTTCGCTTAGGAACCCAGATTGAGATGTTATGCAGAAACTGATAAAAACGTTGATATATCAATGACAGCGTGAATAGTGGCTTCAGTGTTCACAATAGTTTCAAACTCTGAAAGGACTTCGGCCAGAGAAGAATAAAATGGGGGTAAATTATTCTACAAATCCCCTTCTTTTTTCCTTCTTACTATGAGCCGTTCCTCGGTGCCAGTCTGGCCCGACTGCCTGGTCAATTTCTCTGGTTTGTGGATGTTCGTGTCCCGCACACCCCTACTTCCAGTATTGAGGTATTCGGGTGAGATCTTGGTGGCGACCTCCAACGAACTTCATCCTGCAATCCGATACTCATACTCATTCTTTTGCCTCGGAGCATCACAGAAATAGAGGATGCTGGCACTTCCTTCGGAATAGGTTGGGGTGGAGGGCTCGTCTTCTTGGATTCTTAAACTATTTAGACTATGGAGATGTAGAACCTAATTAGACTTGAATATAGCCTCGCCATCCTCTACAAGGCTCTTCCTATTGTTCTCTCCATTAGTAGTATGTTCAATTTCTCCTCTCTCATTCGCATATATAAAGGCCTAAGTGCCATCCTCTCCCATTAGATAGACTCAAGGCTCATAGGAAGAATTATTTAGTGCAGGTACTGTAGCTTTTACGTCTGGCTATGAAGCCTGTTACCTTCTGGGTGGTGTACTGCGTATTATGAGCCTACCACAATATGACTCTTCGCCCTAGCCAGCTGATGTGTTTTGTGAGCGAGAAGGCGAGAAGGGGATGAGTTAAGAGCCATTCGTCCGCGTGCTCTCCTTCGCCGAATGCGAGAGCATATAGAAATACCATGTTATGCTTCAAAGAGCCTCCGCAGAAAGGACTTGTTTACCAAACATTTACATTGTATGCCAACAGATCCTCTTCTTTAGTTCCCAATACTTATGAGCTCACACGGGCTGGTTTGTGAAAGCATCACTACAAGCCTGTAGATGCTCCCTTAAACTTGACACCAGGCGTCGAAACTCATCCTTCACCTCGTCCGGCGAGGCCGTCCCGCCCATCACGCTCTTTGAGGGCGGGGGCAGCTCTTGAAGGTGGAGCTGAAGGGAAGAGATTGGCTTCTCCACCGAGGCGCCAAGAGCAGTGCTGGCGGCAGCAGCTTCATCTACAGTGATAAAAATGGAAGGCTGCTCGCTCCCGGAAGGGCTAGCGCTCATAGGGAGGACAAAATGGTCGAGGTTGCGCACGTTAGCAGATGACTCAAGGTAGAAAGCGCTCCCGATATCCGAGCGGGTCGAAGGGGCGTCCGAGTCGGCAGACGATGGTCTGTCAATTACCGGAATCGTTCCATCAAGATCGATGAGGCTCATGGCCGATGTGCGGTTGGCTGGGCCCACTAGAGAACGGTCGGAATCCCTACCCTCGCCGGGGTGCAGGATGTCCGGGTGTACAGAGGCCGGCGCAGGGTGCGTAGGAGAAGATAGAATCGCCGTCGCGAAGGTCCAGTCCTGGGTCCGTCGGTGACCATCCCACGCGGTGGCAGCTCGTGATGACGGCGCCGCAGTGTCGACATTGTTTGGTTCTCGGAGTTCAAGATCGTCGTCTGGTTCTGCGTCCACAGGAGCGAATACAGGGAAAGACCAGTCCTGGGTTCGGCGGTTGTGATTCCAGCCCGACGGCTCGCCCGAGAATGAGCAGGGTTTGATTGTCTCTAGGTCTACGAATGTTGCCAGCTCGCCCCCTTCAAGGGATGAATCTAGATCGATTAACGACTCGCGCGGAGGAAGTTGTTCCGAGTTCTGCCTGAGCGGCAAGTCGGATGCCGGCGGGGTGCTCGGCCTGAAGAAGGCAGCGCGGATGTTGTCCTTGTAGTTTGACATCGTGTTTGGATCGAAGACCCTCTCAAGTGGGCCCTTGAACTCTTTCATTTGTGGGGGTCGACGACGACGGCGGCCTTGCAGACCTGGCGACTGCCCGGGGAGAACTCCGGGGCCGGGGCCATAGGCGCCGAACACGGCCTGTGCATCCGTTGCGTTGCCGAATGAAATTCGTGCTACTTGGTTCTTATGGGTATCGAAATCCCACTCATCCTCAACAGGCGATGAGCCGGTGCTGGCTGGTCCCTGAGCGCCACCCGCAGAGAAGAGGGATTGCCGAGCGCCTCCCTGGGCCTCCCAGAGTTTATACGCGTGAACGAGCTCACGGAGCGAGACTGTCGGATATTCATCATGTGTGTTGAATATATATGGGTGCTTCTGTACATCCTCGATAGGGGGCCGCTGTGCTGGGTCCTCCACCATGCAGTACGCGACAAGACCCTTCAAATGCGGCGAGTATCGATTGCCCTGGAGTCGTGGGCAGTTCTGCTTCAGATAAGCGCCGAACTGGGGTAGATCGATCCTCGTAGTGGCGTTGGGAGGTAGGCCCGAAGCGACTTCATAAGCCATGGAGCCAAATGCCCAGATATCGACCTCCGTCCCGTAGGATACAGTTGAGTCGAAAAGCTCGGGTGCCATCCATTGGAGAGTGCCAGTGACAGTGTTTCTCTTATCAGACTTAGTTTGGATGATACCTGCGACGCCAAAATCGCCGAGCTGAACACCACCAGCTTCAGTGACTAGGACATTTGCGCACTTGATGTCTCGATGGATGATACCGTACTTATGGACCCAGTGGACAGCCTCCGCAACTTCCCTCAAGATAGGGATGATCCATCTCTCCGGTAACTCGCCCGTTGGCCGCATGAGGGACGCGACGCTGCCACCAGCACAGTATTCCATCACCATCCATACCGACTGGCCGACGAGGAGAGAATCGACGACAATGTTTATATTCTTCGCGCCGCTCTGGCCGAGGAGCTTGAGTGTTTGTATTTCTTTGAGGATATCCCCGAACGTATCCGCAGCACCAGGGACGAGGCCATCACCTTCCTCGATACTGATTATCTTGACGGCGACAATCCGACTGGGAAGCTTCGTGGTGATCGCCTTGTATACGCGGCCGAAGCTCCCCTTGCCAATGAGTTCTGAAAGGACATAGGGGGGCGGCTCTCTGCCAGCGTCAGTGCATTCCTTGATGATGGAGGCCTGCGTATCGGTGGCATCTTTAATAGCCTTACCCTTAATGCCCGGGGGCTCTGGCAGATAGAGGTCAAGGGTGGCCATCAATTACGTGCCCCGTAGGGTGGGCTTGGAGGCGGGTGAGGTAAGGACAATGGAGAAGGCGGTCTACATCCCTTACTGACTAAGCCTCAACTGTTCAATGATTTTTTGTCTGCATCTTGGAAGGGGTCGACGATTTACTTCGTATAGACACGCCGCGACGCGGTCGAAACGGCAGAACACAGGGATGACTTCGGGCCCTCCTCTCTCTTAAAGCAGCGGGGGAGGTCCGAGGGCTTAAGCCAGCTGAGCTATGGCTTACAATGGGGAGTTGATTGAGGTGCGGCGTCGAGCTCAAACAAGCCCAGAAATTGGGTTTGAGACAGTTGTTCAATTGCGAAGCATCAGATGAGTACTAAAATTGGATCCATGTCATATTTTGATCTTCTCGAAAGTTTATTACGGAAATCTTTTCTTTTCCGTAGCCTAGGAGATGGACCACACTCGTATTACGAAGTGGGTAAACCTCAGTTGGGCGATGGAATACGAGAACTAAACCAGACAGAAGAACCATTGCGATACGAAAGACATGGGCACCGTAACGAGGAGAGGATCTAAGACAACATGCACGGAATTTCAACTTGGAAAAGTGCCGTCGGGCATGTCAAGCAAGGACAGAGTGGATGGAAAATAGACGGCCCGTTCCAGGAGCGGAAGTCATGTCGCGCATGCGACCAGGCTCGAGGCGCTCGGTGATGTTAAATTGCATCCGCAAACTTCAAGCTACCAAAAGGCATGGAAAATTCACAAACGAGACTTGTCCTTCCAAAGGAGTCCAGCCTACGAGATAGGCGGTTGTCATGATGGAAAAGAGGCTCGCGCATTGGCGTGAATACAGCCAGTTGAAGTGGTCTTGGGGAAGTTCAATGCTACCAGGCTTCCTTGCATCTAAACTTGCCGACGGCAAACAAAACGCATCAAGATTGATCCAGTCATCAAAGATAAGGAAATATGGACAGCTGGCGATTCCAACCATGAAGTATCACGCAGGGGCTAGGGACAGGACAACGTCAAATTTGGCTTCAATGGCGTTTTTCATTACCAAAGATTACCGTCCACGCGTGAGTGGTTATCGTGGCAGAACCAATTGAGTTGGAGCAGTTGTAAAAATAGGGGTTCAAGGGGGTTTTCTTGCTTGGCAGGGGGAGTTATTGGATGGAGTATTATTAGTCCCAATCATCAATCTGTTTGGCCACGGCGCTTGGCGAGAGATTGAGATCGAAGCTAGCCGAGGAGTATTGATATTAACTTATCAGAGATGGACCCGGTCATCAATCTTTTCTGGCTCGAATCCAGTCTAATCTTGATCTGCATCTGCAGCGCAGTGGGCCGTGTGATAATGTAGTACTGCTCCAAACCTGGTACGAAGTATACTAGGCTTCGGTTCCTGGTTGTTCGTTTTCCTTGAAGTTGTTCATGAACCCTGACTCCAACAAGAGGTGCGATATTCGATCTGGGCCGGAGTCCAATCTGTGCGGGTTATTGTTACTTCGTACTTTGTGCTTCATAGTATTCATTGACTGTTGAAAGATCAAGGAGGGTCACCAAATCCCTTAGCGCTGTGAAGTAATTAGCCCCTAGAATCGGTCAATTGAAGTTTGAGCCGTTTCTGGATCCTCATTCGGCCGGCCATGGCGTCTTGTCAGGGGCACATCTCAATATGCATCAATGATATCCTCTTCAGTTACATTGGGACGACAGGTGCGGCTACGTCTGGAGCATCATTAGTAGCTTGTCCTTGTCTCGTTCAATCATATTCGCAGGTGTTTTTTCCGTCGAAGAAATTTCCATTTCCCTTTTCGGGAAGTTGTCTCCTTCTTCTCCCTCGAGTCTCCTCTCCTCTCGGACCTGCTCACTCCTTGCGTTGGGTAGATAGCCACTCGGTTTGCCTTCAAACACGGAGATCGTGATCGGCCCTTTGAACCCTCTCCCTTCCCGTCAAAGAAACTTCACAACCCTCTCGAGCGAACTCTTCCGTGAAACGAAACGAAACAGCGATTGCGATCTCGCTCTGCAGCCATACGCTCCGTTGATCCGTCCCATCCCTCACGAATACAGACTAAAACGTGCCCGCGGCAACTTTTAAAGAGACACCATCACATCACCAAGACAGAACCTGTCTTACTTCTTTTCCTCCCTTGCCCCGCCTAACTCCCCCCTCGCGTCGCAGGAGAACAGCGCGGTCTTCCGCAAACAAATCTAAGACCTGCTCCTCTTCGTGTGTGGTCGAGTTGCAAAGAACCCTCTCCGGCCCCGAGAGTCTTGTACGGAGTCTGTTAGCGAGCTAGGCTGTGAGCGCGAAGGGGAGCGGCGCATTCGCCAAGCTGTCACCTGCGAGGTTGTGTCTGTGGACGTCGCAGCACGTTCTCAGATACTGTTACAGTTGCAGTTTGCAATTGCAACTCCACGCGTGAAAAGCCCCGAACAACAACACACGCTCGAGGTTTGCAAGGCTTAATTAAGATCTCCGACCTTGTACAAGTATACTATCTATCCCCTTGCACTTGCTGAAGTACTTTATACTTTGCCCCCGATCGCCAGGCCAGACAGTCAGCTTGCTTATTGCTTATTAGTGGGGATCAAATTAGAAGCCAGCAGAGATTGATTGCAATTATTATCGGCAGCGCAGTGGGGGTTAATTCCCTGAGCAACAAATACCAAGCACTTGTACACGCTATTCCAAGTGCAGCCCACTACTTCGTACAAGTACAGGCCCTTGCAGGGGCATCAATCAGCACCGATATTGACGCCCGGACAGGCCTGGCACTGTCCAATTGTCACCATTTCAGACCGGGACCCGCAATTGTACGAAAGTACGAAAGTACGGAGCAATTCTTGGAAACGGCCAAGAACTTGAAGAAGCCAGGGGAAGAGACCGAGCAAGAGACAAGATTGCGAAAAGGAAAATTTCAGGTTTCCAGCAGAAGTCCCCACAAAATTTGACTACAACAATCTGAAAGATTCGTCACCTTGATCAACAGCCGACGACGGCGCCAGCAGCAGCAGTTTGCCGTTGATCTTCCCACTGCCGGACTCAGACGAGGACAGCTTGAACGGACCAGAAACCAGAAGACCAGGCGCTGCCAGCTGGTTACGCCGATAAGATTACGAGGCCCTCAGCATCTGCCGTTTTCACCTCAATCCATTGATCCAGGTCCTCAATTCTTCGTATTGTCCTGTTGTCCCCGTCTTGCCCCCGTTCAAAGTTCAGGCCCAAGCCCAGTTGATTCAGTCCCCACCACCGCCACCCTTTCTCACCATTCCAACGCTTCCACTCGTCCACCAAAAATAAAAAAACGGATTCCTTAGCGTGCTGGTTCCAGATTGGCCTTTTCGAGCGCCAACCTGGTCCCATCCCGCTTCCGGCATTTTTTCCAAACTGGCGACCTCTCAGGAATCCGGAGTGGCTTCCACTTCCTCCTTCAACGACCGCAAAGCAAAATCCCATCACCGTCGCCGATCCTCCGTTCACTTGACTGTCGGCCCTCCGGACCAGAAGAGGTCCGCTCAGTACCTAACTGCTGATTCGCTTCCTCCCATTCCCGGTATGTCTCAGAATGCTTCCATCCCAGCTACTACTGCTTTACGATGTACATCAATTTCGATGTCGTACTATTCTCATGTTACCATCATTGATTGCCCCGGATCCCCCATCTTCGCCTTCCTTTATTTCCCCTTCCAACCTCAGCGTAATCCCTCCTCCCGGAACTACTAAGGCATCGTTCTTTGCGGCTCCTTTGTGTGTTTGCTTGAGTTGTTCAGTCTCCCTGTCTCCGGCGACCCATGCCTCCACGCCGGAACAAGTCGAAGGCGGTGGTGGTAGGAGATGGCCAAGGAGGAAGCAGGCGTCAGTATGAAGCCGAGCTGCCACAATCTGCGGAATCCTCCCGACAAACAACAGCTGCCGCCCGACTGCCGCCCTCGCGATCTAACACAATCTTGGCTTCACCCTATACTAATCAGTTGCCCACGAATCCAGGTACACCTGCGACGCCCATGCCGTTATCACGAAGCCCTTCCCCAGCCCTGGGCGGAGGTGGCTGGTCGAGCCCCGGACTCCACACACCCAGCGGTCGATCGAGTCCTGCCTCGGGTATACTTGCAGCTCCCGAGAGCTGGAAGTCAGTGAGCGCCTCGACGCTGACCCCGCCCGTCTCGAGTAGGAATCGAGGGTTCTTCAGCCGACACATTCGAAAGATTTCGAGTAGCTTACCGCAGTTCCGACCCGAACATCACACATATGCTCAAAAAGAGAAGCTTGGTCGCGGCCAATGGTCCCTGCGAGGGTTTAAGCCCATGTTGGTGGTTAGGAATATATTATCACGCATGAGCAGGAAGCTAAAGATAAGGTTATTGGTGACCTTGGTCCTCTTGCTGCTCGTGCTTGCGTGGTACCTTTCACGTAGGTTCCACCAACCCTGAACACTCATCTCTTACCACAAGTCGGACCGAATCATCCGCTCGCAACGCCGATTCATGAGCCATGAACATACGTGTGACTAACTTTCCATCAACTTATAGCGCTCCCCTACTACTTCAGGAGATCCGAAAAGTTCGGCGGTGGTAAGAAGTTCGTTATAGTGCTCGGCGCAAATGTTGGTGGTGGAGTGATGGACTGGAAGGGAGCCCGCGAGTGGGCTATCGAACGTGACAGCATTAGGAATAAGAAGAAGTACGTTGCGAGGTGGGGTTACGAGCTCGAGATTGTCGACATGAGGAAGAGGAAGAAGTACGCCCACGAGTGGCGCGAGGGCTGGCAAAAGATTGACTACCTGCGGGCGGCGATGCGCAAGTATCCCGATGCCGAGTGGTAAGCTCTCCCCCTTTCCCCTTTCCCGTCCCTTGGGTGGAAAGACGTAGTCCCCGAGTTCTGTTGTGTGACTGATGGCGTTGATAGGTTCTGGTGGCTCGATCTTAACACCTACATAATGGAACCCACGTACACGCTTCAGGACCACATCTTTAAGAACCTCGAAAAGAACGTTTACCGCGATATCAACGAATATAACCCCCTCAACATCTCTCATCCTTTTACCGAAAAATATTTGAGCGAATCCGACCGAAGCCCAGTCGGCGACGGTAACCCTGACTCGATCAACCTTCTCCTAGCTCAAGACTGTTCTGGCTTCAACCTCGGATCCTTCATGGTCCGCAGGAGTGAGTGGACGACACAGCTCTTAGACGTATGGTGGGACCCCGTCTCATACGAGCAGCGACACATGTCTTGGGACCATGCCGAGCAGGACGCCCTCGAAGAGCTGTACACGAATCAGCCTTGGGTGAGGAAGCACACGGCCTTCTTACCGCAGCGCAAGATCAACAGCTTTCCTCCCGGAGCTTGCGCCGACAACGGACCCAATCCCCGATGGCACTACGATCAGAAGGATCGCGATTTTCTCGTTAACATGGCAGGCTGCGAATGGGGCCGAGATTGCTGGGGCGAGATATACCAATATCGCGAGCTCAGCTACTACCTCAACAGGAATCCTTGGGAGAGGTTCAAGGAGGATCTTGTGGCTGTTATCTGGTTTAAGATTACAGGCCAAAAGGTCAAGTTATAGACGCCGAAGTTTCTTTTTACTCTTCTTCTCTCTTTTGCCTGGCGCTATTTGTCTCTCCCTAGGGCGCGTAGCTTTTATTTTCCCCTCGAAAACTTTCGTCGAACTTGCCTCGAGCTTCAGTACCCGAGAGGACCGCCTATTCTTGTCGATTGTTCCCGGCTGGACCCTTGAACAGAATTGGTGTTGCATCGGCTCTTTTGAAACGACATCCGTCGATTCGGTTCTTGTTTGAAGGCACTTTTACGGAGCAGAACTGTTCCGTCCCCCTTTTTTACTACCTTTTTTTTCTTTTTCCTTAGGCAAAGAGAGAGAGGAGGATTTGTTCTTTTATTTTGGTTTTCTCCTGTACGACTGATTTCGCACTTGTCATATCAGTATACCCCAATGCTTGCGACAGTAACGATTCCGGACACTGGTAATGCCTTTGAAACTGCATTGACGGATACAACAACACACAAAAGGGATAAAGAGGCTCGGCGCCGTGGATACATATAATGTTACAATGTCATTTTTATTGCCGGCTTACTTCCCTTAACTGGAAGCCTTTTCTTGTCAGAAGCATATTTCTAGGGAACTTTTATTCTTCGAGTCATGGTTCTTCTTTTGTCGTCGACGCTGGGTGTGTCGATGGTCTTTTACTTCTGCCTCTTCCTCCTCTTCTTCTTCTACTTGGTTCTTTATCTTAGTTCTAGGAGGCGGATTGTTTCGTTTTTTTTTTTATGCTTTGCTTCTTCTTCTCAAACCATTATCATTATTATCATTGCCTTGCCGGTCGTGGTCTATAAACAGGATGGGAGGAGTACGGATGTTTGCGTCACAAGACAGAAGACGAAATAAAGAGAGAATGTTCAAAAAAAAAAAAAAAAAAAAAAAAAAAAAAAAAGCTGTACGAAGTCTCGGAAAATACATCAAAGAGAAACCATGCCAGTATTATTACTCGAAGTGGAGAGGCATCTTGAACGACCTCAGTGACCAAGTTTTTCTATTGAGGCTCCGAAATACAAGTCTCTGGAGCTTCGTTGGCATCTAACGTCGATCTTCGCCTCTTTGGGCTGGGAGCAAGATGTGCATGAGCTCGTCCGAGAGTTAAGCTTAATGAATCAGGTAGCATCCGGGACAAAAACGCAGAAATGGAAAGCTGGTGCATGAGTTCACATGCATCAGGTCTCGAATTGCCTTAAAAATGTCAAGTCTACTCTTCCGGCTGGGTCGATGAACTTGGTGAGGAGTGAAGATGTATATATCCTACCCTCGATTACATCTTCATTCCCTTCATGGCATCCATCTCCAACCGTGTAAACCCATTCCCCAAATACCCAAATCTATTGCTCCTCCCTCTCCCCTCATAAACATACTCCCAGTCCTCCCCCCTAAACTCCCCCAACATCTCAATAAAATGCAACCTACTCCCCGGATGCAAAGCCGTCACGGCCCCATCACCCCCGGCCTTATACCACGACCGGCAAGATCCGGCCCACGCCGTCCGGGGCATGAAGGCGGCGACGTGCTCCGCGTAGTCAGCCACGGCGGCGTCGGAGGGCGTCATGGACAGGATGCATTCGGTTTGGCACTTGCGGATGGCGCGGGCTATGTATGTTGCTATGTGTTCGCTGAGGGTGAAGACGTCGCCGTGGGAGATGGGGGCGTGGGGGCCGAGGAATTCTAGAGAGCCTTTGTTTTAGTATCTTCTTGTTGATGTTGTGTTAGGTGGCATTGGGATGGAGACAGGGTGTCCTTGCGTCGACTTTTGATACGTACTGAAGTAGTTCGGCATTCCGGCGATGCCTAGGGACATGTACGACGTGGGCGTCTCTTTCTTCCAAATATCTTGAAGGTTCCCTTTCCGCCCTACCACAGGGAACGGCGGCACAAACGAGTGATCAAACCCCGTGGCACATATGACCGCATCCACATTCAAAACCTCCCCATTCTCCAGCTCAATGCCCTTCCTTGTAAACCTCTTGATTCCCTCCGTCACAACCTCCACTTTCGGATCCCGCATCGCCTCCAAATACCCCGGCGCTGGCGTAAGCCTCCGGCACCCAATAGGAAACTTGGGAATCAGCACTTCACAGAGCCTCTCGTCGCCGCCGAGCATTGCCGCCATGTACTCCCGGCACTTTTGCGCCGCCCACTCCTGCTGCGGCGACGTGCTCATGAGGGATAGCGCGAACTTTAGGTTTGAGTCCGTGTCGAGGGCTTTGGTGAAGGTGTCGTAGAAGGTTGGGTCGGTTTTGAAGCGCTCGATTTGTGTGGGGGTGAAGTTCTCTGAGGTGTCCATTTCGATTTGGTTTACGATTGGGGCGGCGGCGCCCATTTTCATGGTTTGGACGCGTGGGGGGAGGATCCATGTTGGTGTGCGGATGGGGTGATAGAGCTTTTTGGCATCTGTATAAGTAGGCCCGGTTAGATATTGGGAAAGAGACAAGGGGGTGTAGACAATAGGCTCTGTCCCGTTTCCCTAGTGGGAAGAACGTACGTGGTACTATTTGAGGGAGCACCTGGACACCCGAGGCTCCGTTTCCGATGAGGGCGAGTGTCTTGCCATCGTACGTGAAGTCCTCCGGCCACGCCGCCGTATGCACCATCTGCCCCTCAAACTCTTCTCGTCCTGGAATATCCGGCCACACCCAATTGCTGTCATGAGAAACTCAAGTCAGTCTTTCGTTTCCTCCGATATTCTCAGGTCACCTTCAGAACAACATGCCCTAGGAAGGGAGAGAAGAGAAAAGGGAGTGAGGAAGCACCTACTTCAGGATCCCAGAAGCATCAATCAGAAAATCCCCCAAATCCACAACTTCACCTCCATCCCCCTTCTCCACCCTCACCTCCCACTTCGCCCTCTCCTCATGCCACCTCACCCCCTTCACCCTACACCCCGTCCTAATCTCCCCCCACATCTCCTCCTCCTCGCAGATCCTCCTCAAATACCCATGAATCTCCCCCGCTGACGCGAAGAAGTTCGTCCACTCTGGGTTCTTCCGCCAGCTAAACTGGTAGTTGTGGCTGGGCACGTCGCACCTGCACCCGGGATACCGGTTCTCGAACCACGTGCCGCCGACGTCAGAGTTCTTCTCGTATAAAACGTGTGAGTAGGGTAGGGTGCCGAGGGTTTGGCGGAGCGTACGGATCATGTTGATACCGCTGGCGCCGGCGCCGATGGTGATGATGCGCAGGGGTCGGGGGGAGAAGAGAGGCGTTTCGTGGATGGCATATTGGTTGGTGGTTGTGGGAGGCATGGTGCCTCCGTTGGTGTCTTGGTGTTGGGAGAGGTGCGGCTGGAATCTTGTGCGGGACATGATGATGGATTGGATGCGGAAGAGGGGGCAGAGGTTGGAGGTTAAGCTTGGTAGATGGCCGTCAACGCCGCTTTCACTGAGTGGAAGGTACAACCCGAGTGACAGGGTGAATAGAGCACTGTAACTAAACTAAGAATCCTAGTACGACCGGGAGATCAATCTTGGGGCCCGGTAACATGGTAATATGGTGATACAGGCAAAAACTACATGGAAATAAGAAAGATGAAAGAGAAAGAGGGGGGAAGGGTGCAGGTATAAGGACTCCCGGGAACCCGCTAGATCCAGAGGAGGAAGCGAAGCGTGTACCAACATTCCACGCCACGGAAAATCCTACCTTTGACTTACAAGGGATGCAGGTGGAGAAGAGAGCTAGGCGCCAAGGGACCCTGCGCAAGCAACCGCATCCCTTGGAGGGCATGCAAACCGGCCCTTCATCGGCTTCCGCCCGGAATCGTAGCTTCGACATCAACCATCACATGAGTGGTTAAGTCTGTTGTGCTTCTTCGTCCAATACTGAGGAGTAAGCTTCGTAACTACTTCTTACAATGCGGAGGAGATGCTATCAGATACGGCGGTATACACAGCCCTTTCTTGGTATTTTTATCTAGATCCTAGACGCGGCTACTACTTCGGAAGTTCGCATTCCACACACAATTAGAAGTGCGGGTAACGGGCAGCCGGGGGTTTCTAAGTCGAAGAAAGGCTGGACCCGGTCTCGGGTGTCAAGATGGAATGACCCCACGTGGAGGAATGGATGTTTGTTGTACAACAGTGGGGAAGATGCAGTCAAAGTCCCGGCTGAGTGGGAGATGGCATTGTAAGAAGAGAAGAGCAGCTCCGCGACCCAGCAAAGGGAGTGAGCCACAGGAAATGAAAACCTGGTTTGGAAAGGTCTTTATTTGAAGCATAAGAACGGAACGACCCGGGGAGATGAGAACTTTATCGATCCTCGACCCATAAGTTGATCCCCCTCACCGATGCCCGTCATATCTACAGTCCATACTCACCTGCAGTTAGTATCCAGCGGGTCAGAAAGCAGAGGGAAGCAATCAAGGTGGGTGGTGGGGGAACTGCCGAAGGGTGACAGGTTAGTTTCCTCCCCGCTGCGGAGAGAAGCGTGCCTGCAGGGTCACAGTCTGGCTGACTGCTTCATAAGAGGGAGTCAATACTTTCGTTTGGTCCTTTTACGACCGTGGGATGGGAGAGATACGGCACCTGCCTTGCGTTGTCGTACATCTATGGTTGTGCTGCGGCTCCCCAGATTTGAGGGAGGAGAGCACGATATCTCGCCATCATCCTCTTTGCTCCCCGGAAAAATATTTCCGTGGATGTGTGTCCTAGGGAAGAGCACGCGAAGTGCTGCTCGATTCAACAAAAGGTCAAACTGAGCATTGCATCCGGAAATATCTAACCATGTCCGATGGTGAGAATGTTTGCTGCCAAGTCGGAGATGTCGTAAATCATCCAACCATAAGCCAGTCACATCAAGCTTGGGAGCTTCAATTGGGAGAAGAACGAACCCCGCTGTCGAATGCATCGTTGATCCGTCCGTTGAGAGCTGGGGTCGGGGTCCGAGTCCGGGGACTGGCCCCTCGTTGGCCCTGCCTCAGCTGGAGTAGGTTGATCAATTTTCGGAAACGCATTCAAATCGAAGGTCTAGAACATTATCATGGCGATAATCTTTTCGTCTATGGAAGCATCAAAGGCAGAAAAGAGTGCGGCTGATGAGTAGCTGACCGACGTTGCGCAATCATCACCTCCTTCTTCTTCTTCTTGAGTCCAAATAAGGTTGATGGCGACAAACAGCAAAAGCATCTGTCGACATTGTAGGCCAGCTTTGGCTTTTTCGGGGAAAAGCCCAATCCCAGGGCACAGATGCAGCAGATTGGGTAGGATGAATTGAGTGCGGAGGAGGCGTCCATCCGTTCTTTTTAGCTTCTTATCATGTCGGAAGCTTTTTCTTGGGCTTCCCCACCATGCAAAATTAGCCAATAGCTGAACGTGGCAACCACCACGGAATCAACGTCTTCAGACCTTACGTCTTGAATGGTATCCCCCATCCAGGTAATGCCGACGGCCTGGGACTTCCTGTTCCAATAATCTTCCGTACGACCATAACGGATTATCTCGCGAACGCGAGCCGGCGTGCCACAGCAGACGGCGGATATCGAGAAACGGCTTCGTTGAGCCCCGCAGCTGGTGGCTCACAACCGCCATAATGTCCTTTTCGTTTTCATTTAGCGGCGACGATATAGAAGGCCAAGATGACGGTGTTCAGCAAGTCGAGGTGCCGAAGGGACCTGGGAGCGTTGCGCCCATCGCTGCGCCGTCTTCAACTCAACGGCAGCAGGCAACCAGTGCGTTCCCCGTAGAGGGAAAGCCACAGCTGCAGCCCACGCGCCAGAATATGGACTCGATGTTAAGCTTACTACCTTCTAAGATCGCGTACGATCTATTAAGTGTCACGTTGGTTGATGGGCGCATCATAGGCCTACCTCGTCGAGAGCTCTGGGACGTCCGCGTTCAACTCATGGCGGAGGACGATGGGAGCGGGTCGACTACCGAAGGTCTCGGTAGCCATGATGTGAAGACGGGAGTCTACGAGGGCGGCTTCAAGAGCTGGGAAAGCAGCGTCGATCTCGTCAAGGTGCTCGCTAGTCTCGACTATGGCCGACATGATGGCAGCACCCAGCCGCTTCATGTAATCGAGGTGCGTTGAAACCGGAACGCCCTACGGCTCAACTCCGATCCCTTACGATTTTCTAGCGAATCGAACTTGAGAGCTAACGTCACCTTTACTTCCGTAGCTGGGCTGTGGCACCGCGTTACCCTCGCTCGCTCTGTTCCGGCAAGTAATGTCAGAAAGGAAATCTGCAGCCGAGCCCGGGGCGGCTCCTCCCCCGGCGCTGCTCATGACGGTGGCCGACTACAACCCATCAGTCCTGCAGCTCGTCACTCTGCCCAATTTCATCCTCACCTGGGCGCTGCTGTTCAAAGACACCGAACCGGCTCTCAAAGACGCCTTCGAATTAGAGGACGAACTTGAACTGACTGATGAATTGAAGCAAGCCTTTTCCCATTCCTTAGCAGCAGCCAACGTCACCCTGTCCTGGATCTCCGGGGGTTGGTCCCACGAGTTTGTGGAGATCCTCTATGCCGCTGCGGAAGAAAGGGGTCTGCCTACATCGCTCACCACCTTGGTCCTAGGTGCCGAAACGATATACTCGCCCTTCGCGCTCCGGGCTTTCTACGAGACTCTCGTGGAGATCCTACAGCGGGAGCACCGAGAAAGGCCGGGATCTGACGCCCAAGTCTTGGTCGGTGCAAAGCGTCACTATTTTGGTGTCGGTGGATCCCTGGACGACTTTGTCGAGATGGCTAGAGGCGGCGGGTTTGTGGTTGAGCAGTTAGCCGAGGAGACGGATGGTGTCAGGAGGGGCGTGGTTCAGTGTAGGCTAGCCGCGCCATAAGAAAAATCAGAAAAAGACAAATTAAAAGAAAAGAAGAGCAAGATTGGCGAGATATGTTGCTAAGCGGGCCGTCTAACCCTACTTCCGGACGATCTCCTTCGGTTCCCAGACCTCGGAGGAGTTCCAGGCGGCCGGCTGATGAAAAGCGAGAGGTTATAACGGCCCTTTGATAAGCCCGCCTCTGGCTTCTTCTAATCAGCGAGCGGAAAGGAAACCAACTTTGACAGGGATCCTAATTTAGGCGCCGCAACAGAAGTGGCATTGAATCCGGGAAACTTTCTAGAAAATCAAGCTCTAGATTCTGCATCCTGTATGGCCAAAACCGATTGATCTCGCAGGGTGTGTTTCGAAATTTCTTTTCCGCCATGTTGTGCATATCAAACACTCTATGCCTTGGTTTGCCAAGATTGTCTCTGTAAAGGAAGCATCATCGTTCGTTTCTTGCCCCCTTCCTTACGCGTCTTGTTACTGCCCCACGGTCGCCGCCGTGAGAGATGTACACTGCAACACGGAACAGCCGGGTTTTCAGGCTTGTCGCAGATGGCGATGACTCTGTTCATATGGAAGCAGCAACGAATCGAGGGATTGCTTCATTGTGGATACAGCTGGCTGCACTTGGTAACTAGAACGAGAATCGATCCGGGTCACATGCATGCATGCACAAGGGGTCTGCTTTGTACATTTCACAAGAGGAAATTATGATTATGAAGCCGTGGAATGTGATGCCATTCGCATCTAGGCTTCCAGGAAGCTGCATATGAGCGAGTGACGCCTCTTTTGGAATGGAGGATTGATGTGGGTGGCGATTCGTCTCTGCGAGGAAGTCTCTTTCCACGATGTGGTGGTCTACTCTTCCATGATTATTTCCTGCTTCGTCCGTGTTCTCCATGTGTCATGGAGACCAAGATATTGCCGGGCTGCCGGACTCTACGAGAGACATGCGATGATGCAAGCGTGAGATTAAACTTTTTTTCCTTCTTCGTACTTGGCACTGCCACCACTCCGGTGCGATCGGGAAGTGAGCGCTAATTAGGACCTGGAGGGACGCTATTCCTTCATCAACTGTTGAACCTTTCTGAGCAAGGTCAACGCTGGCTGTCACGGCAAGGAGAGCCGTAGTGCAATCCATGCGCTAACGATGGACAGAAATGCCTCGACGCCACAGGACTAGTGTAGACGGTGGGAGATGTCAGCGATTGGCCGGCAGAGAAAGGCAAGAACTTCAGTCCTGGCCATTCCTTCTACCCTGGTGCCAGGTGGGCCGCTTTGGAGAGCCTGGTCAGTTCACCGGGGCCTAAACAGGAAGCAGTCTCTAAAGGAAACACAGGTCGATAAATGACTGGAGAGCCAGGAGGAGATGACGATTCAATTAGCGAAGGCGCCACAACTGCATGTGAATACAGCTTGGTCCCTGCGTACCCTGTGCTTTCCGCCTTTGCTGTTGCTGAGGCCAAGGGATGCTGTACTTCGTATGTACAACAGGAAGCGTGGAGTGGGCAAGATCTTGATACTCCATGCTCTAATGATGCAATTGAATATTAGTGGGTCGCATTGCCGGGAGCCACTGCGGACAAGATCGTCCCCTCAAGAATCACTGATCGCCGAAAGTTCCTATCGAGATGTCAATGGCCCCTCAATAATCTGCATGTCCGTGTGAGCTCAGAGACGAATCGCCCCTCTGACCGGACGAGCAAGTACCACCAGAGTACGAAGGAAGACAGGTCACTGCCGTTGAGAGGCACAGGCGCTTCGCTGAAAATCGACGAGACGACGTGTGTTGGTTACTCAAGTCGGGAAACACATACCTCCTTCCCGCAACAAATTGTTCATGGTTCTGTGGACCGCACCTGCAATCTAGTTTGGTCCAGAAGCATTCGATTACATGCGCAAGAGCACCCGGATGAATGCACGTCTGGCAACACGAAGCGAGATAGATGGGTTGAAGCCCGAATGGGTGTAGGACGAGCTGTGTTGGCTGGATGAAGGAGCTGGAGTGCATCAACAAACTGGACTGTCACTGGACGGGAGGTACCACACCAAGCCGATTTGTACGTCGCTCTTGCGACGTTGTCTCCCCAACACGAACAACGATGTCAGCACTATTTTACAGACTTAGGCAAAGTTCTCACTTGAGCTGATCGCCTCTGCCGGATGGATGACGAGTCTCTTTCCTTTTACGTTGTAAACAAGCTCTTGGTCATCGGAGGTTGGAGGACTTTCCCTCGTAAGAAGTGCACATACTACATTCGAGAGGAACTGCCCCCAGCGCCGTCCATTAGAGTTCGGACTGTATCTCAGAAGAGATCAATGATAGGATAGCGCCTCTCCTCTGGAGAGATCCATGCAAATGCTCCACCCAGGAAATCAGATGGCATCAATGAATCCACTCCGACGCCGTGTATTGATGTACATTACGAAGTACACTCCACTAATTGCAACATGCGGAATCAGGAAAGCACAATTGCAAGATTTTGTACAAAGTGGGCCCTGTATTGTAGTTTGTCAGGGAATCTATTGCGGGGAGTACACCAAGGTACCAATAGCGATGGGTCGAGCTCAATTAATTTCCCCTGTTCAATCCCCCAAGTGGCCTAGCGCAGGAACAAGCCTTGCTCAGGGACGTAGCGTCTAGTATATGTACCACTAGTGTGTTAGAAAGAGCAAATATTTCATGGGGTCTCGGTGTTACACCATGGCCGGTACAGTCGAGATACAAGTCGAGTCCCTGACTTCCCTGAACTGAGTCCCGCGTGCCGTAGCAACACGCGTTCAATTGTAACCCATCTTGTCCTTCATGGTTTGCATCATGGTTGCTCTGGTGGTGATGAAGAGTATTAGAAGGTACCTCGCAACTTCCGTCTCGCCTGTGCTGCAACTGCCCTGTTCCAGCTGTGGCCTGTGGCGTACCTCGTTCTCCGTAGCGTACTTCGACATCGACCTGCCCATCGTCAACAAGACTAACACCCCCAGACTCGCTCTTTCCTTCCAAGCACAGCTCGCCTCCATCAATGTACCTTCCCTTCCCTGCAACCCCCCTGGGCTCCTATTCTCCATCGTTCCTACTATACCGAAGGGGAAATTAATAGACCTCCACGCCCGTCTCGTTTCCTATTTTTTCTACTCCCTCTTCTTCTCCCTCCTCGAAATCCATCAACTGTAACCATTCTTTTCCCACATTTTCTTTCGACACATTCTCTCTTCAGGAATTCTTTTCGACTTGACTCTTGAGCATCGCCTCTAATAATAATCTGTATATCACCGTGAGTTTCACCCTCTACCTTCATTTCCTCTCTCCAAAGCAGCAATCTCTGTTGCTCCCGATTCCCTCTGCCGTGCCCCCAGTGTCACAACTGACTGCGTTGGACTGGCTGCGTGACATTTCAGGTCTCAGGTTCCTAGATCTGTACAACCGATTGCCAAGAACATTCAAATACTGACAATCTCCCCTTCGCTGGTCCAGATCTCTTCTTTAGAGCATTCAACAAATCCACATTCATCACCCAACACCATCAAAATGAAGTCTTTCGCCACCATCCTCCTCGCTGCCCTTGCGGCTGTCGCCAACGCTGTCCAGTTCACCAACAGCGCTTTCGATGTCGAGCCCGGCAAGCCATTCGAGCTTACTTGGTCCGGTGCTACCGGCTCAGTCACCATTCTCTTGAAGAACGGCCCCCAGGACAACCTCCAGACCGTCGACACCCTCGTCTGTAAGTGATGATCCGCATTGACTAGAGATGGTGGGTGCAAGAGGCCATTTGCTAACGAGACTTTTCCATAGCTGGTGCTACTGGCGGCTCGACTGAGGTCATCATTGACCCCAAGAAGTACCCCTCCGGCACCTACGCCTTCGAGATTATTGACTCGGGTAACCCCGGAGCTCCCAACTACAGCACTCAGTTTAACATCGTTGGCAGTGGTACCCTTTCTGCGACGGCCACTGCCACTGGTGCGAGCTCCACACCTACCTCCAGCACTCCTGCCAGTACTACCACCTCTGCCTCTGCCTCTCCCAGTGCTTCTAGCTCTGAGAGCGAGTCCGCCACCCGCACTTCCTCGTCCCGTATGTATTATTATTATTTACATGTTCAACCTGCTTTACTCGCCCTGTAACTTGATGCTAACCTCTCTCTTTCACCTTGTAGGTGCTAGCCAGTCCTCGGCTGCTGACGAGAAACCCACCTCCGTTCCCGATACCGGCGCCGGTGGTCGCCTCACCTCTTCTTTCGCGCTCGTCCTTGTCACTGTTGCCGCCATGTTCTACTTGAACTAGAGGCATTTCCGAGAGTGGTTCGGAAGTTATGAAAGCGACTTGCGGATGGATGGATGGAATGCAGTTCTGTGATTTCTTTTGCGCAGGCGTCTAGAGGGTTGAGGATACCGTATATTAATAATGGATGGCACATATAGCCATGGACCGGATCGTCATGGCTCATGGAAAAAAACGGAATTACAGCGGTCTCTTTTTTTCTTTCGATTTGATTATTTTTTCTTCTCTGGTCGTGTTGTGTAGTACGTTAGGGAATGGGTTGCATGTGTATAAAACAGTTGATACCGCAGGCCAATACCACACACACATCGAATCCGAGACGTTCCCACCCATAAACCTTTCATCGGATCTGAAGGAGATGTCAGTCGCAACTTGGCATTGAAGAGCCGTGGAAAGCGGTGGGTCTTCGGGTTCCACCGACAAGCCTGGGGTGAACCAACGAGAGCTTTGACAATCGGCTTCCTGCAGAAGCAAACAATTGATGGATGTACCCGGTCAGCGGCAGGGGAAGGAGGTTGCTTGCTGGACTCCGTCAATATGCAGGGTTCACTTCTCACCGGTTGCTAACTTACTCGTGCAGCAACTGGGCCCTTAGGATGCATGGCAGCGGATGTTTGAGGGCGGTTCGGCTGTCGAGGTTTGTCTCTGCCTCCCCAAACGTCGACTGTAGAAGAGCCGATGAATTCTCCACAAAGCATTGTGGTTCGAGTCTTGTCTACTCCCATGGTGCATCGTGCATCCATAACAAATGGCAAAAGGGATGATTTTCAAATCTGTAAAACTATGCAGCACAGAGGGGGGCTAGGCTCACACAAAGCCGAGATGGGGTTGGTAACATGAAAGAGATATAACCTCTTTTGATTATATTGATATCCTATTGTTATTCTTTTTGCCCTTTCGATATTCCTCTCCTCTTCCACATTTTCCCTGCTTCTTTCTTTTTTTAGTTTCTTCCCCCTTTCCTTTTGACGATTGTAATGCGACCGATTTAAGCAAACAGCCATGAACTCCGGGTGGATGCAAGGGAAGATGGCGATAGTTGGGTGACAAGGGGTTGGGGGGTAGGGATGAGAAGGGCCAGTGATGGCAAAGTATATAATAGTGAAGGGAAAAGGAAAGAGAAAAAAAAAGGAAAGCCACACTACCCAGATTTTCATTAGATGGATGGAATGATATGACATGGGGGAGAAGGAAACAGAGTTGCCAACGAGGGGAAAACAAAAGATCTAACCCAAAAACCATACAAAGGAGAAAATCGCTAGGAAAAAACCAAAATTGCAAATGAGGCCAACCTGAAGAGGGGACTACAGATGAGGCTGGGGGCCCTTGTCCTCGCAGACGACAGCGACGAGCACACAAATGTCGTCGACCTTGCCGCCGTCCCATCGCTCGTGGGGATACGCCTCCCTAACGGACTTGGAGAAAGGCGACTCGGACTTCTTGTCCAAGCTAGCAGACTTCGCGGCGGCCGTGATGGACGCGGCAAGGGAGTTCTGGAGCGTTCGGGGCTGCTGTTGCGCTCCTCCCGATGGGGTATCATTGACCTCGTCTTGGTTCTGTTTGATATACTTCGCGAGGTCGGGAGCGGCGCGGATGGATCCAAACTCGGTCATCTGCCAGGCGCCGGAGCTCGTCATGATCCGGCTCGCGATATGCAGGACGTCCTGGTTAAAGAGGTTATCCCAGAGACCGTCGGTGCCGAAGATGACGACGTCGCCGTGCTGGAGGCACTTGTGCGTGACGTCTGCGTCGCGGGGCAGGTCACTGAACCCGCGGCCGCCGAACATGGCCATGCGCGAGAGCATGATGGGCGGAATCGCCGAGAGCTGAAAGGGTGTGTTGAAATTGTGCGTTTGCGGGCGGGAGTACGCGTGTACGCCGTTGAGCCGGAGGATCAGGTATCCCGAATCGCCCAGATTCGCCACATCTAGACATCCGTCCGGCGAGGCTATGGCGACGCACGCCGTGCTTCCTCCCGCGGAGATGCTCCTATCGTGCAGCACGTCACTATACCCCTTCTCCATTAACCTCCGCGCCGTGAGTAGTTCCCTCGGCTGCTCCGGGTCCGTATCGTGGTAGTACGCCTGCGCAGCCATATAGTCGCAAAACGCGTGTGAGAAATCAGCAGGATCGACATTCGAATCGACCCATCCGCCCACACCATCCGTCACGCCGAGAGCCACGGCGCCCGTGTCGCCGATTCTGCTGACGAAGAAGGCATCGTGACCGCTGTCCGGGCGCGACTTTTTGGATTTCTTGGTGCGCTGGATGCGGTGGTAGGGGTTGAACTGATAGGTGTGGGTCGCAGGGTCGAACTTGTGGTTCTTAGCTATGAAGGAGGCCGCGATGCCGTAGTTGTATCGGGGTTCGATGGGTTGGGAGGAGAGGTATCGAGTGCAGCCGCTGATGTGGGTGTATGGGGGAAGGGGCATGTCGTAGCTAACGCTTGTTCGGATGTGCGTCGACAACGAGCCTAGAGTTGGTCGAAACGTGTTAGAACAGAGGGAGAAGAGGTAAAGAAGGCTTCCAGCGCGTAATGTAGATCTCGAAGAGAAAGGGATTTCTCGCCTCGCCTTGAGGGATCGCATGCATACCTTGGCCAGGTTGACGATAGCACGCTCTCGCTATCCGGGACGCAAATGTGGCCATAGCCACACCAACAAGATATCGGGAGACGCGCCGTAATCACGAAGGGAAAGGAATCAAACGCTAGATATTATCAGGTCCCAAGGTCGCAAATGTATTGTTTCGCGGAGATGCGAGTCGTATCGGAGATGCGCGGCGGGGAGAGAGAAAGAAGTTGATAGCAATCAGAGCTCTCCGCGGAGTTTGCTCGGTGACCAGTGATAAGAGGGGAAGCTCTGAGGCCCTCGATTTAGTCCACCTCTTAATTTTTTTCTGCTCTTTTTTTGGTTTTCTGCCCACTCCTCAACAATTAGAATCCTGTTCGCAGGCCGGTCCAGCACTAGCGGCGCTCTTGTGAAGAACCAATCTCAAGGAAAATTCGATGCAAGGGACCACGATTGGAACAATTGATTCGTTCAAGGGTCCATTGGAGCTCCAATTACCTAATGTTTACTTGGCACATGAAATTGTGCAACTTTTGTCGTTCACAAGGGAAATTGGAACATCGAAAAATCCAAGATCGAAGGACAGATCATCGTAGTCATGTCCGACAACTGGCAGAAATCTGGCCAGATGTTGCCAGCCGGCTCGGTCCCAGCCGATCCGGACCCGCGAAATCGGGAGCGACCGGGTCTTTGAGGACATGAAGCTGTCTTGGTGGACCATTTGCCTTCTCTCTTTACCGTCCAAATCGTTTGGGGGGGGAGAAGGGGGGGGCATTCCCAGATCCACCGTGGTATTTATTAACTTGTTCTGGGTCGTGAGTGTTCTTCCTGGGCCACTTCGACGACTCCACTTCACTGGAACAAAGCCTCGGCTCTCTCGCTCGAAAGGTTCCGATATCTGCTGGGAGTACGGCAGTTTGTGCTAACAATAACTCGAATTGTACTTCAATGCTTAGATTTTACGCATACAATACGGTTTTATAGCCATTGGCCACTACCACGTAGAAACAAGACTAAAATTGTATACTCTTTTTACCCATCGATTCAGGACTGGACAATGGACGATGACATCGCCAGCAAACTTTTAGGGCGAACGGCGCACGAAGAACAGCCGGAGGTACGAAGTACATTTGCCAAGGAGCACATGTCTCTTCTCCAGGTCCGTGTCTCCGTCTGGATGCACTTGGATTCGAGGCTCCGGACTGACTAAGCAAACCACGCACGGGATCATTGACAATAAGTCAAAGTTGATTGGTCGTGGATTTGGTGCTATAACCGAGGTGGAGGATAAACCCGTCTCCAAATGTCATGAAGCATCGGAAGGAACGTCAACCTTGAAATTCCCCAGCGTCCAATTCTCACCAGGTTCTGGAGATCTCTTTTTGCTAAGCAGCTCCTCAACCCCCCCTTCGCCCACCACCACCCAGGCTTTATTGGCGATTCTAAAGCCCTCAATTGCTCTTGTTGCTACCCAAGGGTCAATATTCCGATCCTTTAGGGACTTTCTTTCGCAGCAATTGCTCTCTCTCCCCCTCTCGCTCTAATCGCCCACACACACAAAAATGGCCGCTCTCCGCTCTACCACCTCTCGGGTGCTCGGCGCCCAGCTCTCTGGTGCTGCCTTCCGGCCCGCGGCGTCCATGTTTGCTAGGACCATGGCGACCGTCAGCGAACCCCCCAAGGCTGAGAAGCCCAAGAAGATGAGGACCTTCCAGGTCTACCGCTGGGACCCTAACAACGCCACCGAGAAGGCGCGTCTCCAGAACTACGAGCTTGACCTCAACGAGACGGGAGAGATGGTGCTCGACGCCCTCATCAAGATCAAGGATGAGCAGGATTCCTCGCTCGTCTTCAGGAGGAGTTGCCGTGAGGGCATTTGCGGAAGCTGTGCCATGAACATTAACGGCCAGAACCATCTCGCGTGCCTTTGTAAGCTTCAGCCTATAAACCCATTGGCCCACGGAATGGCCTGTTTCTTGCTTCAGACTTGAAGAAACCAAGAGCTAACGTGGGTTCGAAAGGCCGTATCCCCGATGACGGCAAGGATGTCAAGATCTACCCTCTCCCTCACACCTACGTCATTCGTGACCTCGTCCCCGATCTCACCCACTTCTATGCTCAGCTCAAGTCCATCAAGCCTACTCTCCTCCGCACTACTCCCTCTCCTGATGTAAGTTGGATCTCCCTCCAGCACAGCACCTAGGCGGGGCTGCCCCCCAGCTCCTGTGCCCCCTAAATTCAAAGTCACGTTGTACTAAACCCCGCACCTACAGGGCAAGGAATACCGTCAATCGATAGAAGAACGCGCGCGCCTCGACGGTCTCGACGAGTGCGTCCTCTGCGCCTGCTGCTCGACCTCGTGCCCCTCGTACTGGTGGAACTCGGAGGAGTACCTCGGCCCCGCCATCCTCCTCCAGTCCTACCGCTGGCTCGCCGACTCCCGAGACGAGAAGACGGCCGAGAGGAGACAGAACCTCAACGACAACATGGCTCTCTACAGGTGCCACACCATTCTTAACTGCACTCGTGCCTGCCCCAAGGGTCTCAACCCCGGTCTTGCCATTGCCAAGATAAAGAAGGAGCTGTCCCTCTAAACGAAAGGAAAAAGATGAGAGAGATCACACTAGACCTCTTCTAGCTTGTTGAAGAGTGTGAACTTCTTTTATAAATCCTTTTAGGGATGGATAATAATGTGTTTTAGGGCCTTCTTTTTATTCTTCTGTTCTTCTGGAAAACAACTCATGGGGCAAGGCGCGCTGCGAAAATTTTCCTTTTGTTCCAAAACAAAAAATCATGCAACAAAAAACAAGAAGAAAAAAAGAGAATGAAAGCTCCCTTTTGTTGTACTGTTTTCCCACCCCTCTGTTTTCCAGAGACAACTTCTTTTGTCTCGTTGTCTTATGAGAATGCGACAAAAACATGCGGGTTTACCTGAAATAAATGGGAAGGGGGAAGGGTGGTGGTGTGGTTTGACTGGTCAGGGTCTGTTGAGAATGTAAGGGATAGCATCATTTTCCGTCTTTTTTTTTTCTATTTTAGTTTAACCCCCCGGCCCCAAGAGCCCCCGGTTCGCCGAGGCGGTGACGGGATCTGTGTATTCTCATCCTCGAACATATACAATAGAAAGCTTTCGATCAGTTGCGTTCTTCCGTGAGGTCGTGTCCACTTTGAGTGTAGTTTGGCCGTGACTCTATGGTGTGTGGCACAAGTCGAGAGGTACATCAAAAATACCACACAGGAAAGAAAATGATAAGATGGGATATCTAGTTTATATGAAGAGTAAAAAAAGAAACCAACTATATGTCAGGCTGAAATCCAGATGTCTCGCACAACAATGTTGTTTGATGTGGAACGAAGTATTTCCTCCCATGCTAAATGTCTCGTCGAGCAATGTCCTCCTATCCTGACTTTCCCCTTGCCTTCTTTTCGCCTTTTTTGTCCTCCCCTTCCTCACTTTCTCCCAGTGTCTCAGTCCGATAAGAGGATATCGTAATAATACAGGTGCGCAAACGTCGGTCCCAAGGGACGAGCATAAAAATCGCAAGTAGCCGCCCGTCAAAAGACCGAGAAATACCTGACGAAGAGCTGACGGAGACAGAGATGAGGAACGGCAGTGTAAGCTACGATGCCTCGGATGTTTGCTCGGCAAAGGTCGTGCCTAGACCCTGAGAGAAGGATGAGTTGTCCGCACCTATCTCTAGGTAGTCCATCTATTGACGAATGCCGGCGATCAGGGCCACCAATTCATTTTTTTGTAACTCTCGATGACTTCTTCAAGGAGCTCTTTGGTGATTGTGGGCTTCTCGTATTTGAAGCCAACAATTGCCTCTAGTCGGCTCCCGTCCATACTCAAGTCTGTATCTTTGAGCAATTCCTTTTCCATGAAAGGTGTGAGAGGGCCTGGGCGTGTGATCTTCGCCTCCTCTAATAGAGTTCCCCACGGTCCAAGTAGCTCGTCGTTGATATCGTCCACCACACTGTCCATGTTCAACCGGGCAAATGTGCTAACAAGCTGGCCCTGGAAACCGGTCTCGATCTTGAAGATCTCGCCAACAATCTCGGCCATGGTGCCTTGCGTCGTAATGCCATTGTCGACAACGTTGAAGATAGGAGTCGGGCCCATCGTCTTGCTGTCCCAGTTCGCCTTGCCGTCAGCATACCACTTCGCAACAGCCCATATTGCTCGAGTCACGTCGTGGATGTGCACAGTGTTGGTTCGTAGGTCCTTGGTCCACAGCCACTTCATCTCGGACTCGAGGTACTGGTAGACTCGGGCAATGCAAAGGCCCGTGGCAACCCATTGAGATGCATAAGGGCCGTAGACATGAGCCAGTCGAACGATGGCCAAGTTGAGGCTGAGAGCGAGTTTTTCGAGTCAGCATATTCGTATAAAAAAGGACATAGCATGCATGTAGAAGCTGCGGTTGAAATGGTTCAGGTACGTACCCCTCAATCTTAGCCAGCTCCTCCTCGGCCTTCAGCTTGAAAACAGCAATTTTGCTCCAGGGTTTCAACTTGTCACCTTCCTTGCTTGGCGTCGAATCCGACTTATATACCATTCCGGTGCTGAGCTCGATGAAGGCCTTGACGTTTCGTTTTGCGGCTTCCTTCCCTAACGCGACTGACAGGCCAAGAGAGCGTATCCTGTAAACCTCATCCTCCTGAGAATATCTGGTCTCACCACCACAATTGAAAACGTAGTCCCAAGACTTCCCGTCGCCGCGGTCAAATATTTTCTCTAACGCTTCTGTTTTATGGCAAATAAAGGTTGTTCGTCAGCGGTATAACTTAAAAAACCCATGATCAAGTCGCCGTGACACGTTTTGAGTCCGAGTTTCGGAGGCGGGCGCGGGTTGATTTGGGGTGGGAGAATTGGCTGATGCAAGATTTATCGGGCAAGATAGGCCGCACTCACGTTCTCTACTCGCATCAGCTTGCATAAACTTGTCCGGGGAGCAGGCTTCCTTGAACTCGGGTGGGAGCCACGCCAGCTGGGGGAGCACCTTGTCGACAATTCGCACCTCGGAGGCAAGGTCGTTGTTGTGAATGTAAAGGGCGAGGAAGCGGCCGACATATCCCAGCCCTCCAATAATGAGCACTGATGGCTTTTCCGCCATGGTGAATGATTCAAAGGTCGCTGTCGCGAATGTCGGTTTCGGTCGACTAGACGGGTATGTGCGGGGCTAATTCACCCAACGATGGTTGCTGCCCTCGCCCACCTATGACCGCAGCAGCGTCGACACAGAATATACGAGAGGACACCGGAGAGCAATCGAGGGAGTTGACACGAAACGGAAGACGGCGTCGGTAGCTATTCGGTAGTGTTCGAAGAAGGTGTGAGGCAATGAGTGACCCAGGCAGGAGGAGGGACCTTTGGCACTCGGTTGCTAGTTGGAGCCCCGCCTCGAGATGGAGAGGGAGGGAAGTTAAGGGTGGTCTGGCTGGCTTGATGTGAAAGGAGGATGGTGGCTTGGGCGGGAGCGGACTAGTTAAATTCGGAAAGAAGGGAGCTAGCGCCCCTGAAAAAAAGGCTTTTTGGATATTTGCGATTTCCGTCGTGGTCGCAAGGGAGAAAGGAGGAAGAGTACACCACACGCAATAATGGTGGGAACGAAAGTACGATAGCAATGACAAGGGCAGATCAAGAGAGGACAGTGGAGGTGGAGGAGGCCGCTTGCTAGGAGGAAAGAGAGAGGGCTGGAGGGGTAATATTATGCGGCACCGAATGGGGTAATTTGTGTTCCCGTACCTCGAGTACAAAGAAGAAAGAGGACAATGCTCAGGGACAGATTTGATAGCAGTAATATTACAGCAATACTTCCTCCATACCTCAATCGTCTTCCTAGCCGGCTGTGTTAGTGTACTGCTCGCCGACACTACAAGCAATACTTCCTACATTCTCGAGACGACACCCCCCCAGAAGCCCAGACCAGGTGGAGATGTGGGAAACGAATATGTACAAGTACGAAGCACTAATACTCCTTCTCCACCAGATGTGGTCTGGTCAGGTCTTTTCCCTGCCAGGGGTGAGTGCTTGGATGGGGCAGGGGCGAGGAGGGGCTATAATGAAAGGGGAAGTGCGGACTTCGCAGTTGGCTTCTTCGTCGTGTACTAATGAGCATGTACTCGACAAAAGAGGACAGTCAGAGAGAGACGAAGAAAATCTCACCGGACAAATCAAATGTATTCATCACACCGGGAACCTGCCAGTCCCATGAAAGCAGCGAGCTAAAAAGGACCACAGCACAACAAGCACTGCATGGCAGTGTCCTGTTTTCGAGTCGGATGGTGGGGCTAAGAAGAAGAAGAAAACCAGACGGACCAGTCAGGAAAGAGTGGGATGATGAGGACTTCTGGGCTGCGGGCGCGGGAAAATCCATTGATGGAATCAAACCCATTGTTCGTGGCCGTGGCCGTGGCCGAGCCCTCATGCCGACCCCAAGACTCGTCCCTGCCCAGTGCTCCGGAAAAGGTACTTCGTATGTGCATTGAATTGATGGCGTGAGGGAGAAGGAGGAGGGTGGGTGGAGGAAACAGGAGCTGCTTCGCAGCTTTGCTCTGGCATGCTGTGGACGCCTAGTAAGATCAGTTCGGAAATTCAATGCCTCAGTGCGAAGGAGTTCGGCATGTTAGGATCTTTCCGGCCAGGCAAGTCCAGGCGAGCAAGACTTGAGAGAATAGACTTCAGCAAGCACGTTTTTTAGAAGTATGGAGCAGGCGCGCGATTGATGCATGGAAAAGGCTATTATTGAACCCTTAGAAGCAATAAGCCAAGACTTTGTTCTCCGTACTTCGAAGTGTCGTGCTCAGACCAAACATCAGACTAGAAATCATCGAGTTTCCAAACCAGTTTAGTCTGCCCCGAAACTGCAGGACCAAGGGCGCACTTCCCGTGCTTCCAGATTCGTGAGAGGGTTTCCTCAGCTGCGGGTCGAGTCTGCCCCTGCCACTCCTGCCAGGGATATCCAGGGTGAAGGCATGCTGATGTACGACATATGACATCGCGCCTCCAATCTCAGGCAAGCTGGCACCGAACTTGGCAATAGCAAAGGGAGCTACTGCGATGTAAGCAGGAATTAATTGGAAGGAGTCGTCACATCTTGAACATACATGGTGCTTGGACAATAGCGTACATCGTACATGCAATTGTATGAAGACGATGATTCCCGGAGTACTAACTAATACAAGTACTTCGTGAAGAACTAACGTCGAATTTGCCCTTTCCTCTTGAAGCAGTAATGTACGAAGTAGCGGAGTAGCGGAGTAGCAGAGTGTACTTGCTTGTATGGTGGTGTATAGAGTTGTAGAGTTGTAGAGTTGTATTCCTTGCGGTTGCGGCCCACGAAGACTCACGGATAGACCCTGGAATATGGGGCTCGTGATCTTTCGAAAATTTCCTGCGAGTTCACCCCTCTCTCTGTATATCTGAATACCGCTTCTTCCTTTTCTTTTCCTTTCCTTTCCCCCTTCCCCTGGAGTTCATCTCATAATACGATGAACGAGATATTCAGGCCTCTCTTACCTTGGTATGCCGGGATATTTTAGCCCAATTTCCACAGTCAAAACCCGCCTGGCAGGGAAGGGTACATCAATCGTTTGGAGCTTCAAGCCGGGGCGGAGTTCTCGGGAAACAGCATGAACTTCGAGAGACTCGAATCGGTACTAGCTAGGATTTACCTGACAAACTTGGAAGATGTCCCGCTCCATAACCGACTACGGAGTAGGCCGTGACGGAACGGGTTCTCGCCTTCCTCCTTTCGTTTTAGCGAATCTCGACTTCGGAAGAGGAGGGCTTCGGATGAGAAACGACCTCGGAACCCCGACGTACCATGTCAAAGTACAAAGCAATGTTTACGAAGTAATGTCTCGCTCGAGGGATGCAACCTTTGGGGGTCAAGGTGTGCCGCATCGCTTGATCCCGCTTCATCAGGGCTCATACCGACTCATACCTACCCTGACCTGGTTGAGGCACGATCCGCCTGGCCTGGCTATGCCTGCGCTATGCTCACCCGATGGCCTGGCCCCTGTTCAGGGGACATTCCACATTCCACATGTGTAATTGCCTAGTGATGATCCAGAGAAGAGGGTAAGCAGAACTAACCGGGTTAACCTTGAAAGGGAAGTACACTACGAAGTAATGGAGCATGGAAAACTTGATGTATGTAAGGCGCGCAGCGGCACGATGGTCGACCATCGATCCATTCTTGATAGTATGCGTACTTCCTCGAACTTTGAGCCCTCTGAACTTTTGTGATCCTTACAACAATCAGCTTTCCCGTGACGCATGTTTGATGGTGGGAGCCCGGTGCACGAGTCCCGATCTCGGACTCCTCGGGTTCTCTCAACCAGGCCGAGACGTGGTCCTTCTCGACCCTTATCGGGAAGAAGATAGGATTGCGAAGTACGCATCGGCATAATTAGACGTCGGCGACAAAGAATGTGGGCTATTAACGTACTTCGTACAAGCAGATGCGCAGCTGGGGTCTGATTTCCTGCACTGACCTTCCAAGGCATTAGTGTCCTCGTGTTCCCGGAGAGCTCATCCTGCAGCAAGGGGTAAAGACATCGTGCCGTGATGGAACTCGATTCTTTGTCCAACGTATTTCCGGGTCGTCTGTATATTGATCCATGCGCGGGCAGGCTACCCCGGAATTCGAGACCCCTGGACTAGGTATAATATATGTACACGCTCAAAGAGTCATCGCCGATGCTACCTGTACTCTTAAGGGCCTGATCTGATCCATCAATTGATATTGTCATTTTTAACACTCTGCGTTCACAGTCAACGGGGAAAACTTCGAAGTATCCCTTCGTACTCGTCTTTGCCAATACAATTGCGCACCTCGAGCATGCCAGACGGCCAGAATCTTATGACATGTAGTTCATATTCCACATCGTACTACGGTCTTACTCCGTAGTTGGGGATATTGGTTCGGACTGAGGCCGGGCAGGCTTCATCCGATCTACATACCCATCCCCCCCCCTTGAAGGCCCGGAGAGTCCAAAACTAGGTCATTTACGGAATATGTGTTTGTCAGATTTTCCGCCAAGGAGGCGGCTCGATCACACTTCATGAACATCCCCTGTCCTAGCGGACCATTCCATCAACTCTTGGATCGACATGCACCTTCACTCCTCGCCCGCCAGCGATATTGGCATCGCCATACCATCATTTCAGGAGCATTATGCCGCACTGACCAGCGGACCAGGTATGTGCTTCGCACCTCACCGCGGCGGGCTCGACCAAGACCCTCTGCATGCAAACTCTTGTTGCTTTGTCGATGCGCTCCTGCAGGTCTCCCTCCCAGGCCATATATGCATCTAGGGTCGAGAGTGGATCCGCAGAGTAAAGTGAAAGCAGATCTACGGCAGATCTTTTCTTTTTTTTTCTGTTCCCGGTGACCGGTGGGAACTCGCCGAGCGGCGGGTGGCTTGCGGGCTGCGATCGATCCCACGCTTCTGATAGCAACGATGACCCTAATATTCTCCTGTTCGTAATCTTATTTGTAAAAGAAGTGTCTTCGGATATGATCATCGTTGTGATCGGGTCATCAGGAGGAACGGCTTGACCAGGCCATGCAGACCCTGGTTGAGAAGCACCTTGTAGCAATATCATTGCGACTCTGGGGGACTAAAAGAGAGGAAACCTAAATTTTATCATCTTTATCCCCAGTGTGACAATGACAGAGCCAAATTTCATATCATCACACCGATGGAGCTTCAACGGCATCCACAAAGAACAGCAAACGCTTGAAACAAGACCCCGGAACCCTGGTTCTCGAGATGTCCCGAATTTTTTTTTCGTTCTCTCTTTCCTTCGGATTTGCATCTCCCCAAGGTTTTCATTGACGCTCTTTCATCTAAAAGAACCAACCGCCTCCTAGAACTTAGTTAGACATCTAACATTACTCTCAGACCTCTCCCACCTTCTCATCGTCGAAAGCCCGCGAGCTAGAGAACAGGAACCGCTCCGTGGTCCCACTCTTTAAGGCCCCCTTCTCAAGCCAAACGTTCGCCCCGTCCCGGGCACCGATATCTAAATCCGGCGTAGTCACAAACCTAAACGCCGACCAAGAACCATCGGAGGACCAGTGGAATAAAAGAGGTAAAATGAAAAAAAAAGCAAAATACAAAGCCCGATCAAAAGGTCCCGTCTCCATTCTCCGGGGAATCCCCGCTCCGCGGACTTTAGTCTGTCTCTGACAGGAGGTTCCGTCGTCGGCGGTTCCCGCCTTTCTGGCCTTTTTCTTAGCTCGTTTTGACGGTGGTACTTGGAGCAGTTGGGAGCGATGAGCCCGTCCTGTTGTTAGCCTACGTATAGCCCACCTTAGATTCCTCGGTTCGACTTTTAAGCCCATCTTTTCTCTTCTGCTAGACCGAAATGGGTTCTCTACTCTAGAGCATTTCGGGGGAGAGGGGGAGTTGAAACAACTTGCAGTCGCGATCTCTCCTTGAAAGTGGATTCGTTCATCACCGCGACTCCCACTTACTCGGCCTCTTTGCCCGGCCTAATAAAACATTGAACTCATACCTCTGTCGGTATAGGGGGGTTTCTAAAGAAATTTTCAAAGACAATGGCCAGAAAAGCTAACACCGAAGAGAAATCAAATGGCAGTGAAGAAGGAAAGGAAGAGAGGAGAGGGAAACAATGACGATTAGGGGGTGTTTGAAGAAAAAAAAAAGAAAAGAAAAAAAAAGGTTCGTTCGTACGCTGTGCGTTTCGAACCTAGATAGTCCCATTGGAGATCCCAGAAGTTCAAGCGATGACGACTACAGACCCCCTCAGGTTCCTTTCTTAGAAATTTTGGCCCCGAATTTGGTATATAAGGCATATTCTGGATTTCGAAAACTGAGCTGGAAAGATGGGAAGGCGCGCTTGCGGCAACAGGGCTCCTTCCTTGTTCTTTCTCAACTCAAACAACGGGGACTGAATCGAGCCTCTGTAGCTTTGGCTGAGTGCTCGCAACGTTTTGGGGGGGGGGCTTGTTGACTATTGTGAAGCAGAGGCTAGAATATAGAAGAATGGTTGCAGCCACCAAGGCCAAAGCATCGTGTACACCAAACGTCGGGCGGTTAGGTCTCTCATCCCGCCGTCGGACGACGGGGACGGAAATCGACGAAATATGACGGCTGGCTTAAAACTCGTTTTAGAACCCCAATCCCCATCACTAAGTCATGAATCGAGGCATCTTCACGAAACCTCTCAAACACCATACCATTACATGATTTCCTCCGTTTCTGCCCGCCTTGTGTGCCCCTCTTAATCACCTCCCCTTCTCTCTCTCTCTCTCTCTCTCTACCTCCTCATACTCCCAATAATCTCCTTCTGTGCCTCCCTATCCCTCGCCCCCTCACTCAAACTCCCCAAGCTCCTCAAATCAGCAACAACATCCTTCGCCTTGCCGAAATACACCTCCTGCAACAAGTTCCGCATCTTGAGCTCCATGTCCTCGACGAGCCGGCCCACGTTGGCGATGTGGCTGTCGTCCGACTCGACGGGGAGCTCCTGCTCGATCTGGCGCGTCATGTTGCCGCTGAGGTCCATGTCGCCGCCGCCGGAGGCGGAAGAGGGGTTCGTGGAGAGGTGGAGGATGACGGTGGAGGTGAGTTTGTAGTGGGTTGTTCGGCCGCGCTCGATGGCTTCGAAGACGTGGATCGAGTCCCAGACGCCTTGGGAGGAACCGCCGGACGGGGAAGCTGAGCGCTTTTTGTTAGCTTCTTCATAGGTTCTTATGGATATATAATAGACCTTTTCTTCCCTGAACTTACCCTTCTTCAAAAGAACAACCCCCGCAAACCCATCATCCAAATTCCAAAAATAAACACTGCTCACGCCCCCCTCATAGTACAACTCCCTATAAATATCAAACGCATCATTCGCCTTAACCTCCATAGCCCTCACCCTCTCACTCGGCACGGCCCCTTCTCCCGCACCCTCGTTCCCGCCCAACCCGACGCCGCCGGGCCCGCTCTCGTCGAGGGGCGGGTCGAAGCGGTTGGACCAAGGGGAGCGGTAGCTGTCGCCATCGCGGTTGTAGTCGCAGAGGAGGTAGTCGCGGCCGGTTTGGCGGCAGCGCTTGATGGTGAGGGGTTGGTCGACGGAGGAGAGGAGGTCTTCGGTTAGGTCGGGCGCGAGGGTGAGGATGGCGTTGAGGTGGTTGGTTGTGTGTTTGGGGTCGAGGCGGCGGAGGAGGTCTCTATGTCAGGGGGAGGCTTTGGGGTTAGGAATCGGGCTGGGGGAGCGAGAAGGGGGAAGTAGGGGGAGGAGGGAAGGACTTACAGCGCCGAGTCGAAGGGGTCTTGGGCCATTTTGACTGAGGTTGGCAATTGTACTTTCGGAGACTGTTGTATGGTAGGGAAATGGTCGGGTGTTTTCCCCTCTGGAGGATTTCAACACAGAAACGCTATGGAGGACGGTTGTCGATTTGAACTTGGAGGTTGCTTCGCTGCCTCATGTGGTGGGGGGAGAGTCGTTGCAATTGCGAAGGAGTGCGGGGCAGCTGGGACGTGGTTGTTTAGGCTTGCCAGCTGACATCAGGCCCTTACAGAGGGAGTCGTCCACGACTCAACGTCGACCAACTCCGCCTGATGACTGCTCTAAGCTCTAATAGTTGACATATTTGATCCGGTCAATTTAGTTCTGACGAGACGGACGTTTACTTGTAATACATGAATAACAAAATAACCCTCTTGAACGAACCCGTTGCGTAAATGTGTGTTTCCCGTTGTATCCCGAGGATGGAAGAATCACAGAGTCTAAAGTGTCCGCGCCTCGACTCCCAAAATACACCAGCAACATCGCCATCAATCAATCTACCAGTTCGCATTCAATGAATATCACAAGCCTGGGTAAACGATGCTCTTCGGCTATCTCTTTGGATAATAGGCACAGAATAAACGGAATAAAAACAAAAATAAGATACGAAACTCATCATGAAACTTAAACAGCGAAACCATCGCCTCTCTGTGTGATCACTCTCCAAGTGAATCGCCTAAACTAGATAAAAAAAAGAACAAGAAATGAACATTGATACCCGTACAGCGAAAGTAACAGTTAAACCAACAAAAGATTGAGCAGAGGCATACACGCCCCATACCATACATCTTGTCTGAATAAGGAAAAAAAAGAAAGAGAGACAAAACAAACAAGGCAGAAACTAAGAAAACAAAAGAAGTAAAAAGGATAATGTTTTGTGACCACCCTTACACCGTGAGTTAACAAACTTCACTACCATCGCTCCAAAGAATTGCGGGTGCAGCTGTCCTAATAACAGGCCCAATCTTGAAGAGTCCTAGGCCTGACCAGAGTCAGACTGCAAGCGCATATGCAGTTAACAAAATGGACCTGTAAACGCCCCCGGTAAACATACAAGACTCGACAGCAAAGGAGTAACTCGGTTCACCCTTCCCCGGAACCGTAAACGGGGGTAAGAAAAAAGAAAAAAAGAGGTCAAAAAAGACAAAAGATAAAAACAAACCCGAGACTTGGTAAGGACTTTGACAGATTAGTGTGTGGGTAGCGCCAGTGTTAACACTAATAAACCGCGCAGGCTGGTGCTCATCCGACATTCGACAAGACATCCGAACGGTGTATGCTTGCTGGCCGGACGCCGTCATTCTAATTGATGGGTGTGTTGCAGATGAGGCACTTCAAGGGTTCGGTCCAGGTCTTGACACCACCCTTCACGTCCTCGCGAAGATCAACAATCTCGACTTCAGGTGGACTCGAATCCATCTTGAGAGACCCAGTGAAGAGTCCGAGGTACGGCTTCGCAGCCTTCTCTCGCGCTGTGAAGCCATTGGCCACCTTGTTCCTCTTCTTTTTCCCAGGTGTATCCCCCTTCGCTGCTACCTCGGCTGCCGTCGCGGTTGGGCTCGACTCCACCTTCTCCTCGGGAAGAGCTGTGACGTCAGGTTTCTCCTGGACATCAGCCTTCACATCAATTGTTTGCTGTGTCTCGTTTACACCCGTCTCGGTAGGGCTCAGGGGTGGGTTCTTCGTCCCATCACTATCCTCTTCAACTTTCTTGGCGGCTTCTCCGGAAGGAATGTATGGCGTATCCTTTCCGAGTCGTTCGTAGGCACGCATCAGGGCATCGTGGAGAAGGCAGTCATCGTGGAGCCACTTTCCGCAAGACTCGTTCGAGCATCCCACTAGAGTCTTGTCGGGGTGTTCGGGCTGGCCACACTTGCAGACTGGCTCAACGCTCTATATAGAAAGGGGGGTTATTAGCATTGGCGTTGTTACGGCTACTGTCAAAGCCAGTGAGGCAAAGAGGGGGAAAACAGAAGTAGCGCATCCGAGAATCTCCGACACAAAGCTGGCAGAGGTGGAAGAGTCGAAGCTAGGCGACATACCGAGAGTTCCAAATTCCTGAAATCAAAAGCTTGCCGCCAGTAAAGCGCGTTCTGAATTTCATCGTCATTCTCCTCGACCCAGTGGTTGACATGCGCCATTGCGGTAACGCTGACGACATTGATAATGTCCACTGTAGAAGCACAGCCACGGTTAGCATTGAAACTCGGAATCAATCCAACAGGGAGTGAAAAGAAGAAAAAAGACGAGGAAGAAAGACGTACTATGATTAGAAGCGATCAACTCGTGTGCACCATGATATGGTTGCCTGCCCTGGACATACTTTCGTCCGTCCGTCGTGCCCGCGGGTAGCTCATCTGGCCAGTACATCCAATAGACCCTGGCGTAGACGTGATGCTCATCGCTAGCTCGGATCTCCAAGATACGGGCGACCCATTCGTCTTCGGTTCTTCTCTTCGGGTTAGACTTTCCCGTGGGGTCCTGTTGACGTTCGATGCTGGCGTCATTGGCTACGTAAATGAAACCCTCGCTGAAATACTTGGCGCCGTTGACTAGAAGTGAGGAAAGCCATCACGTTAGCATCAACTACGGTCGCATAAAGATGCGCGAGCTAAATCTGCCATCTCCGAGATGGATGGGAAAGGAGACGAATGCGGCATTGGGCTCTCGGGGGGCAAGACTTACGGACAAAGCTATTATAGCGCGTCATCTCCTGCCACTTAGCGCTGGGCTCAACCGAGTAACCCAGGTCGAGAGTCTCATGAGTTTTGAACTTGCCAACGGGGGCAAACGGAGAGAGTTGCTGGTAGACCTTCTTAGGAGGCTCCGGCTGATCCCCTCGCTTTCGTCGCTTGTTGGACTTTTTGTTGACGTCGGTCTCGAGGGTGACGGTGAAGGGGCAATCGGCTCGGTTCTCCTCGACATCGCGCCGCGGTCGCTTCCGCGCTGAAGCCGGCATCTTTGATTGGGAAAATTAATATCTCCGCGAGAGATGAGGCGAGTTTTTACGTTGTCGCGAATCTCAACGGATGATCGGAGTCGCTCCTCGGTTCTTCGTGATCAAGTCGAAGAGAGGAGGCGCGGGGGGCGGAGTGGATGGGAAATTGGCAAGGTTTGCGCCGTCGATGAAAATTATAAACACGTCTCTCTTTTTTTTTCTCCGCCCTTATTTTAGCTTATGGAGAAGCAGACCACCTCGACAAACCCGCACACCGATGAGGGGTCCAAAATGCGTGGCCTCGTCGTGGGATAAGTTTTTTTTTTCCCCGTGAACGGAGATGGTCGGAATAGTAAAATTGGATTGTGATGGTTGGGGTGTCGAAAGGGTCGATGCGCACGCTTTTTCCGACAGAAAATAGTGGAAGGTGGTAGGGATGGCGATATTTGGGAGGGGGGAAGGAGGGATTGGATGACTTGGCGTCAACTCGTCGTCGGAAAACACGGGAACACGAATCGAAAATCCGACAAACCAAACACCGATCGATGGGAAAGAACAAAAAAAGAAGGGAAAAATTAATCCGCGCGGAGACCTTGGGCGGCCAATGCGGTGATGATGATGAAGACAGGATTCGTCGCTGTGTTCTCTTGGACGGCGACAAGAGGGAGCAGTCCACTGGACGAGGGAATTTCACAATGTGCGGCTGGTTCCAGCTTACCGACCTGATTGAGTCTTTCGCAAGATGAGGAGAAAGCAGTCGCGTCCCAAGAAACGAATGCGGTCTGACCTGTAGGAAATAGTGTGATTGACTCTTACCAGAAACGGCTACGCCACAGGAAAGGGAGGTTGGGAAATGATAACATTGAGGACTTGGAACACACCAGTGCAACGCTAAGACACACTGTCACCATGGCAGTGGCACGCGTAGTACTCCGGGGTCAAATCACGTGAACCCGGCTGACAAGCTCCGAGCTGGGTCGATGCTTCTCACGATGTGCCAGTGTGCCAGTGTGCCAGTGCTGTCATGTTAAAGAGGGAGAGGGAAGGCGCAATTCGCCGACAGACAGACGTCTCGTCCAACCAACTTCCCCATGTGCACAGAACGCAAGAAACGGCGTAACTGATATCAACGCCCGCCGCGGCGATTCCGTTTACTTTGTTCAGTAACACGCAAACGAAACTACTTACTAATGCATGCACCTGTATCTACATGAAGAATGCATGAAATTGATGCTTCATGTTCCATTTGATCTTACTCCCTATCTCTATTAGTATTCTTGCTACCAGCAAAACCAATCAAACTAAAAATAAGAACAGGCCCTGCTAAAATGGGCGAATGTTCGAATGGTAGTAAAAAAATAAGCGTACAGAACATTATAACCCGACTCCGGCCATGTGTTTATTCTAACGGAATGTTCTAAACCCGCACGGAACAACAGAAGCCAGACTCAGCCTCCTCTATCTCTCTAGAACTGAACGGCGCGGAGAGAGATCACCTCTCATCAGCATCTTCATGAGCAGCCCCATTGGCGTTGCCCATCTTAAACCCTTCAATCACCTCAGCAAGGCTCTCCGCCTCCTTCTTACCCCTATCAATGTTAATAAGCCAGATAAGCGGCGCAGGCAATCCGACGAGGGCTCCGAGGAACCAAAACGCCGGCCGGATGTGGCCAGCCTTGCCGATAATGGCAGCGACGATGGCCGGGCCGAAGAAACTCGAGCCCTTATCAGTAATGGCGTAAAGCGCGTAGAACGCCGCTTCGGAACCGGGCGGGATGAGCTCGCCGTACAACGATCGACAGTAGCTGCTCAAGCCGCCGAGAACCAAGCCGTAGACAGCTGCGAGCGGATACATCTCCCAAGGCTGTTGTAAGCCTAGGAAGCCCAGATGTTCTATGAAGGGGAGGTAGCCTAGCAGTCCGTAGAGGGGGATGAGCTCGAAGAGCGCCAGGCAGATGAGGATGATCTGATGCGGGCGCATGTTCCACTTTCGAGAAATGTAGGCCCAGCTAAAGGCGCCGAACACTCCCGCCAAAGTGGAGATGACGTTGATCATGCCGAGAGCCCAGGTCTCCATTTTGAGCTCGACCTTGGCGAACAAAATTGCCGTCGAGGATGTCGTCGCGATTGCGTCCGATAGCAGAAACCAGCTGACCAAGAAAAGGACAATATCCACGAGTCGGCGAGCTAGGTGGATGGTTTTGAAAAGCGACGTCCACGAGTACTTCAAGTAAGAAAGCCACGCGCTCGATCCTTTTCGTCCATTTACAAGATAATCGGGCAGCGGAGGACCCGGTCGAGGTCGGAGCCACATGGCGGCGGGAATGGTGAAAAAGGTCCACCAAAGACCAATGATCAACAAGACCAGTCTCTGGGCGAACGTGGTCCCATGCATAAACAGAAGAATGACAATGCCTATGCACTGCACAAACAGGCCGGCTATGTATCCGATTCCTATGCCCTTGGCGGATATCTGCGATGACAGCTGAACCTCGATGGAATTGATTTCTTGTTCCGTGTGCTCGCGGCGCAGAGCTAGAGTTGGTGGGTTTCCTTCGCTGTCTGCTAGCAGATTGGTCGTCGAGTCTACAAGAGTTATCTCGCCATCATCGTCGCCGGCTATATCGTCAAGATGGTGGTTCCGGTCATCAGGGGAAGAGTCTCCGCCAAGAGCCCTCCGGGCTCGTAGTGGAAGGTCAGGATGGTGCCTAACAAGAAGGGGGAGGAAGGAGTTGAGCAGCACAAAAGACGCGCCGAAGGACGTATTGGAAACGATAGCGAGGAGACCTCCGAGGAGGTACGTGGAAGAGGTGACAAATATGTAGCAGGCGACAGCAAGACTCCCGGTCCAAGCAAAAGTGAGGAGAAGCTTCTTTCTGTAGTTGCCGTGATCCGCAGCGCAGCTGATACTAACTACCAGCAGGGCCTGTATCAGGACACTGACGGAGAAGGTATACATGGCAAAGCTGGCAGTGTTGATGGTCATGCCAAGGACGTGTACTACGCATTGCGAGTCTTGGCCAGGTTCCTTGCTCGTCGAGCTCGGGCACGGCTTCGACGGATCGGATAAGAGGACACCATTCTCTCGAGCAAGAGTTTCTAAGAGGATAGGGATGAAGGATGCTACAGGACTGTGGATTAGCCTACAATACGTTGTCAAATAAAACCGGAATAAGACTAAAAGTGATGACCCAGCGGTATTGATCCCAAAGGCGAACAAAACGGGGCGGTCTAGGGCGCGGAAGGCTTGGATTGTTCAGCACTGGAGATATTGGGGGAAACATACAGATTCCTAGAAAGGAACAGTATCAACGTTAGCAAAAACACGCTCAAAACAACAGTCATCTCGCGTTCATCCCTGTCGAGATGCTTAAACTTCTGAAAGTTGGGAGTCTAAATTGTTGAGAGGCGGGTCGACTCACCACATATGACGTAAGTTTCAGCCGCGAACGCATACATGTACCACCCTGCCAGCTCCTTTGTGCTAGTCGGGCGTGTATCCTCTCCAGCGTAGCGAGGAGGCGGGTGTTCGGACAGTCGGAGGTCTTCATCGGCATCTTGGCCGAGAAGGCGATCGTCGGTCATGTTGAAACTTGGTGCGTTGAAGGGGGCATTGGATTGGGATCTGGGGAGGAGACAGTCTCCAAGGATGGAGGGAGAAGGCCAATTGAGGGAAGACAGCTGATGCTCTTATGCAGCCTAGACCTCTCCTCCGCCACGTGCATTAGCAAAGGGGCAGCTGACAGTTTATCTTCAGGAACCTGACAGAAGAACCGGGGTTTATCCACAGCAGAGCATGCGCGACTCGATTCATAGCCGCAGCAGACATAATCACAAACAATTGTAAGATGAGACAAGCTGAACAAATCCCACGATCCTTCTCCTCGAAATCAGAAAGTCGGCCCAAAAAAGACAGACAGCAAAAATGAAAGTGGAAATCTCCCGAACCTGAATCGAACAGGTGACCCTCTGATTGAACTGTTGCCATTACAGTCAGATGTCATGAACCAACTAGACCATCGGGAGTTTCCTTGATTGGTTGTGTTCGCCAGCTCTAATCGCAATCCTTAGCGAATGTTCCCAGCATCAAAGGAGAAGAGGTCTCCAGAGGCTTAAGCCGTGTTGGATCGATCGCCATTTTATTCTGCTGCCTGCAGGTAACTCGTAAGACCGGCGTCGTCAGCTATATTGGAGATGCCCAACAACTTCAACTAACACTCGAAATACGAAAGCAAATATAAGTAAAATTTGTATCGCCTAGTTGGTGGTCAAAGATGATTTGCAATTCCTTCCCTTGATCTTCTTGTTTTCTGTTTAGTTTTCGAGAACAGATCAACAGTGCATCTCCTGGGGGATTCAAAGTGTCTGGAACTTGTTTCGAAAGGAACCGGACAAGCATAAAACCGTCCACAACTACGAAGTACAGACCACACGTTTTGGGCACTACAGCGTACGGGAGCTTCATCATCCTCCCTCCCGATCACCAGAAAACTTTATTGGACGAAAACAACAGAGGTAAGCGAATAACCCCCCTTTTGCAATTCGAATTCCGGTCGCCAGGAACAGAACAACTACACTATAGGGGACCATTTAAGGGATCCCAGTTTCTCGTGTCCCTAGCGGGATTTTCATTGAGGGACCACATTAAAGTTCATTCATTCATCTACCGTTGAAGCGACAAGGAAAGTTCGGCCGGAAACAGCCTTGGCCAAGACAAAACTCATTCATTGGATTTGTATCCTGGATGTACCGGAACCTGAGTCCACGAATCACTGGGGTGGCGCGACTCACTGGTAGTGGCTTTGAGTGCTGACCTAGAAGCCGTTGCAGGGGAACTGAAAGGCGACTCTAATTCCAGAATAGAAGGCCCCCTTCGCCACGCTGTACACGTAACCTCTTGGACAGTACGAGGTACCTCGAGTCACCTCAGAAACATTGAGCTTGTGCCAGGCCCAGCCTCATCTCCCGGGCCATCCAGAAAGCCAGAAAAAAGAGGCTACGTATTCCTCCTCTAAAACGTAACTGCTACTTTCCTCCTGTGGCAACCACTTCCCCCAAAGAAACAAATCGTCACCTCATCACCAACATCGAATTTGACAACAACCTTACGATTGCCAACGCCGCGAAATCGAACATTTCTTGCGAATTCAATTTCCGAGTCTTCCATTTTCCAATTCAACAGCTTTTCGGGGGTAGCTCCACGATAGCTCGTCCCGCCCGCCGCAACGCAAGCCGCAGAATCCGTCGTCTTCGTCGGCTGTCCGATACACAAAAGCTGCCGTCGTGGGACCTGGGAACAGCGCCCGAACACTTTTATTCTACAGTCGGCTGTCTAGCCGAAGGAAATAGTTTACATCCGTCAAAATGTCTCTCAAGGAGGAGTTCGCGACAAGGAATTTCAGTACGTTGAACTTGGCACGGCGTCGTCGGAATCGTACTTTTCGCTAACCCTTTTTTTTTTAATAGGTATTTACGGGCAATGGTAAGAAAGATGACTGAACGTTTTCCAATCCACGCCTAGCTCCATAGTCGGTCCATATCGATTTCCACGATTTCGGAAGCCTAGTGGCTTGGGGGTTAGAACTGTGGCATCGACGATGACGGCACAAGCTAGAAATGCGGGATAGTTCGATTCTGAGTCAATCCTTGCTAACAAAATTTGGCAGGCTCGGCATACTGGCCATGATTCTCTGCCTCGCAGTAGGAATCTCCAACATCTTCACCCTTGATGCTATCATCATCATCTTCTGCGCATTCGCCCTGTTGGTCAAACCCGTCCTCCAGCCCTCCCACATACAAGACTAGTTGCTAACCCCATACCACTCGTCTAGGGCATCGGCTTTCGTCATTCTCTTCATCGAGGTCCCTCTCCTCCTGAGAATATGCCCCACCTCGGCCACCTTCGATGCCACCCTCCGTAAGATCTCGACCAACTACACCCGTGCCGCCGCCTATGGAATCATGTCTGCGATTCAGTTCATTAGCATTTCGAGGAGAGCTACCAGCCTTATCGCCGCCGCTGTCGTGCTCGCCCTCGCTGCCTTCAGCTACCTCCTTGCCGCTATCAAGGGCCAGGCTTTCGTTGGAAGCAAGACCCTTGGTGGTCAGGGTGTCGCGCAAATGATTGTATAATCGAATCATGAATCCTTGTGGGCGTCGACTCTGCGTCGCAGCGCTGATGTCTCAAGGAAAGCCAATCTGGATTCGATTACGCACCGACGGGGGACGTATTTGTACGACTTTGGAGAGGGTGGCTTTTTCGATGGCCTTGAGATGCCATGATCGAGTGCGGGGAAAAGAGCGGGGGACTGGTGGTTGGAGAAAGCGCCGGGGAGCGAGGAAATGTGATATGGTGAAGGAGAAATGCTTGATGGGCGGTTTATACCCTCAGGTTTGAACTGCCTACCGCATAAAAGTGGAAACGATGCGCATCAGTCGGTTTATGGGGAAATTGGCGTTCGGTTTCTATGATTATTCGTTGTATCTCTGTTACGACTATCTCTAAGCCCCCTGGCGGCCATGGAGAGAGTGGTATTTTTTTTTCCGTTTCGCCCTGGTTATTGAAATTTGATTCTTATTCTTTTTCTTATTCCTCAGCGGTACGGCACTGACCTAGGTCTGATGACTGCGGGAGTATAGTAGGATTTTTCAAAGAATGCGAGCCACGGATGAATGAAATGAGTTCTCCTCAATGTTGAAGCCCGAAACACCCAGTTTCTCAAGGAAAACAAGATTATTTTCATTTTCAAGGTAGGGACGGATTGGGCCGACAATGAATGGCTATTTCCTTGTAACTAACCGTGTCTGCGACGGACCACTGGTTTAACGATGTATTCGTGGGTGTGGCTATTATGGAGAGGAATCACAAAGCAGAAAAAAACAGAACCACGAAGCCACACTTAAGACAGATTGATGAAAGTCTCGGTGGAGACCTAGTTCCTCAGTCTTCTTCTGCTTCCCCGTCCGTTCCGGTATTCCCTTCTCAATAGCTAAGGCACACGAGCTGGGCAACGCATGAAATGCCCTAAAATGCTGTCGAGCGCCTGCGAGACCGAGGACTCTCGGAGCTCCATATCTTGGTCGTTCATCTACAGAGACTTGACAGAAGTGAACATGACCCCAACGAGCAATAGCTTGGGAATAGAAGATAACGGGGGCAGCCCACCGTCTCAACTGGTAAGAGAGCTGGGAGAAGGATGAAAACCAAGAGCTGTTTCCTTCTATAGTACTTGGATACTGGCAGCAACTAAAGCCATTATTTCTGTTCTTTTTGCTTGCCGCGTGATCCTGCCCCCGAGAATATTCTTCATTCTGTGCCTCTCTTTGGATGAGCGCCATCTCATGTTGGCGCTTTCCTCCGAAGCCAGAGCTAGCCGGACTAGACTCCTTGCAGTGTAGCGAGTGGCAGCTGACCATCAGAGCCTGGAAGTTGTCAATTGTCCTCCGTTGTCCTCAGCCCTGCTTCGTAGTGTAGTTAGTGTACATCGTAGGTACTGGGGCGAGGGCAAGAACATTCGAGAGCACTAATAATATTGGGCCACTATTATGGGCTCTGGCATCACGAGTGAGGCATCTGGAACTGATTGGAATCCTGAAAGAGAGACTCGAACTCGATGCGGGTTCATTGGCTCGTTCTTCCATCAATTGAATTCTCAGGAAGACGGACAGCTCGGATGTTGTTACTGTGTACTTCGTTCGTACTTGGGCCTTCTCTGTGAGAGATACTCTTAATAACGGAGGCACTAATTGATTGATCTCAGCTTACAATGAACTTTCCTGTCATTGGATGACTTTTACTACTCCAAGTAGTAAAGATCACTCTCACCGCCAGGTTCATCTGTTCTAGCTTGATGGTTGGTATATATCATGGCGTAAAAACCTGTGTTGAGCAGGTTCCTTATCTGCGTCCTTCGTATTCTGCACTTGCTTGATGACCTTGGACTGATCACGAATCGAAGTACCTCGATACATCTCGTTGAGGGTATTCAGGGGCGTCGGGATAGTTTGCAAGTGTGATTCGCTGCCACAGTTAGCGCGTCCCCTCTTCTGCAACGCCTGCAATGCGTTGCTTTGCGCCCTGTGCTTACTGCAGATGCACACCAGAATGCTGTACCTCCCCATCTGACCGCTGTACGAAATACGTACCCCGGTACTTAGGGAGACCTGATAAGGACTTGAAGCTATGAGGTCAACAGCTCCCAGACTCCAGAGTCCCTTCAAAGTCCCCCACCGTCACGGCCCTGTTTCAAACGCCCTGCTTTGACATCCGGCATCCTCCTCTCTCTCTTTCTCGAATTAATCCCAAATCTCACCCAAGAGACCAGAGATTGTATGAATTATCGACGATGAGCGACAACACCGATTTACGAATGAGCAGTGCCGAGCTCAACGAGATCGTGCACAACACAGCTACCCGTGGTACGACTACCCTCTTGTCAAGTCGCTTACACCCGTTGGGAGAAAATGGGCAGCGCTCTCCCCTTGGGTTTGTTGGGCCATTGGGCTAACAAACGGATTCACAGGAGCATCCAACTTCTTAGGAACGCCGAGCGAAGAAGTCGGTTTCGAAGGCCAGGAGCAGTATGTCGCCCGAATCGCGTCGCCCCGAATCGGCGGCGCCTCGCCCAACCACACGTCTCTCGCTGCTGCCAACGAACAGCCCGAGGAAGGTCTTGCCGCCGAGGAAGACATAATACATATCGATGAGCCTCGACGAAGCATCAGTCCCGAGGATGTCAAAGCTGCCGTCGGCGGTCGCAAGCCTTACACGGCCCCGATCCTGGCGGACGATGAGGTCGCGAAGAGCCCTCCCCATTTCGAGTTGCACGCTGCTGTAGAACCATCGCTGGACGTGCCTGCGGGACCTGAGGAGCCCGTTACGGAACCAATCAGGCGACCGTCCATTAACACCGAGGTCCTTCCTAGTGACTTCCCTCGCCCCGAGGCCCGGAAGGCCCCTGTCCCTATCATAGAATATGAAGCGTTGTTCAAGGACGGCGAAGAAGAGGCCATTGAGGATGAAGAGAAGCCGGCCAAGAAAGATGCAACGGTCCACAGGTTCCCCAGCAAGGATGTCTGGGAGGACGCCCCTAGTAGCGTGCACTATACGGCCGAGGTCTCGACGCCTGATATTCCTGCTGACGAAGGCCGTCTTAAGCCCGTCGAGGCTCCCGAGCGACACATCCCCACTCCAGTCCAAGCGTTCGCCCAGTACCAAGAGGAGTTGGCAGAAAAGGAAGCCGAGAGGACGAAGAACTTTGTCCCGAGGGGCGAGAACCTCAGCCAATCCTGGCTACCCGTGCAAGAACTCCCCAAGGAGCCTTTGAAACGCCCGCCCATCCAGAAGAGATTTCCCAGCCGTGACATATGGGAGGATGCACCCGACAGCCTTCTCCACGAGACGACTGTGTCTTCCGACCAACAGCCGGAAACTAAGCCGGATCAACCCGAGATCCCGCCTCGCCCGACGAAGAGCGCCGAGAAGCCCGTCGTCCCCGAGCGGCCGGCGCGAAGTGCGGAACGGCCTGCTGTGCCCGAGCGTCCTGCTAGGAGAAGCTCCGAACGACCAGTCATTCCCGAGCGGCCTAGGCCGAAGAAGGAACTCAGCGGTGAGGGCAAGCCCGTCGTATCGGACAAGCCGAAGCCCCAAATTCCTCCCCGCCCCGTGAAGGCGTCGTCGGCTTCGGCTTCGCCAGTAGAGGCTAGTGAGCAACCGGCTCTGCCAAAGTCTAGACCTACTATTCCTGCCCGACCAAACAGGGCACCAGCTGCTGTTGCGACCGAAGCCAAGGAGGCCCCCGCCGTCCCTAAGGCGAAGCCTGCGATTCCGGCCAGACCCATGGGCAGTAAGATTGCCGCGCTTCAGGCTGGTTTCATGTCGGACTTGAATAGGCGTCTGCAGCTTGGTCCCCAGGCACCCAAGAAGGAGGATCCCGCGCCTGAAGTCGCTGCTGAGGAGGAGAAGGAGCCTGTGCAGAAGCAGCCGCTCGCCGACGCTAGGAAGGGACGAGCTAGGGGTCCTCAGAGGAGAGCTCCCGCTAAGAGCCCGGCACCGCCTGCCGTTGCTGCGGCCGCCTCCACGGAGACGAAACCCAGGACTCTCTCGTTTTCCTTCTCGAAACCTCAGACTGTTTGGAGCATTGATCCGGAGGAGAGTGACCTTGTTGTTGGATCTGCCGAGCCAGTCGAGGCTGCGGAGGTCCCTAAGGCGGAGCCTCTGAAGCCTGAGCCTTCTACGTCTGAGAGCGAAAAAGAATCATCTCCTCCTGCGGTTTCCGAGCCGGAGCTGGAGCCGGAGGCAGAGCCCACTGAAGCGGAACCGAAGAGTGACGAATCTCCCGAGTCCGAGCCCGAGGAGGTAGCCGCTGCGATCCCGGAGGTTTCCAAGTCTGACTTGGCCGAGAACAAGGCTCCCGCTGATGAACCAAAGGTGGGCTCAGTGTCTGTGGATGAGATAGGGGACAAGGTCGAGGTACCTGAAGTGGATGCTGGGGCGGTCACGATCGGCAAGGTCGGGGATATGGATAAGCCTGTCGGTGAGGAGTCGAGTGCTGCTGGTGCCGAGAAGCCTCTCGATGCCGAGAATATCAGGGCGTAGCGGAGTATCTTTTTCATTCTTGGGATCTCCACCCAAGGGATAAGCGTTTGAACGGCCTTTTGTTTATTTGCCTGGCGGTTTAAAACGTTGTTGTTAAAGAGGATAACTCCTCACTTTGAAACAGCGAACAGTTCCTTTTCGTGTCTCCTCGCACAAGAGAGTTGCACAAGACAGTGTTTAGAGAGTTCTTCTTTTCTGTATTTTACTGTTGGGTCTTGTAGCATTTGGTGTTTCTTTTTTGGGGGTAGAAACTATACACTCCTTCAAACGAGATTTTGGCATGAGTTAGAGAGTCTCATTGCTTTGTGTAGACGTCTAATACATATCTCTTTTCCCCCGCACGAGCGAGCGGCGTACGGGTTCAACTCATGTCGAAAGGGATCCAGCTTGGGCGGGCCTACTGAGGATGGCTGGGTTACATGTACTTGATGTTCTATTTTAATGGAGAGCGGGCTGCCTAGCTCTTTACCTCATTAATAATATACAGCGGTGATGTTAAAAACGCATGAATGGAGACCAAATAAATACAACTCCAGCACCCGGAGTGGTGAGGTGGAAAGGTCCATTTGGCGACTCTCGGTCGCCAGATTTACCTCCGTCTGTTAGCCTCGTCATCGTTTCGCTCAGCCTGAGCTCTTTCCCGGAGACGCTCCCAAGCCGAAACACCATCATCGGGGGGAGGACTCTGGCGGCGAGGTTCGTGCTGGGCTCTCCTCCGCTGCGCATCCTGTGCACGGGCAGAGGGTGCCACGGGAGAGGCATCATCAGCGTCGAGCTCCTCCAAGAAGGGGTCTGCTTCCCACGCAGAAGGCTCGGAGGCCGGCGGGGGTGGGGAAGGCTGCTGAGGTCGCGAAATGCCAATGCTATAGGGCTGGGCCGGCTCGGGTTTGTTGGAGGGTTCGCGCTGGGGGTAGTCCCAGCCGGAGCTACTGCTGGGCTGGGATTCCTGCTGTGTCCAGCCATCCGAGGGGGCCGGAGAGGCTTCGGCGCCACCCTGTTGCTCCGGGGGCGGGAACTTCGTAGGAAGACGGCCCGTCCTCTTCTGCATGTGATGAATCCTCCTCTGGTCCGCGGCATCCTTGAAAGATTCCCTCATGATATCCTGCAACCTCGGATCGGAGGAGATGCCCACCGTAGCCTGAAGTCTAGCATACGAGACGAAGAAAGGCATGGCCAACCAATTGCATAGCAAGAAATACGCCGAGAACCTACTCACGCCCCAAGTGAATCTCGCCGTGCGCCCCGTAAAGATGGGCCTCGCCACGGTGGGAAAGGCATCAGGCGACGTCTTAACCCACTTCGGCTGCCAAAAGGGAAATCGGAACGTCTTCCTACCGCGCCAGGTGAGGAAGAGGGCCAGCGCCCACGAGAAGGGCTTGGCGATGAGGGTGATGTTGGTGGAGGAGTTCCAGTGGTCGGTGAGGGCGCCGATTTCCTCCTCGGTGAGGGGCCGGGAGCGGAGGACGTTGGTTTGGAAGTGGTTGAGGTTGCGGGTGATGGTGGAGCAGTGCAGCTTGGCGGCGTTGCTGTAGCTCATGGAGATGAGGGAGGGGACGTGGTGGCCGCGGGCTTCGAGGATGGATTGGACGTGTTCGGGGGTGAGGGGTTCGAATTGGGGTTGGGGGGACCCGGAGGGGTCGGAGAGGGAGGGTTCGGGTGGTGGGGAGCTGGAGGACGACATGATTGTGGTGGGCGGTTAATTGGATTCTGAGATGGAGGCGATGTAAGGATCGATGGTTATATTGAATTGACTTAGTTGGCTTAGACGTGGTGTGTGAGGAGGGATGCCATGGTTTAATGGGTTGGCATCGTCTGTTGAAGCTTGATGCTTGAATGGAATGACGATGTCATCTGAGCTTTCTCTGCAGAGGTGCAAAGGTGTGTACTTTGGTACACTCCGAGGTGGCGGTAATAACTCGGCAAATTCTAGCTCTCAATTGTGTTGAAGGTACTTCGTACTTCGCACCTCAGTACGTTGTTGGTGGGGCAGCACAGTTGCACGACAACACTTATGACGCTAACAATTAAACGCGTGTTTTGGTCGCGTCTCCATCAAGACCCTGGTCAAACTACCTGCCTGAAGAGCAATTGCCTTAATTCCTGCTAGCCTCTGGACTCGGCTTGCCAACCCCGTTACTTCGTAGATTTCTCCGAATAATATATATCCCCAGTTCCCACCTAGCCCGCTCCAAACTTCAATGAAGAGGTAGAATACTACCAAGTACAATCAAGGCACATATATTCCATGTGCCTTGATCAACATGCCTCTCCCTACCAACCCAGCCGTCGGGAAGGTCAAGGTAGGTTATTTGATCCTCCCCCGTGAAGATTTCGTGTCTCCCGTCCCACGTCGCCAGTCCCCAGAGTGCCTGTCAATCAACGGTCTAAATCCTGTTTGCAGAGATCACCATGGCAGAGATCATACAGTACGCCCGTGTCGAATCGAGTTGATAGGACACCGACAACAATATCCGAGGCCACGAGAAAGAAGCTCGAGAAGCTCAAATTCCGTGCGAAAAAGGACTCCCCGGCCGAAGCAAAGACAGCAGACCCATCGAACAAAGAAAACACCAGGCCCGGCCTTAATAATGCAGAGACGGCAGAAGATGGAACGAACCAACCCACCTCCACCCCCGTAAACGATGTTAGCAGCAATACGAAGACGAATGAATTGCTCGATTCAATTTTCGACGATGACGGGCATACGTCCCCAAATGATAGAGTCATGTGGGCCGCAGCTATGCAAGATGACCGAGACATGTATACCTCGGTGAGAGATGTTGTGCGCCGTAGGAAAGGAAGGAAGCGAGCCAGAAGTTCGTCGCCCACTTCTTCGCCCATAAGCAAGGCGAATTCACCGGCAATCAATATCAAGCAGCTAGCACAAGCTCTGAGGTCTCCCCATCCTGATCCCACCTTGGAACTCTGGGACCGATACACTCGGAGATGCTTCATTGGTGACGGTTCTCCCCAGGACAGGTGTGGCAACGGGCTGGCGGACTTTCTTGTGTCTTCGTCGCCGAGGCCACCGAATGACGGAAATGGTATCACCCCGCAGAAGGAATCCGCTTTGCGACGAGCCGTGGCGTCCAATCGTCTTCACTTTAACAAGAGGCGGAAGATTGAGACGGAAGACGACTCGCCGACCTATATGACGACTGGTGGTGGCCAGTCAAAATATTCACTGGTAACCTCTCTTCTGGATTCTGTCACGTCTAGTATGCAGGACATACCCCAGAATCAGGACCAGAGTCCACTGCACATGAGGGAAGGCACCAGGCAATCTCACCCGCGACCTCCGGCAGAATCTCCGTCGCCAGCGAAGCGGACACGGGCGGCCTTGGTCCCCACTCCCCAACCGATCCAGTTTAACTCGAACCAGACTCCACCCGCCCCGGCATTACCTGCTCCCGCCGTATCTGATTATGGTGACGACGACTTCGATGATGACATCCTAATGGCGATCGACGCTCAAGTTAGTTCTACGGCCGTTGCGGCGCCTCCAGTTACTCCTGGAGCGACAAACCAAGCACCGAGGCGATCTCCACGAAAGTCTCCCAGAGAACAGGCCAACCCTCTAGCTCAAGATCAGACGATATTAGACGACACATCCGACTATGGTCTTGACGACATCGATGACGACGTGTTTGTACTCGCTGAGCAGGCCGTTGTGAGGGATCCTGTGCCCGCTGTTACGATCGACCTGGTGTCTCAAGAGAAACCGGCCGTTGAAGAAGAAGATCTACTGGATGATGACCTCGGCGACGATGATGACTGGAATGCGGTAGAACTGGCAGCTACACAAGCAGTAGCTAGCCAGGCAGCACACCAGCACATTCCGAAGCCGTCGAACGTTTCCGAATCCATTCCTGTATGTCACCACGATCGACTCGAACCTGGTTCCCATTGGACACATGCTAAAGATTAATCCCAGCGAAGCCAAAAGCCCCGAGCTATCCAGCGGTACTTGGTGACGTCTGTTATTCCTAGTGAATATGTTGATAAGCATGGAAGAGAGCTTCCGGAGAAGGTGACAGATTCCACGGCAGATATATTTATTACTTCCCGACTAACATGCATGACAGATGCTTCTACTCGAGGTCGATGGTACAAATAAGATGCAATTAGCTTCGCTTCGAGGAGAGTGGTACGATACCGAGGTGGAAGAATCGTCTTATGTCCACGTCATTGGGGACTTCGATAGTACCGGGCGCTGTGTCATAGACGATGATCAGAATATACTAATCCTACACCCCGATCAGCTCATCTCGGCAACTGTCGTGGCGGACTCCTTTGGTTGTATGCGGCGTGCTGTGTTGCAGGATCGCGTCAAGGCGACGAGCGAGCCTACGCCTCCGCTCGTTTATGGCACTCTCCTCCACGAAATCTTCCAGGAAGCTCTCACGGCCAGGTGCTGGGAACCGCGGTTCCTTACCGACGTTATCAACCGAATCACAGAGAAGCATGTCGAGGATCTCTACACCATCAAGGTTACCATACCGACGGCGCGAGAGCATCTCCAGTCGAAAATGCCCGAGCTCAGGAATTGGGCGGCGACTTTTGTCTCTCCTTACCCTAAGGTACGTTTGACTAGACATATATTCCCAGGCAATCGCCCACTAACAGACCCATAGCCCGACGCATTCGTCCAAGACCGAAACCAAAAGAAGGTCAATATGTGTATAAGCAAGCTCCTCGACGTCGAAGAACATGTCTGGTCACCCATGTACGGGCTCAAAGGCAATATCGACGCCACTGTACAAGCCACCTTCAAGGATGGTCTCCAGTCACAGACTTTGACGGTGCCGTTGGAAGTTAAGACTGGCAAGCACGCCAGTGCCCATCACACTGCTCAAACGGCACTTTACAACTTGCTCCTTTCCGACCGCTACGACATCGATATTACCTCTGGTCTATTGTATTACATGGAGTCGTCGACAACTATGCGAGTGCCCACGATTCGGCGGGAGATTCTGCACATGATTATGCAGCGCAACAGGCTTGCGGCTTATATTCGCCAGCGAAGCGTCCAGCTTCCGCCGATGATGAAGAAGCAAAATATGTGCGGGAAATGCTACGCCCAGACGTCGTGCTTCATCTACCACAAGCTAGCAGACGAAGGGGACGGCGAGACGAGCGGGATGGGTACCAAGTTCAACGAAGTTGTGAAGCATCTGACGCCTATCCACCGCGACTTCTTCCTCAAGTGGGAGAATCTCTTGACTTGGGAAGAGAAGGAGAGCCAGAAGCTGAAGCGCGAACTCTGGACGATGATTAGCTCTGCCCGCGAGAAAGTGGGTCGCTGCTTTTCGGATGTGGTTATTGACCAGGTCCTAGGGCAGTCGGACAGCTCGAAAATCAACCGATTCCAGTATTCCTTTGTCAAGCACTCCCCCGCATCAAGCTTTTCTTTCCTAGAGTCGCAGATTACGGTTGGTGAGCCCGTGGTTGTGTCTGATGAGCAGGGCCACTTTGCCCTGGCTCTCGGGTATGTTACTGGCGTCCGAAAGAACAGGGTTACAGTGGCCGTAGATCGACGACTTCACAACGCGCGCATTCGGCAACCCGGGTTCGATGAAGTCGACAACCAAGTCTTTGCTGGAATCATGGACACGAACACCAAAAAGGGCGATCAGGCATCTCTCGACGAGGCGAATGCGCTGCCAATGACCAGGTATCGGATAGACAAGGACGAATTCAGCAACGGCATGTCCGTTGTTCGGAACAACCTAGTCCAAATCATGGCAGATGGCGTCTTCGGTGCGCAGCAAATTCGCCGGCTTGTCGTAGACCTTGATTCCCCCCGATTCAAGACAGCACCCACGCAATACCATATTCCAGGACACGATAGCCTCAACGTTGACCAGAAGCGCGCCGTCGAAAAGGTCATGAGCGCTCAGGATTACGCACTCGTTCTAGGCATGCCCGGAACTGGAAAGACGACGACCATCGCCCACATTATCCGCGCGTTGGTGGGACAGGGCAAGAGCGTCTTGCTCACCTCGTACACGCACACAGCTGTGGACAACATCTTGCTGAAGCTCATGAGAGACAAGATCAATATTCTGCGTCTCGGAGCTCCCGTCAAGGTCCACCCCGAGGTCCAAGATTTTGTTACCCTCGCGGGCAATCCCATGACATCCTTTGAGGAGATCAAAGAGGCGTGGCATGGCACTCCCGTCGTCGCCACGACTTGTCTGGGCATTAGCCATCCGATATTCAACGAACGAACTTTTGATTACTGCATCGTCGACGAAGCATCGCAGATTACCCTCCCCGTCTGTCTCGGCCCCATTCGCATGGCGCGCACATTCGTACTCGTTGGGGACCACAACCAGCTGCCCCCACTCGTGCAGAACGAAAAGGCTCGCGAAGGTGGCCTCGACGTGTCGCTCTTCAAACTCTTGTCCGATACGCACCCCGATAGCGTCGTCAACCTGGAGCATCAATATCGAATGAACGAGGACATCATGACGCTCAGCAATACGCTCATCTACAACGGCAGACTTCGCTGCGGCACGGAAGAGTTGAAGACCAGGAACTTGGAGGTACCAAACATGGCGGGGCTGAAGCAGCGGCACTATGATGCCACGGCGCTCGCGAACCCAACCATAGCGGCAATGGCACCGACCTCGGTCTGCAAGGGCGGCGCATCCCAGTGCTGGCTCCAAAAAGCGCTCCGGCCGGAAACCCGCGTGTGCTTCATCAACACGGACACGCTCGTCCCCCGCATCCGCGAAGAAGCCAAGGGTAGTCGAATCGTCAACCCCTCCGAAGCTCAAATCGTCACACAGCTCGTCGAGTCCCTCATCACGATCGGCGTGCCCGCCTCGGAAATCGGCGTCATGACGCACTACCGCTCGCAGCTCTCGCTCCTCAAGCACTCGCTGCGCCACACAGGCGTCGAGATGCACACGGCCGATCGGTTCCAGGGCCGCGATAAAGATGTCGTCGTGCTCTCGCTCGTGCGCTGCAACGACGCGAATAACATCGGCGATCTCCTGCGTGATTGGCGGCGCATCAACGTCGCGTTCACGCGTGCCAAGACGAAGTTGCTCGTTGTCGGGAGCAGAGAGACGCTCGGCGGGGCGGGGACGGAGATGGTGGCCAGGTTTGTCAGGTTGATGGAGGAGAAGGCTTGGGTGTTGGATTTACCCGGGGATGCGCTGCACAGTCACTTTTTCGAGGAGGGGCTTACGCAGAGCTTGAGAACGCCGCTGAAGGGGAGGGGGTCGCCGAGTAAGCGCTCGCCGTTGAAAGGGAGGATGAAGTCGCCTGCGAAAGTCCTCGGGGCTGGCAGGAAGTTGTTTGGTGCTGGGGTTGGCAAGGAGAATATGGCGGGGGCGGGTCCGAAGAGGGTCGGTATGAGTGACAAGGTGCTGGGGAGCAGGTTTGTTGTTGGGAGGGATATTCTTAATGAGTTGACGGATGGGCAAGCTGGACGTCAGTTGTAAGAACGAGAAGCCTGGGTGGCATATGTTGTTACTTTACGCATGTGGGTTCTTGGTACGAGTGGAGGATGTTATGATCTGGAGCATGGGGTCGGAGTTTACTATGGGATGGAAAGGCGCGTGTTGTTTTTACTGTATTCTTGTATATGGGCATTGCTGGATAATTATCATGAGCGAAGAGCATCATCATGTCTATTCTAGGTATTCCATTTGGATTATTCTCTCTAGTCATGGTTCGTGATCTAAACTTCATTCGTTGTCTGACTCGTTATCAGATTCATCTCTAAATTCATCGTCGAATCTATTTCCCCCCAAGTTAGCGAACCGCGAGAAGAACCGCAAAGGCAGGAAGGAAAAGGGGTTAAGAAAAAGGGGTTGAGAGAGGAAAAGGGTGAGAAACAAGAAACTTACCCCCTTTCACCAAGAATCAACTTGGAGTACTTCTCGATAGATTCCAAATACGCAACACACCGCGTCATGCTCTCGTTATACGTATACCGATGTATCAGCGCCAGCTTCTCCCTCGACATTTCGTCGGGCCCGAGAGGATACGCGTGTTCAGAATCCAACTTTGACATGGCGTCGATGAGTCTCTTCCGCGCAACGGCTGCGCTCGGAAGATATCGCTACCAGGGCCATCCCAATCAATATACTGTTAAGACCGAAAAAAGGAAGAAGAGACCAAAACTCACAGGAACTTTACTCCCAGCATGCAACGCCCCCGCCAAAACATACAAATTCGTCAAAATACTAGCAACGGCATCCCTCCTAAACTCGAGCACCATCTTGGCCTCCTCGCCTCCCCTTACGAACTCCCCCGCGTAGAACAGCGCCGCCTGGCGCACGATGCTGAGGTCGTTGAAGTAGCCCTCGCAGGCGTTGATGAGGGCCGCGAAGGGGAGGCCGTCGAAGGGGCCGCGGAGACGGAGTTCGTGGCGCGTGAGGAAGAGGAGTTGGCGGATGCGGATGAAGCCTTCGCGGAGGTGGGATTCGAGGATTTCGGATTCGCGGAGGTCGGTGGCGGTGGCTGGTTCGGATTCTTCGTAGTATATGTATTTGGCGACCATATCTAAGGGATGTTAGAAGAGGGTTAATGATTGGTTTTGGGAGGGGGAGGTGGGGGATGGTCTTTTTTTCTGCACATGCCTCTGGAGATGACACTTAGGAAAAAGAGCATGTAGGAAAGGGATTTTCGAAGTTCATGTCTGGCTATGAAAGGCCAGATTATCCAGTTGACTATCGTGGCGGAGACCACACCCGCAAGGAGCGATACGCCGCGCACTGCGAACGATGGAGAATGGTCTCCCTCGGCTACCAATCCGAGAGAGACGATAGTAAACGAGAGACATCCCGCAAGCCCAGACCGCTAAATGCTCGAATTGTCAGTATTGGTGAGAGAAGAAAGACTAAGGCCAGACTTACGGCATGAACACTCCGGGTATGACGGTACAGCATAGGTAGCATATACCAAGGTGCAAATACAGCCATGTAATAGGAATTTCGGGATGCAACTTTCCACGCAATTCCGCTCCAAACAGCGCCCAAAATCACGCAGACTACGCGATTCGTTAAATCCAGAATGCTTCCTCCAACCCTGGACCGAAGGGATGTCAGTTATCTCCAGGTACAAGATGAGCCCCTTTAAGGAGAGGAAAAGACCACTCACATGGTATGGGACATAATCCAAGCCATACAGACCGCCCACCACGAGTCGTATGTATTCCACCACCCCCGGGCACTGCTAAAATATGCCGGAATAGCGAGACATCCAGTGACGGCGACAACTCGGAGAGCATACCTGCCCTCAAATCCTTGCAAGGTGTGCAAGAACCTCCATATCTTATGACGTACAGTCTGTGGATTCTGCGAGGGTTCAACCGCCTTCTCCGCAATGCTCTCCCCTTCCTCGAGCTCTTCTTGTATCACTGGGAGGTGCTCTTGTCCCTGAATCTTCTCGATGAGGTCCAAGGTCTGCACGAAAGTTTGGTTATAAGAGCCTAGCCATTCGGTATAATTAGTAATCCATCGGTACGAGAATGTAGCGCTAGGAATGGAGAGACGTGTGCAGATATACTCACTGGGGGTGACGGCTCCACGGTCATGCCGCACCTGCGCGTTCGTCCTCGTCAAAGACTTCCAAAACGCATACGCAGGGGGGTGGAATTTGACATCATTCGACTCTTCCTGCATATGCTCCAATTTCCTCATAAGACTAACAACTGGGTTGGCAGCCATCCGAACCGACCTCGCAAGGCTGAGCATCTTCACGATTTCGGGATTATAATCGCGCAACTCTTGCAAATCGGCAAGAGCAGACTCGACACCATCGTAAGCCCTCATCGCCTCATGCAGAACCTCCTCGGCATGCTTGAGGTCCGAGGAAACATCCTTCGGTGGGCCTAGGTATTCGCGGTATCCCGCTATGTCCACGAAGACAGCATCGCATGTCCGTAAACCCTCGCGCATTCCGTCTAGAAGTGCTTGCGTCGGCTCCCGGAGTGCTGTAATTCCGGACTGGAGAGCACTCGTACTCGTATTCGAGAAGACGGAAGAGACTCGCCGGCTATTGGGAGGGCGGCCTTCTTGCACGGGGCTAGTACCAAAATTTCTCTCGCTAAGCATGGAGCTCCTGCTGGTTAATGGCCGACCGCATAGCATGTCGAGGAAAAGATCCGAGTCGATCTTCATATAGAGGATGCCTTTAATCACACCTTGCATAAGATTTCGCAGCTCTGCGAGGTTATCCATACTGAACCTCGCAACAGTGATGTCGAGCTTCATGTCACGATAGGCAGTACTGAGCTCGAAAAAGGCTTGAGACAGGCGATGGCGCATCCCGTAGTCTCTAGAACGGGGAACGATGAACCCTTCCTACCTTGGGAATTAGAGGCACGGGACGGCAGGTGAGAAAAAGGGTTCCACTTACATCCATGGCTAGAAATGCTTTATGAAACACTTCAGCCATTGGCAAAGCGCCAGCATCCGGCGATATGCAAAGACAAACAACAAAGGCAATAGCCTGGCCCAGACCCCACGGGATAGCATACTCATAGATCTTCGCCCACTTGACTTTCCCTCCATCAACGTCGGCAAGGCAAGTATAGCAAATTGCCATCCCAGCGCAGAGTACCAATTGGTACAGCCGGATAAAATATGATCGAAGATAGGCGATGAACGCCATAAAAATAGCAAGGAACACTGCCAACATGACGCCGTACACCCAAGGCGTAAAAGTAGAGAGCTGTAAACCAACCGCACCCCATCCCAAGCCCGCCGCCGTGCCAAGAATCGTCAAAACGGCACCGTCTATCTGCGATCCGATCGTGCGGCCGGGATGGTTGATAATGGTAGAAACAACCATCATGTAGCTATATCGACCCAGCCAAAACCGGATGGGAGGTGAAAGGCAGAGAAAATACGCAATGTAGAAAGCAATGAAAGATTTGCAAGTAAGAAGACCAGCCCGCGTCTCGAACGCATCTGTAAATGCATCTTGAATCCCAGTCCATTGCCGGCGTAGATATCGATAAACCGAGAAGACGTTCTGAGGGCGCATGTTCTCGGGGAGAGTCGACTCGACGCCCTCCATGAGCTCGGCGTAGTCAATTTTGGGCGGCTGCAGGAAGAAGGCATCAAAGAACCCATCCCTCGATTCGTGAATGTCGTAGGTGTCCGTCTCACTCATCGTGTCCTCGAGCAGCTCTTCGATCAGCGCCAAGTTCACGGCCGAGGAGGCCCTGGATACCGAACTTCGTTCTGGAGGAGGTGTCAGGGTTCCATCTCGGCGCGCCTCATCCCAACTATCTCTGTGCGGTCGAGGCCCAGAGACAGTGGCCCGCCGGCGCATGGCGCCCATCAAGATCGCATGTTTCCGTAGTGAGGGAGGAGCCCAGTCAGAATCCGCGCCGAAGGGATATGCTCCCGTGGTGGCCGAGCTCTCGCCCGGCTCATCCGCCGCTGGAAGAGTAGGCATGGTTCGTGTGATGCCTTGCTACCAAATATCCGATCCCTTTTCGCCGATATATAATGAGTGGAGATGATTCATTTCAGTCTTTTAAATGAGCGGCCATAGAATATTTGATCTATATATTCTGGAAAAAAGAGAGTAAGATTCATCTCATAGATCTGGACATTGGCATTTCCTCATGAAGGCAGGACTCGAGATGAGTCCTTTGGTGTGAGGCTGCTGTAAGTGAGTGGCTTGCTGAATCTGGCAAAGGGGTATTGAAATGTCTCAGGGTGTCCTTTTTGCCATCTTTGCTTTCTCTTCGTCTCGAGGGATTCAAACTTGGCAACCCCTGGTTTTCTTACTTTCTCAGATCAGTGAAAGTCTAGAGTGGATCCAAGTCGTTCTTTCCTATCCAGTAGTTGATGAAGTAAATCAATTGACCACTCATGATGGTCTTAGTGCGTTAGTGCACAGTGCAGGGTACCAAAGAACCCAGTAATGATCAACCACGTGATATATTACTCTTCTTCTGGGTGTGTACAAAGGTACCTGTCAGTCATTCACTCAACCAGAACCGGCAGAATTTCGGCCCGTAGCCATCCGATGATTCAAGCCAAGTGAGCCAGAACCACCATCAAGAAACCTTCATCAAGAACCTCAAGGAGAACCCCAATCCGCCCCATACGAAAAGCCCAATTCCAATTGGGGGATCGCCAACGAAACTAGACCAATCTCTCCTCCCTCCTCGAATTGAACACACGAGACGAAACAATGGTGCTTTTCCGAGCCAACACGGCGATACGAGCCGCCAGGAACGTGCGGTCCCGCACCCTCGCCGCGACCCCCTCCACCGTCGCCCTTCGACCCTTCACGGCTTCGTCGCGCCGCCTGGGCGGTGATGCCCACCACCATGAGTCGCCCTACGAGCCTCCCACGGGTTACCTCTTTGGTGTGAAGCCCGGCGAGAAGTACCAGAAGGAGGGCTGGGAGAACCTCATGTTTTACGTCTTCGTTCCCAGCTGTCTGCTTCTCGTCGTTGCGCTTGCTTTTAAGCCTGATACCTCGTGAGTTTTTGTCTTTGCCCTGTTGCTCTTCCATTAGGAATACCGGAAAGGGGAATTGCGAACCAATTGAGTTGGAAATGCATTCCTTTCGGTCTCTCCGGAATGGCGTTATCAAGGTCCCCGTTCTGAGGCATTTTGATATGATGAATCATGACGGCTAACAAGCTTCCCCATCTAGTCTCGACACCTGGGCCCTCGAAGAGGCTCGAAGGAGGTTAGAGGCCGAGGGCATCCTCGAGGATCCCAGTCCCGAACACGTCCTCCCCGTTGACGAGTACACGAGCACGAGAGAGGGAAAGCATCCCCCCGTCTAAATGGAATGGAAATCAAGCAAAGTGGGAAACGACAAGGAATTCTCGGAACAAGGTCCTCCTGTTTAAAAACAACACCTCCTTTTTCTTAATGCTTCCCGCCGTCACCTGCGAACCCTGTTAAAACGCTAGTGGGAAGGATCTGTATCATGGTCAAATCCTATATCTCCTTTTTGTTATTGTCATCATGTGTCGGTTGTTCTTATCTCTACGACCCCGGGATACAGCCCCTCCGATTTCACGCTCTGTTATTTCTGGAGTTGGTAGACGCTGCGCTACATAGAATGGCGGTGCTTGACCAGCCCGCCACCTTGTTTCCCAGATCCCTGCAGTCCTCTTTACACATTCCATCGCTGAAAATGAGTCAGTGTCCTGGTGGATGTTTGGCCTAAAGACCCTCTCCCATGTCTTTTGTGAATAGATCGGCTTAGAATTGTAGGACAAAAATGAAAACGAAATCACCAAAAATTGTGTTCATAAATTATATACAAATGGTTCCATTCCGTCTATCGAAAAAAAAAGGCCAGCAAGAACCAAAAGTCTAAATCTAAGCGCTCCCTCCTACCCTCGCCATTGTATTTAATTGGCAACATAGCTCCATTCATGGTCCTCATCACCATACTGCCTCGCCTCGATCCACTCCTTCATCTTGAGAGCAACAGGGCCGGTCTCCTCGTTATCCTTAAGACCACAGCCCACGAGCTCGCCCTTCCAGCTGATGGCCCTAACGGGGCTCACAACAGCAGCGGTACCCGAGCCGAAAGCCTCGAGAAGACGACCCTCCTTCGACGCCTCGGCAAGCTCCTTCATGGTATACTTCCTCTCCGAGATCTTCCAACCCTCGGGGATGAGCTTCTCCCTAGCGAGGCTGAGGACGGAATCGCGAGTGACACCCTCGAGAATGGTTCCGTCGAGAGGAGCGGTGACGAGCTCCTTCTGGCCGGTAACCTTGTCCTTGAGCGCGACGAACATGTTCATCGTGCCGACCTCGGTGACGTACTCCTCCTCTCCAAAGAGCCAGAGGTTCTGCTGGAACCCACGGCTCGCGGCAGCCAACTGAGGGACGATGCAAGGGGCGTAGTTGGCGCCGAGCTTCTTATCACCAACACCGCCGGGCCAAGCGCGCACGGCGTAATCGGTCGCCTCGAGTGAGACGGCCTTGAATCCAGTGGGGTAGTAAGGACCAACGGGGGAAGCGATGACGAAGAGAAGCGCAGAGCCGGGAGGACCGACGCCAAGGGTCTTCTGGGTGCCGATCAAGGTGGGGCGGAGGTAGAGGGAGTAGCCCCTCTGGTTGGGGATGAAGCGGGATTCGAGCTTGACGAACTCAGCGATGAGCTTGGTCAGGGCCTCGGGGTCGATGGTGGGGAGGGCGATGCGGGAGGCGGACTTGTTGAGGCGCGCGGCGTTCTTGTCGGGACGGAAGAGGCGGAATTGGCCCTTGGAATCGCGGTAGGCCTTCATTCCCTCGAAGCACTCGAAGGCGTAGTGGAAGACGCAGGTGGCGGGGTCGAGGGAAAGGTTTTGGTAGGGGGTGATCTTGGGGGCATTCCATCCATCCTCCTTCGTCCACTCGATCGTGAGCATGTGGTCTAAAATAAAAATTAATACATTAGTTGCAACTCTCCCCTAGCCCCTAGATAAACAGTAATGTTGGAGGCTGCATACCTGTGAAGGTCCTTCCAAAGACGAGTTCCTCGGGCTTCTTCAACTCCGAAGGCTTCTCGGTCTTCTGGATAGTAAGCTTCGAGACGTCAACGGGTAGAGGCGGCGAAGCGGCCGCGGCGCTGTATAACCTCGAAGCCTGCCATGCGAGCGCTGGGGATCGCTTAGCTAGTAACGCCGAGCGAGGAATGGCGGAGCGCCATCGCGTAGCGAGGTAGCGCATTGTGAAGGGACCTGGAGGATGGGAATGAGTATGGTTGTTGAGGGCGGGGAGAGAGGGTTGAGAGGGAGGGAGGGATGAAGGCCGAACCGGAGGAGATAATTACCACCAAGACGGGGGCTCGACTTGGAGCCGGAAGTACCAAAGCCGGCGCAAACCCACCCACGAGGTACGAAGTATCGTGACTTGAGTCATTGCCGGGCCAAAATTCAGTTGATTTCGTAATTTTTAGTTGGCCAATGCGCTAGAGATAAGAACTAAATGCGGCAATCAGCGGCCTTTGTACCAATGGCTTCGGCCCGGGTGGATACATGCATACCGATTTTCTGGGGAAAGCTCGGGAAAGGTTTATTGGAATATTCTAGTAGACAGCATAGCTTAACCTCAGCTCTACTTCGTAGGTCAGGTCAGTTCTGCAGTTCAACTCAAGTCATCAGCCCAGCAGATTCGAATTGATGCTCTCCAGATGTTTGAAGTCATTGTAAATCTAGTAGGGGACATTCTTCATAGTGCCTAGATGTTGTTCTACCTAGTATTGCAGAAGGGCTAAGTAGGTTTTTTCCCTGGGATCTAAGTGCACCTCGTCAAAACGACTCTTAAATATTTCTCCTTGTCTAGATTCCTGAATATCACCTCTTCTTCATAGATCCAGAATATACCATAGCCATGAATCCCTCTTCTTTTGTGAATAGGTTGGGTTGGGTTTTCATGGTTTGATGCCCTTGGATAGCCCTCTAGCTGAAGTGCAATCCGAAGCTGGCAGGAGCAACCGAGGACCTCCATCACAAGTCTGCGAATACCCAAGAATCGCTGGAGCTAGAAAGTATACCGGTTGTATATATATACCAGTATATAAACCTGCTCTTTGAAATCTTTCTGGAAAATCCCATTGTCAGATATCTTCTCTCTCCATCACCAGAAAGCTTCTTCAACATCTCCCAATTCAACACAAACAGGAATCCATCACAACATAAACACCACAATCATGCATCTCAGCATCACATCCGTCCTTTCCACCATTGGGGCCATTGTCCTTCCAGCCCTTGCAGCAAAGACGCCATCCTGCGTAGCTGTAGCTACACACCCCGATATGGTGACATTCTACCGCTGCAAATCTGGAGATGATGTTTTCTGCAATGAGCTACCTCTTAACAACTGTGTCCACCCAAAGGACGGAATTTTGCAAATCGGGTCGTAAGAGCATGCACTCTCATCCCCTCCCCAACAATTTCCTTTGAGACTTGCAACTTTCTGTTTTCAAACATTTCCTTGCCAAGGCTAACCTGCTCGATCTCGACAGGCCCAAGAAAGACGACAATTCCATTTCGGAAATCTGCGAGTGCACGTACCTAGGATATGCCAGATACCTCAGCTGCCTTTGCCAGGTATCTCCAGGAAGCCAAATCTCAAAATGGTCGTCCCTCAACCTTCGTAAGTTTATCGTCCTCGCTTCCTCTTGGTGGACTTGATAACGTCAACTGCAATTCTACTTGACTTCGCTACAAATCGCGGCTAACCGATGCGCTCATTTTGCAGTTGCTTCCCTTGACAATGTGGATGGTACCCTCCAAAATGTCAATGACAAGAATTGTATTGCCAAGGTTGTGGACTGCCGTAACTGGGAAGGAAGCGCGATCTGAGTCTGGTTCCCCAAGAGTCAGCTCATTGCTGAAGAAGAAATGAACCGCTCAATATTCCGGTAGCACCATCAAGAAGTAGGAGATACCTTGATCAGCTCAGCCTTCAGTTCCTAGCCATGCTGGGACTAGAATAGATGGGAGGAAGGAGACGGAGGCTGTATACCAGGATCCCAACTCGAGATAGAGACTTCCATATCTGCCCAAATAAACATGCTCCCAGCTGATGATCCTCATTGCCCGCATGCCATTCCTCTTGACGTTGACTTGTTCTTTCCTCCACTTCATCGCTCTGTAATCATCCCTGTTCCCGCAGCCTGATATAAACAAAGATTCCTCTTGTCTTCCTCCACTTCTTCCTCCTTCATCATCAAAACATCTCCATCTCCAACATCCAAATCACATTCCAACTTCTTCACCACTGAACTTGAACTCGATATCCAGCCCATCAAACCATCCCCGCAATCATGCGCATCAACAACCTTCTTCTCGCGGGCCTCGCGGCCTTCTCGAGCCCCGAGCACGTCAAGGTCGGCGGCTTGGACTCCTGCAAGTTCAACTCAATGTCCACCTTGTACGACGCTCCCGCCAAGATCAAGTACGTCTGCGGGCGCGTGGGCGGCATGGCCCCCCAGTGCGTCGAGCTCGACCTCACGAAGTGCGTGGGAAACAAGGATGGTCAACTTAGCATCATGACGTGAGTGTCGCCTTCCTTTTTCCGTTGGTTTGATTTGCTCCCTCCGTCTCTTGTTTCTTCTTCCCTTGGATCGATTCTATACGTGTCGTGTGTTTCGATTGTTTCTGACCTTTTACTGGCGCTATCAGTGGAGATCGCTGGACTCCTTATAGAGAATTCCCGAATACTTGCAAGCTGTGCGAGTACGACCAGAAAAGGGCCAAGCTATCGTGTATCTGCACCGATCTCCAAGGCAAGACCTTCGACCGCTCTACCGTTAACCTTGGTAAGTCAACTTCTTGTTTCAGTAGACCAGATTGCTAACTTCTGCTGTTTTCTGAGGTGATCACATCAAAAACAATGATGGTATCCTAAGTGGCCCCTTCCCCGCGTGTCGCTCCGAGTTTTCTTCGTGTCCCTAGTGGCTCTGCTGGTGATACAGGATACAAGCTCTCTTCACTAGAGGGTAAAGCGAGGAGTTGTGGCATAATGGCAGGCGTTGATTTTTGACATTTTCATGCTTTGGTCCAAGGCGCAGATCTGGCTTGCCTTCTCAAAATTAGAAGGTTAGCACATTAGAGCCCTCATTGGGAAGGGGAAACTTGAATTTGAAGAGCAGCCAAGGGGTGGAATAAAAAAACGTATGCAAATCCTCTGTTTCTGAATGGTGACAACTCAAGGAAAGTGCAAATATCCGCCAATGACTGTATCACATTTTCCATATGCCAAAATACATGCTCGCTATGACTGACGAGTCTAGGTAAAAACTGGATATGGGTACCTGCCCTTCATTGCAACTCCATTCTCAGAGCAAACTTTCATACTTATCAAGTCCGCTCTTCGGCTTCGCCTGGTTATTAGCTGCTCCCATACCCGTTCCCATACCCATCATGTTTCCAACTGGTGCACCAGCGCCCATTCCCATTCCCATCCCTGTATTCTGCAGATTAGACATGGCCGGCTTTGCCATGGATGCCATACCCATACCCATACCCATTCCTCCCTTTGAAGTCTGAGTTGCCCAGACATTTCCGCCGGCGGGCGCTGACGCCTGGGGCGGTGGGAGGCTAAATGACGAAGAGCCACCCGTATTCGTTGTTGGTGGCGGTGGCAACGAGAACGAGGACGTTGACGACGATGACGGCTGCAAGCCCATCGGACGCTGTGCGTTGAGCGCGAGGCTATTCATTGACGAACCGAGGTTTCCAAACGCCGAGGAAGAAGCTTGCTGCTGCCCCATCGTGGAGCTAGTCGTGGAGGCCCATGGATTGGACAAGGAAGTGGCGGCAGGAGCGCCGCCCGATGGCCAGTTGATGGAAGATGTCGACGTACCAGTATGGCTTTGCGAAAGCGGAGGGGGTGGAAACGCTGACTGCATCGGTTGCGCCGGCTGTAGCGGTTTCGAGAACTGGGTGGACGTCGGAGTGAGAGCGCCGAAACCAGAAAGATCGGGCGTGACAGTTCTAAAGCCCGAACCTTGCTGCTGGGTCTTTATCGCACCGAGCTGCCCAGGCTTGGGCGTAGCAGTCGGCGTCGACCAGGAGAATGTTGGTGGCTGTGGGGAACCCGCCGAGCGGCTGACAGCTGACGCGGATGCGCTAGGTGGGTTATCGTCCCAGCTAGGGAATGTCCCGCCATGACTTGTGTCCTTCGACGTCGACGACCTCCCCTTGACAAGCGCCTCAAAGTCGTTTTCGTCGCTGCCGTTCGCCGGATCGAACGCCGTGCCAGTAAGGCCGCCGAATGCCATAAAATCCTCGGCAGGCGCCGCCGTGGCGCCGTTGGACGGCCCCGTGAGTTCTTGCAGTTTCTTCGAGTGCTCATCTTCGACTTTTCGAGAGAGGCTTTTGATGAGATCCATAAACGCCTGGAACTGTTTGAGGCTGAGGAGAGGGCCGAGACTCATGTTCCAGAGAATAGGGAGAATGTCTAGGGCGATGAACTCGATATCCGCCGTCTGACCCACGACTTTGAGGACCTCATGGGCCGCCATCATAACCGCTGGTTCCTTGGTCTTTATGGCCTTGATGAGAGGTACGATCTTCTCCTGCATAGTATACTTGTCGAGGGCGCTTGAGGAGGACGACGACTTCTTGTTTCCACTCAATCCATCCAATCCGTCGTCTCCGGGTGAATCAGGGGATCCACCGCACAGGATGACAAATGCGCGTAGGCCGCGGATCTTGATTTGCAAGCTGTTTGTCCTGCTGAATACAGTCGCAATAACCGGGAAGAGTTCATTCTTAATGGTGCTAAAGTCGAGGACTGGAAGGATAACGGTAAGGCCCCTCAAGGCAGCATCCACAAGCGAGTGAGTAGGAGATTCAATGGCGGTCACGACCACCGGGAGAATGTCTAAACCCGAGTTAGATTCCGTCACGTCACAGAAATGCTATAGAGGGGCGTTCGCGGCTTACCATCTTTGAATTCTTTCCCAGACGAGTTCTTACAAATAGAGGGCATATTCTCCAACACAACCATGAGGCCGGCATCTTTAGCGGGATCCTTCTCATGTGTTTGTGGTGGCGCTGACTTGGAGCTAGGAGGAGGCACAACAAAAGTCTCTCTTAGAGCTGGGCGCACCTTGTCTCCGAAGGCGCGCTTAGCGGATGGGAGAAGCTCGATAATCTTGAAGACGTTTTGTAAAATGAGAGAAATCAACTCTTTATCCTTCATCTCATCTAATAGCGACGGCAAAAGCTTCTTTTCCATCACGGATTTCGGAAAGCTAGGCAGGACCTTTACCAAACCGCGCAAGAACTGAGACTTCTCCGCGGAAGTTTTGGCGGGGAAGGCGTCGAGGAATCGGATGGTAGACACAAGGATATTGTCAAAGTACTCGCTCTCTTGGAACTCCTTTGCCGTCATGCGTTGGGCGGGCCGACGAGTGATGAGGCGTGGTAGCACATGGGTGGAAAGATCCCGAGGCAGGTTTCCCGAGGCGAGAAATTTATTAGATATGGATGGTATAGTTGATGAGGAAGAAAACAGCCGCTTGTACGTGGATACACTTCCATGTGCTTCCAGAGGAGATCGATGTGGCGAGTTGTACAGAGCGATGCAGAGTAACCCTAGCGAGAACATATCTGCGGATGTATTAAGATTATTGTCGAGTATGAAGTCGGGCGAGCTATAGTCGAGGTTCAACTGAACGTATCGCGGAAGTCTTGGATCAATATTGAGCACCTCGGAGAGGCTGATCCCTTGGATAGATGTGGGCTTATTCGAGCCCTCTGCTGGAGAGCAGAAAGAGAGACCACTAATCTTCCAGTCGGACTTTACGGTTGTTAGAATGTTGCGCGGGCTGAGATCAAAGCGTCTTCCTTACCTTTGCATTCACGAGGACAGCATCTGGTGTGAGATTGCCGTGGACTAGCCCCGCATTATCGTGTAAAAACTCCAGAGCCTTGCTAATCTGCAACAAGCCCTTCTGTATCTCCAGCTCGTCAATTTCGAGTTCCCTTCTCCTTCTCACACCATCGGCATCCTCCACGACGAACCGGCTGGATCGTCCGCCCGGACCGCCGCTTCTCTCGCTGTCATCCTTCTCGGCCAGTAAGCTCGAAAGACTCGCAGTAACGGCCTCGGAGACAAACTGAAGGCCTCCGCCCCTAGTATCTTCCACGGGCTCAACAAGCTCTAATATATTCGGGTGTCGCAATTTCGCGAGGCTCGACGCCTCTTTCCGCAACCGTTCGACAACCTCATCGGCGGCGCGCTTGAAGGAGGACGCTCCGGACCGACCTAGCGAGTTCCCGTGCGAATCGAGGGACTTCCTGTCGAAGATGAAGACGCTGTATGCCTTCCCGGTGGACTTTTTCTTGGCATCGTGTATCCTCCAAGGGCCGGCCGTGGATGTGGGGTCTGGAGAGATGGAGTAGTTGCCGGTAATGTTGGTGGCAGATATGGATTTAAAGGCTGAGGAGAACATGGACATTGTGGTGGATTTAGGAGGCGGGCGTCGCCTAGTTACACATGATGGATCGAGTGAAATGCGTCGTGGAGACTTGGACGGACTCGCGATCGAGCTGCAAGGGGAGATTGAATATCTCCTGTTGGCCAAATGCCACCGCCGGTGCCGCGTGCTCCGATCGGGGAATCAGATGGGGATTCGCTCGGTGCCTTCGTAAGGAACGTTCGCGCTGTTCTCTGCCTGTGTCGCAGTTGAATCACGAAATTTGGCGGATGAAACGAGGCTTGATAATTCTTTGCGATCAATTGATATCTTGTCTTGCCGTCTTGCGCGGCTCGGGCCTCAGCCCAATGCGAGAATCGCGAGCTTCGTAATGGGCTTTGTGCCGCCCCTCACCGCCCTCGCAATCAGTTGTGTAAGTGCATGTAAAAGGTACTTGACACATTTTCTCTAGAGTGTGAATCTCTCCGAGCTTCTTTGCCTTCTGCAAACGCCAAATGTATTTTTCCTACGAGAATTCCGGGAGCCTTTTCTTTTTTTTTTTGTCTTTCCAAATTTTATTAAGGGAATTACTTGCTTCTCAGTATCTGATCTCGTCTTGGACAGACATGATACGTATGGGGAGTGCTTGCATGCGGGAAACGTACAAAGTACGAAGTACTGAGAGCTGCAACTTCATGAGGGCAAATCAGCTTCATTATATGTCTGACCATTCAAACCGAGCTAGAAACAATGCGGTGTACTTCGTACCTGTGTATCGTTTCCTTCGAATCCCACGGGAAGCCCCCTGGTGATAATTTCCAGAAAATCTCTTGTCACAACGTTGTGCAATTGGCACTTGCTGTCTCTGTCCTCCATGAGCCGATGTTGGAAATTTAGAGATAGCTTCGTGGTTCAAAACAGCCTGTCGGGAGCATGGTACTATCAAACTTGACACTTTCCTCCCGACTCGACCACGGGTTTCCTAACAAATGCACAAATGTACAGCGGAGAGTGCCGATTTCAATTTTCTGCGAGGCGTGGAAGAAGTCAGGGCAATGGTACTGATGCAGCACCTTCCAGACAACTGTTTGCATGCCACCAGAGTTGGCTTGGTTTGGAGGAAGACGAGAAGGCACGAGGCACAGATGCGAGCATCACTGGGAAGGCGCCTGCGACTTTTTCATGTGATAGTACTTTGTAGAATGTTGGGGATATTGTCACAAATCCATGGCTCCTTCCTTACCTCGGAATCAGAGGAAGAGTCCTCATCACCTCGTCTTGAAGGAGCCTGTGTGTTGTGGATGGGCATGCCTGCCCCGCCTGGCACTTTCCTATCATTGAAGGGCAAGAATGGAATTCGAACTAACATCCTGACCTTCCTTCAGATTCCTGTCACCCTGGCTTTCCAAATCCGACATTTTATTACTTCATAATACCTCAGTACTCGACACCCCTTTGTCCAAGGAAATCCCATGCCTCACTTCGCACACATTATCAAAGCTCAGGGCTCGTCTCGGTCCAAGTCATCCTGGAACATCGGAATCGAACTCGCACGACAATCCCAGACCATTGGACTGGGTTCCACCTTCCTCACAAACACTATCGGACGTACTTCCTACTTGCGCTTCGTATGAGGAAGGTGCTGGAAAGCTCACATCCGACACGCCTCACCGGGTGGCTTCCAGACTCCAAATTCAGATATAACAAAGGAACCACGTTCCAAACGAGCAATTCCCCCCCCCCCCCCCATCTTGCTTCTGCTGGCTGTTCATCTCGTTTTAATTTCCGCGCCATTGAAGCCAAATTCGGCAAGGCGGTATTATCGCAGTCCGCGCTTCTTCCAACCCTGGTGTCCTGCTGTGCTCCCCAATGGACGTTGCCTGATCCAACATCAACCCAACGCTGATCTCGACCAGGTCTCCCATGGGGTAATAATACGGGGTCCCCAACAACGTCGATTACCTGAACCCACATTTCAATTCGCTTGCACTCTGGCTAGACCGAGGCCCAACAAGGAAAATCTGGAAAAGACGCGACCGTGGAATTGGGTCTGATCCCGTCGCCACTCCCAATAGTCTGTTTATGCTTGTGCTAGCGTTGACCCGGTTTTCTGAAATCGTATGCGGGATAACAACGTCTCTGGCCGCTCCTTCTCATTCACCCATGCCGGGGGAAACTCTGGTAATATGCGACTTTCCCCATGACGTTGCATCGCAGGAGAATATTATCCCAGGGTGTCGGGTAGTACCATCCCACATCAGTTTGTCATTGCTGGCTTCAGCTTGACCCATGTCGCCAAGGCGTGTAGGCCACGAAGCCACTGCTGTTGTTTTTGCTCTTCATCGCAGAGTTTGGCCTCATGGAACATGTTGAGTCCCAGCATTGCCTCCCTACCCAAATCCCGGGGCGCACGTATCTGCAGTCGTTGTTGGAACATTCCGAAACGCACACCACAGAACTCTTTGGAGATGCCGCGTCTCAGGAGCGGGAGAGTAGTTCAGTACCGAATGGTCGGGATAGCCTGGTAACAAGATCCTATAATGGAATATCACACCCGGGAAAGGCGGAACTGGCTGCAGTCAGGATTGTGCATTTTCCATTTCACCTATACTACTTCATCGAGAGCCATGCTGAGGTATTACTAGCAGGAGATCCTCGATTTTCATACCGAGATCGCTCTACGAGGAGGTACGTGCAAATGGACTGGCCGGCAGTCACCGGTGTCTAGGAGACCCCAAAGTCACTAAACCCCCACACGAATCCTAGTCAATATCGGACAACAAGATATTGAATCTTTTTCTGTATTAATGAGCGCAATGAGAGTTTCTAAGCCTTTGATCCACTCGCCAAGGCTTGGACCTCCTGCATCTCTCGAGTTAATGTGCAAAGAGAATTTCCGCAGAATTTCCACAATTGTTCTAGCCTCGCTTCCAGGCGCGGATTCGAACTCGAACGGAACGATGACCGGAAATTCCGTGGTGCTAACAACAAAAAAGCAAGTCTGGGGTGAAGGACTGAGGACCCCCACACTTTCTCATTGACAACCCTGGCAGCGACCACCGGTCGAGGTTGTACGAAGTACGTCGCTGTGTCATGGTCTTCACAATCCCAGGTGAATCACACACTCCTCTCTTCGCTTCGAGGATTTTCCCTTGTTTTCTTTCGGACAGCTTTTAAGTAATTGAGACATGGAAGCGACTCCCATGCCTCCATGAAGTACTGTAAACCCTCCCAGCACTGGCCTCTAGGGAGGTGGTAGGAACATGCCATCATGCGAGTGCCATGGAAGTGCACAGCCCGTACTTCGTACGAGACAATCTCAGCGAGTGTGCTCTTGGTCGATGATCCTCGCATACTCATCTCTTGCCTATGACCTATCCTAACCCTTGCCCCCAGGTGCTTACCCCCTTTACCATTCCCATCTTTTTGTCCGCATTCAAAATCTCCTGTGTACGAGACTGGTCCCTGCCCCTGTTTGCCACTGATTCCAAAGAGCATAGGTGGTCAGGCGCCTACGACGCATTCCATTCCACGGCCTCTTCCTTGAAAGAGGACCTCATTCTAACGCCACCGGGGCACTTCTTCTCTTCCCCCGGTGTGGTCCTCGAATGTGGTTGGTGTTGGGAGGGTGTTGTGCTTCCTCCACCAGCACACCATCTGTAATCCCCGTCCCTCCTGTCACCTACCTTCATCCTCGTGGTCCTGCGTCACCACAATCTCACCTCCTTGCACTCGCCCAGCCCAAGCAGCAGTCGCATGTCTAAACACACAAATCCCAACACCGGACAGGACAGGGTTGGGGTCCTAGCCCCAGCTACCTGAAAGACCCCATGCCCGGGACTATTCCCTGTATCATGCCTGCCAGAGCCACGGGTCCGATTCGGGACTAAATACGGGATGAAAATTTCTGCTCTCGACCCTGCCATGATTGGGTTAATATCTTCGCCTTTAGTTAAATTGAGATTGTCTCCCCCCTTCCCCCCTCAAGTTTATGGACTGAAGCCATCACCATTCCTTTGGTGCTTTGAGCCATAGTCTTTTCGCCTACCGGGTGTGCCACCAAACCTCAGCTCGCCTCACACTGCCCACTCGCCTTGAACTCCCAAGCCCTGTTATGGTATTGAGCCGAGTTTAAGACACCAACCCCCTCAACGCTCGGATTCCCATCTCCAAGAGTGTTCATTCTCCATCGTCTAGGCCAAGTCTTTTCCCGGCACAAAGATGTCTCCCCACAACGATTTGTCCTCCCCTCGGAACAGTTTCCTTGGCGAACTTGTCAATCTCCCTATTGGGCCCTCTTCAGGCTTGATGGTGGCCAACGGATCCTCTTCTCCTCTCGATAGCTCTTCTGACAGTTCGTCGATCGACACAGACCTCAACAGATCTCAGCGCCGCCAACGTCGCCTCAAACCCGGCGTTTACGTTCCCACCGTTTGCTTTTTTGAGCCTGGCACGGAAAACGTCGATGTTGAGACCATTGCTCGCCACGCCGTACGGCTCGCCAAGGCCGGGGTAGCCGGTCTCGCAACACAAGGTTCCAACGGCGAGGCCGTGCACCTGACCCACTCCGAGAGACAGCTTGTCACGGCCGTAACACGGAAGGCCTTGAACGAGAATGGGTTCCGTGACCTCCCGGTAATTGTTGGCTGTGGGTGCCAGAGCACTCGCGAAACTATCCAATATTGCCGGGAGGCATGGGAAGCGGGCGGCGATTATGCTCTCGTGTTACCGCCGTCATATTATGCGCCGCTTTTCGCACCATCTTCGGAGACCGTGCTCCAATACTTCCGGGAGGTCGCGGACGCCTCGCCGATACCCATCATGATTTACAATTATCCTGGTGGCGCCGGTGGCCTAGACCTCACGTCGGATGTGATTATCTCGCTAGCTCAGCATCCCAACATTGTCGGGGTAAAGTTCACCTGTGGCAACACAGGAAAGCTGAACCGAGTCGTTGATGCTACGCGGAACAGGTTTCGCAAGTCCGCAGACGATAGTATGGGCGGTGATACCGCTGATCCCGGTTTCCTTGTGCTTGCGGG